TATAAATATTATAGTAGTTGTTAATTACTTAACTAAGTATTAACACTTAATACTATGTTCCTCTATAACTGCCCCTAATATAGCCTAGTTATTCTACTAGTATGTATAAGTTTACTATAGCCTACCTAACATAATTATATTAGACAGAGGTACACAGTTTGTCTTAGCCTTTTAGAACAAACTCTATAAATAGCTCTAAATTGTCCCTTATCTATCTACAGCTTTTTACCTAGAGACTAACAGCTAGACTAAGAACATAAACACTATAATAAAATAAGTTCTATAAGTGTACATAAACTACTAGTAGAATAACTAAGTAAAATAGTTAGCTATAGCATAGTTTAAAGCTAATAACATAACATCTAAATTAACACAAGTATCTCTGTTTTTAGTAAACTATAGATACTACTTCTAAATAAGATTTAAACTACTTTTAAATACTTTTTAACTAACTTATTAATTTGTATAAGTAATAGATATAAATAGACTTATTAATAAAATCTAAAATATATTTAAATATATTTATAAAAAGCTTACATAGGCTTAAGCTTTTTAATAAGAGTACATAAACTAATCCTAAACCTTTGCCCCTGTGTATGCAGCTAGCAAGAAGGTCTAGCTAGACGCTAGAAATATCTAAACAAACTAATAATTAAAAAAACTTAATTAGAAGAACCTTAGCCTCTTTATAGTAGCCTATATAGTTTTATTATATGCTTACTAATTAATTCTACCTAACAGCATAAAGATACACCCTGTGTTCTACGTATTATTGCTGCGCTAAGTAGCCTTTAAATCTAACTATTTACCTAAACAGCTAAACCTGCCACTTAAACCTATTATTATAAATAATAAACTAGAATATGTTATAGAAGATGTTAAATAGATCTAGTTTAATAAAAAGAAATATATTTATAAATACTTTATAAAATAGACTAGATATAATAAACTATTATAGAAACCTGCAGAAGCTCTGTAAGAGAACTCTATAGTAACCTAATTCTACGCCTAATACCTATCTAAACTAAACCTGTACTCTAACAAAGACAACCTAATGCTAGAACTACTAATATAAAGAATTTCCTTCTTAATAAAAAAGAGAGTACTGTTACAGTATCCTCTCTAGATCTTAGACATAACTATATTAGACATATACTAGAGTATTATTAGTGCACGTCTAACATAAACATAACATAACATAGACATAAACTTAAGCATAAACTACCTTAACACTAACTAAACCTAGAATAGGCTTAATTTATACCTAAAGCGCTTAGACTTTTAAGCTAAGTATTTAATTACTAATTTCTTTTTAAACCTTTCTATTCCTTATATAACGTCTTGTACCTACTATAATACCTTACGTAGTAATTAAACTAGACCTCTGTAAAGCTCTATAACCTTACTTGTGCATAATTATAACAGAAAGACAGTCTATTTATTTAGTATATAGGAAAAGAAAAAGCTACTACCCCTTACATATAGTAGTCACAATGCAGACTACAGCTCTACTATACATATAAAGTGTAGGCATTAGCCTAGAAGTTAGCTAACATATAATACTTAATAAAAAAAAAAGCACTAGTAGTACTGCTATAATAATAAGTATATAAAGTTACTAAGACTTAACTATAACTCTAAACTAAAATTATATAAAAGTACTTTTTATAACACACAACCTTTACTGCTTACAGCTGCAGATTAGTGCTAGTAAGTAAGATAATATTAATATTATAAAATAGTAAAGCTGCTATATACTACTTTTTAGCTTATCTATAATTAGCATTTTATATAAAAAGAAAGTAAAAAAGCTAAAGAATTTATATATTTATGCTAAAATGCTAAATAAACTACTAATTAGTAGTAGAACTAGTTAAAAAAGTAACATAGATGCGCCCTAGGCTGCTAGACTGCACAAGGACGTTAAAGACGCCCGCACTAACAGCGCTAGAGGTAGAGAAGGAAGGCTAAAGAGACATCTCTCTCTCTCTCTCTCTCTCTGTGTGTGTGTGTGTGTGTGTGTGTGTATGTGTAGGCAGAAGTATCTATTACTATTAGCACTATATAAAAAAAAAAAAGAGCTAGAGAATAGTATAGTAGGGCTTAAAAAGTAAAAGATAAAGAAAAAAAAGTAAAAAAAAAAAAAAGACCTTATTATATACACCTCCTTACGCACCTGCCTATATAAAGATTTTACACTATTCTAGCATAAAACTTTACATAAAATAGTTTATATACTGCTAAATTACTTATAAAGTAAGTATATAAAGGCTAAATAATAATAGCCTAAAACACTTTATACTATTTATAAAGCTATTTACATAGTGTAACTAGCTTATTTTAATATATAGCATTACTAAGGCAAGTCCTAATAAATAAAGTAAAGTAAAGGTAAAATGTAATTAGATAAACTTATATAAATAAAAAAAAAGTAACATGTACAAAAAGTAACTTTTTAGATAAAAAGAAAAGTTGCTAGTGTTTATACACAGCAGCAGTGTTATAGCCTAGATATAAATAATTACGCATAAGTAGAATTATATATCTATATTACATAATGCTTATGTGTAAACTTTTATACATAAACATCTAAATATTCTTTTTTTCCTTTATATAAAGGAAAGATAAGAGTAATAGAACTAGAAATATGTTGCCCTTACCTTACTTACCTTGTACGCTGTGCACACTGTACACCACTCTTACTCTTGCTACTTAAGTGCTTATACTATAAGCAGCTAGCTGTCAGAGCCCATTCAACAGTTTCTGAGTTAAAAAGGAAAAGTCTCTCCCGAAATAGAAATTGGCACCAAAGTCGGTAAGTAAGCTGGTCATACCGTCACCAAAGTCCATACTCTATCTCTCAACACCATCTTCACTTTATTTCATATTATGGTTGGACTCGAGTCAGACCAAAAAGTACAGTATATAGTGTCGAAACTCCACCCGCCGACCTGGTTTCCACGCCCCACACGGACGCACGTGGAATATCCGTCCTAATTGGCGGCCTCCTCTCGGACATGCAAGTTTCTAAAGCACTTTAGATTATCGATCGTGCATGGAAAGTTTGCTGTGCCTTCCATGCATATATACGGGGGCCCCAATTTTTAGAAGTAATGGAGTACATTCCTTTGCCACCAACTTCGCTCCTGTTTCAGAGAACTGTCATCACAGCCTCATCGTCGAAGGTACCTATGTCGCAGCTGGTACATATTTATGGGCGGACGGCGCGAGGAGAGAGTCGTGAATGGGCTATTCACGGCTGTGTAGTTGCATTCACAGTGCTTGGCCTCATGTCGATAATTATGAGACTGGTATCACGAAGAATCCAGAAGGCCCCGCTTGGTGTGGATGACTACATTCTTTTGTTCGCCGGAGTAAGCTCTCGCCAGGCAAAGAAAGTAAAGCAACTTTCAGCTTGTTTACCCCCACTAGATTCAACAAATACTCATCAATATGCTTTTCAGCATCGGTAAGCCATGGCCCACTATTCCGAGATGCAGCTACTAAAAGGGCAACAGCCGTTAAACAGGCAGGTCTTGGACGACATGTGCGGTCCATATCTCATCAAGAACTAATTGCATTCCGAGAGGTATGTCGCAAATTCCCAAAAAGACCCCCAAACCTGACCGCAGTTTAAGCTCGACATGGCTAGCAGAATTAGCATGTCCCTGTGTTTCACTAGTTCCCGTTTATCCTTTCTCGTCCTGCTGTATAACACCTTCACCGTGCAACAATTTCGGTTCGTGGTTCGCATCATCGCTGGAATTGTCGTTTGCCTGTGCATCGGGTTCTTGCTTCTCGAGATCTCCTCCTGTCGACCCCTCATGCTGAGATTCCAAGGTCTCTGTCAACCAAATGCAGGAGTTCAAATGTACATCGTCTTGATTCCGTGCGTTTTCACGGACTTCGCCCTAATTATAAGCCCAATCCCGCTTATATCGTCGATGAAGCTTTCGAAATCTGACAAGCGCGTTCTCGCAGTCATATTTAGCTTGGGGTTAGGGTAAGAAGTGTAAAGTCCTTCACATCCGACGTCTCTAATTTGGAGACTAGGACTTGCGGGGTGGCGTGCATGCGATATACACTTTCGCTTCAGGTCCACGGCGAGGACATCACATGTAGGGACTCCTGCAAGGGTATATCCTAGAACGTCTCTGACTCCACAAAGATACCATTGTTCCCGCGTCAATCGGCGTCATGGCCGAAGCCTGCATCCGAGTCTTCACCACATCAATGGTCGGCTCTAGGCCACTGCTCAACATTCTCTTTCCGGTCTGTCGGATATTTCGATATCTTGAGTCATTCGAGTGGTACACCGCGCACTTCTCGAACCGAACGAGCTCTTCGCTTTCAACTCATATCAGCTGGACGGGTCGAAACCAACGCCTTACTCACCAACATCCGTGGGACAACCCCGAGTATGATTATATCAGTTTCTCACTGGTACGATTCTGAAGTTTCCACTGCTCGGAGTCAATAATCCCGATATCATGGCTGCCAGACCCAGTTTCTGGGTTCGTGTAACGATACCAAGTCTCACTAAATGAATTTAGACGGGTCAATCAATTGTCGGAGTCCGGAGACTATTGCGCCATGATTTATATATTGCCTTAGAGCTTTCGACATAGAGGTTTGCCTTTTTCATAAATGCTAGGTGTTGATGAAGGGTTCGCTATCTTCGAATACTGAAGGTGAGGCGAAGTTTACCTTTTGGCCCCTCTCCTGATGGGCCGCCTTACCATGCTGGATTCGGCAGTGGGAACGGCGTCTATCCTCGGTGTTTTGTGGGGCATCTATAATTTTCATTTACTGAATGGAGGTCTCTTGGACTACCTGCCCACACGTGAGGCAAGCAACGCTACATACAATCCGAAAATTGGTGAAGATTAACAAATGGAAAGCATAAAATTCAATGAAGATAAGAAGGATCCAACCCAACCTCTCCTTTCTCGCTCAATCACTCGCCTCAACGATCCCTTTCACAAGATCCACTGCAATTTCTACTCCCCTACAAAACTCGTTTGCTCTTCCCAGCCCATTAGTTACACATAACTTACACCTGTATCCGCAGTTAGTAAGTTTCCTCTACATATTTTGTGGTCTGAACTTTGAACCTCATCAAAATACAACTTACCTGTCCTCAAAAACCTCAACCCCAATATAAAGCGCCTCTGGATCCCTCCAGACACTCCCCCACTCTGGACTCCCTGTCCTGCTAAAACTAACAAACACCTTTCTTGGTCTCGTTTTCACATACACTGGATCCCGGAAGAATTTCGGTTCCTCCTCGCCGGGCTTTAGCACAGCTCGGAGAGCTGAGATATGGCGATCCCAGCCCCGTCCGCGTGACGTCTTTGCAAGGCCCGCGGCGTGAGATTTGGCCGCTTCGTGAAGCAGCTTTCGGAGAGCTGACATAGATTCAGGATTTGGATGTGGATTCTCGGTGGCCGATACGAAGGTGTCCATTTCGGGAGTGTGAACCTGGTAGATGTCGAGACGTCCAAGGTGGAAAGAGCGCATGGAGACGGCCTCATAAGATGCAGGGTTGTAGCCGAAGTGTCGTTTTGCCGCGAGAGATATAATGCATTGAAGGGCACCTTTTGGTGGAATTTTGTGCCGCCGTAGAAAGCGCTCACCAAAATTTGGTAGCTGGAGTGTTGAAAAGTCCACATCTTTGATGCTTTCGAGATATTGCTGTCGGGCCGAGTCGATATGCGCATTGATGGCGGAATTGGATACGAATGTATATCGTGCAAAGTCTCGACCCTCCATGATGTCAACATCCCTCTTTGTAGGACATGCCAAGGAATCATTTGCTGCCAGATTGACAGCTTGAGCTAATTGTTCGAGCGTCGTCCCATCGATCATGGAATGCTCGCACCAAAACGCCGACACACCATTCTCGCACACAATAAAAGAGAGAGTTTTGTCGTTCCACCGATTACGGTTATCGTCAAGAAGGAAATGCCGCACACGCTCTTCTGAAGTTTGTGGTGCCCCACCGTCCAAGCATACAACGAAAAGCGCCTTCTCAATCACAGAGAAATATTCCTCATTAGAAGGATTTGCGTCGATCGCGAGAGCCCTCACCTTTGCCCATTGATTTCGCTCGTCTGCAGTCAAAACGCTTGCCCAGCAAGTATCCGTTCGAGCATCCTGGAGGATTGTTTGGAAAATTGCAGTAAATTTAGCGTGAGAAATCGTCGCCTCATGCTCCAAAAGTGGAATCTTGTAGACGTTGCCATTTCTCATCGCAACGATATAATCATTTCCAGGAAATCTTAGGGTAGTATCACAGCCCAATCCTGGCCTACGATACGCGTTGAAAACCCAATCCAACGACTCCATGCATTGCGGTTCCTCATTGACGATATCTTGCGAAATCTCGCCTCTGTCGAGCTTTTGCTTAAACTCAAAGGCGGCAAGAGAGATGAGCGCTGCTTTCTCCGCTTGTCCATACTGACGTTCTGTAAGTGCATGGGTCGAGAAGAAGTTCATGCTCGGTCGCAGAGGAGCTCGTCGTTCAAGCCAGAAAGTCTTGTCGTGGATACTTTTTAGCCAACATTGAGTGGCAGCGTCACGGTCGAGCCTCTCCAGACGAGCTTGCAGCTTGTGGCCAACACTAGACGGTTGTAGAAGCTCGTTAATGACTGCACGGGTCGCAATGAGTTCCTCGCGGGTAGCAAAAGATCGCACTGAATTCTGGAATGTCTCTAGGGTGGCTTCAAGACTTGGAAGAGGTAATTTTGGTAATTCGGCACGAGTACACAAGTCGTCCGGGTTGGCCAAGTTCTCGTCTAGATTGGGGTGCAAGTCTAAAGTTCGTAGGGCACCAGCGGTATCCTTAACCTGGGACACAATTGGTTCCATTCTTTGCATAATTACTTTGGTTAGCGCCGCGATACTTGGAGAATCTAGAATATCGGAAGTTTGCATGGGAGCATGTAAAACTTTCGTGATCCAATTCTTCAACTCAATCGCGATCAGCGAGTCCAGCCCAAAATTCACAATTGGAGTAGCGATGTTGATATTGTCGTAATTCATTGCCACCAGCAATGAAACCTTCTCTCGGATAGCGTCCGCGATTAAATTTCCCCTGTCCTCTGGAGATTCGAGACAAAGCAATTGGAGCTTCTCGATGGGGGTCTTGGTGATTGTGGATGACGGAGAAACTCGACCATGCTGATTTGAAGCAAAAACCTGGCTGAAGATTGGGTTTCTGGAGTAGAAGGACTTGTTGTCCTCTGATGCAGCCTGCATATCCAGTCCGATGAGAATCTGATTTGTAGATCCCCCTGTCTTTCGTGTGTCCATTGCATAGTCCAGATAAGGAAATAACACCTCATTCGATATCGACAGAATACCTCTACGAAGAAGCTTCATTTGCTGTTCCTTTGGTATCACATGAGTGTCAGATAGTACCGCCATATCCAGCGACTTAACGTTCTTCCAACATCCAAAGTCGTCTCCATGAGCAACGTGATCTTGGTACGTATTCCCGGCTGCGTAATTCGCCTGTCCTGGCAGACCAACAATTCCCGAGAGCGAAGATAGCATGACGAAAAAGTCCAAGTCTGTATTCCGGAAAACCTCTACTAAATTCTGCGTGCCCTGATATTTTGGTGCAATCGATGACTGTAGATCGTCGACTGTCATGTCGGAAAGGCTTCGATCTCGAAGAATCATAGGACCTTGCAAAATCCCCTTTAAAGGCGGGAAATCAGTAGAAAGTTCACATGAGAGCTTCCGCACATCCTCTAATTTGCTAACATCACAAGATATGATGCGGACGTGGGTTTTCTTGTTGCTGAGCTCTTTTTCGACTTCGGCTTGGTCTTGTGGTGGGAAGATTTGCCTCGAGAGTAGAATAATATATCCGGCACCGAGAGCGCTGAGGTGACTGCAAATCTGTCTCCCAAGCTTCCCTAGACCTCCAACTATCACGTACGTGCCATCCACTTTCAAGCGCAACGGTTGTACTTTTGCGGATACTGACTTGCCAGGTGCAGTATCCAACACAAGCTTCCCGGTATGTTTCCTCGCTTGCATCATTCTAAACACGGTCTCGATTTCGGAGATGGGCGTTGCGGTGACTGGTAATACCGGCTGTAGAGTGCCATTATCGAACATAGAGAGGACAATACTAAGAATCCCTTGGACAATATCAGGTCGGCGGCGTGCTAGCAGAATCATATCCACGGAGGCGAAAGTGATGTTCTTATCGAAAGGCTCCATATCAAGCTGCGCGTTTCGACGGATTTCCATCTTCCCGACTTCCACAAAGGTACCCATTTCAGCAATGCATTCCCAGGTGCTATGTAGCATCTCACCCGAGAGTGCATTAAGAGCAACGTCTACTCCCTGCCCATGCGTCATTCGAAGGATACCGTTCTTGAAGGCCGTTGTTCGAGAGCTGAAAACATGATCTTCCGGAATGCCCAACTCGCTTGTAAGGAGTTGCCGCTTGAATACAGTGCCCGTGGTTGTGAAAATCTCAGCGTCGTAAGATCGAGCAATCTGGATTGCCGCTTGCCCGAGCGCACCTGAACCAGCGTGGATGAGAACACGCTGGCCATGTTGTAAACGTGCGACTCTGACAAGACTGTAATAGGCTGTACAGAAAGCTACTGGTATGGATGCTGCGGTAATGAACGACATCGAATGTGGCAGCTTATGGACGGCATGCCCGTTTGCTCGAGCTTTGCTGGAGTATGGAGTCGCTGTTAGGGCACATACTCGATCTCCGATGCTGAACCTGTCGATGAAGTTTTCGCCGACATTTCTGACTATTCCGGCGCATTCACCGACCATGTTATCCGTTGATCTCATTTGGCCTAGAGCAATCCAAAGATCTTTAAAGTTGATCCCGCAGGCATGGACCTCAATTTCCACATCATCAAATCCAAGACTTGAGGGACCATCGTCATCTATAAATTGAAGCGTGTTAAGTAGACCAGGAGTACCAACTTTCAATTTCAAGGGGCGGCTATGTGAGTGAAAGTCGGTAGCCTCATTCTGCCTATCAAGGGAAGTGTCCGATATGGTTGCATCAAGTTTTTCATTTTTAACGATCCTAGGAATATGCAATTTCCCATTCACAAGTCGATATTCGAATTCCGCAATCTTCAATTTGGAAGAGCTATTGTCTTGGGAAATAATGAGAGCCAATTGAGTAGTTATTCTTTGATGGCAACTGTTGAAGTCATGCTGGACATCAATCGTAACCAAATCGATCGACTCGTACTCTGACCGAGCGGTCCTAGCAAACCCAGCTGCTAAGCTACCTCCGGGATCTTGTGTAGCATTGGAATCGGCTAGATTTATCCAGACGATCTTTGCCCCTTTGGTTAAAATGACTTTGATCCTTTGGAAAGGCTCTTCTGCGCAGTTTGCTAGGACGGGGTTGCTTGAGGAATCGATAATGATATATGTTGCGGTGCTGTCGAACTCATCATGGGACCATGATTCACTCGCTGTTTGGCATCCTACGCAAGTTAACTGTTTACGCAATGATGCGACTAGCTGGTGACCCAGATGATCTGGATGAAGGTGATTCAGTACTTTTGCATGATGTACGTGATAGCCGTTCGATTCGGATGGAATCTTGGTTCTGGAAATCAAGAAAGCAACTCTACGGGATGGTCCGGGAAAGTCATATGCAGCCAACTCAACCCCGGTAAATGAAGAATGGCGGAGGCGAGTATCCCATTTGTCGACGGACAGTAGGGGGCTATCATATCTTCCATCGTTATTCCCTAGCTGAAGTTAGTATATAGGACAATGCAGTTGCTTGTGGTCTTACTCGAACCCCATCCAGGGAGAAGAGCGAACGTCATATCAAACATGGCACTGCTCCTGGTCAACTCGGTTAAAGCCAGGACACCCCCAGGCTTCAACAGCTTATGTACATTCGAAAGCGTAACCGAGATTGTTTGGGTTGCATGAAGGACGTTGCCAGCGATGACCACGTCGTAAGAGTGTTCCTCGAACCCCTGTTTCCGGGGGTCTTTCTCGATATCTAGCGACTTCATTGTAATGAGATTTTCCCAATTTTTCAAACCTACCTTAGCTTGCTCGAAGAAACCCGATGAAACATCCGTAAAGTCGTAGACTGTAGCGAATGCTTGACCAGTCGGACTCAAGGCTGAGAATAATGGGATCGTCGATCCGCCAGTGCCTGCTCCAATCTCCAAAATTCGGAGGGCAGGGTTCTTGAAAGCCAGATGCTGAATGTAATTGATGAGATAAGTATTGCAACGGCGTGTGCAGTCGTCTTGATAGACTCGATAAAGCAGTTGATTCTCAAGCAATAGCCCGAGTGGATCGGTTTCTCCAGTAAGGATGGAGCTAAGAGAAGGTCCCACCCGTGCAAGCAACTCTCCCTCCACCCCTAAATTCGATAGATCGTGAAGAACGTCTTGCTGGTTGGTTAGTAGATTCTCTGTGCTCCCGGATTTTGCATGTCTGGCCATCAGATCAAATAAACCTGCATAAGAGTCCACTGGTCTCCGATCTAAATGTCTCAATTGTTCTGCCGCCTGTTGGTTGAAGAAGTTAGCTGCGTTCAGGAGGCGCTTAAGCTTTCTTTCTTGTTGTTCGATGTCAAGCTCCGGTTCTCTATCCAGAGATTCTAAATCTTCGGCGGTTATCGAAGCAGGATCTATGCTCCATCTCATTTCAAACACGGTATCCTCTGCATTGGACTGCAAAGCGCTTGTCCGTTCACTGGTAGCCCGCAGTTCACCACCATAGCATGAAAATACGGGTTGAAGCTCTCCAGATGTGTCTGCCTGAAATCCTACGAGGTCAAACGTCGCAGAGTTTAGAAAAACATCCCGAAGCTCGCAAGTGACTATAAGCTCCACTCCGGCTGGGTGGATGTTGCGTGGTGATACATTAATGCCCTGGATAGCAATCGGCATTGCGGCACGAATGCGCTGTTTTCTTGAGAAGAGAAGAACGGCAGTTTGCAGGGCTGCATCTAATACAGTGGGATGGATGATGTATGGCGACGAATAATTCGCTCTCATGATAGTGGCTGTATCCGGAATGGAGACTGTGGCTATTGCCGCTGACTGAGAGACCGAAATTTTCTTAATCAAGGCAAATGAGGATCCATACTCGTTACCAAGGAGTCGTAACGTCTCATACAAGGTTTCTGGTTTAATTTTCTCTGAACATAGTTCAGTGAAATGTTGCAGGCTTAGCTTTTGTTGCCGAGTAACAAGGGATTCCTCTTGACACTGTTCACGGTCTTCCATCACTCCTAATGTCGAAAAGATTTTGATCTGTCCCTGGCAGTGCTCTCGCCAATTACCGTCCGATAGGGAGAAAATCCGAAAATCAGACCACAGAGTGTCATTCAACTTCAGGGTGAGGACCATCTCAACCCGGTTGGGCAATTCTGGTAGGCTGAGTGTACGCTTTAACGATACTCGACGAAATTTAAAGGTGGTATCCGGAAAGTTACTGCCACGCTTCCACTGCCGGATAGCTTCCATTACCATAGCCAAGTATGCTGTAGCAGGGAAGATGACGAAGCCATCCACTTGATGATCTTCGAGCCATGGAAGACTGTCTCGGCCAAGGAGAACACACCAACTCGGCTCATCCTCTGGAGACGTCAAAGTCCGAGTGCCTAATAGCTCGTGCGGGGAAAAGGGCCGGAACCTATAATCCCAGCTCAGACGGGGTTCATGCCAAAAGATCTTCGAGTGATCCCATTGGTAAGGCGGAAGATCCCGAATGGAAGAAGTGATGGCCTCTAGGGATGAGTTTTCGTGCTGCGGATAAAATTTTGCATCGACACCTGTTTCGAAAAGGGCAGCAATTGTTTCTAGAAACGACATTACCCCATCCCCGTTCCTAATTAGAGTAGGGATGTATAGCCAAGAGGGGAGAGAAACACTCGATGCCGACAAGGTTTGATGTATGGGTCCCTTGAGTGCCGAGTGAGGACCGATTTCGACAAAATTGAGGTGCTCAGCGTTGCTGAAATCCTGGCATATTGCCTCTAATCCATTCGAAAATTTTACCGGTGAGACAAGATTAGAAACCCAGTACTCTGGACCGAAACTGGAGGTTCTCTTTTGAGCTGTCACGGTCGAGTAGAATTCCACTCCGAGGGATTTGGCGGCGGTAGTAAGGCTAGAAAGTCTAGAACGATAGTAGCAAGCTACCGATTCCATGTGATGGGAATGATACGCCGCATCCACTTTCAAATGCCGAGTGAAAATTCCGTCTGTCTCTAATGCTGCCTTCAGCCTCAAAATAGCGCTTAGGTCACCAGATGTTGTGATGGATGCAGGGCTGTTAACGCAGGCAAGGGTGACCCGATCCGATATCCCCAATACGCCCATTCGACTGCGTACCTCGTTCTCACTTGAACCCACCGCTAGCATTGCCCCAGGCACATCAATTTTTTCTTTTGCTATTTCTGCTAAGAAGCCGCGGTGGTATGCAACTTCAAGAGCTCCTTGGCGAGATAGAAAACCAGCAGTGTATGCTGCGGAGATCTCACCGCTTGAATGCCCAATGACAGCTTTAGGGGTAATGTTCCAGGTCTTCAGCAGATCTACCAAAGCTACCTGAACGGCAGTTGTAGCAGGTTGTCCTATCCTGCTATCATGGATCTTCGACATCTCACCGCTTAATTGAAGTTCGCGCTCAAGGCTCCAAGATGCACCGAGGTTACGAAGTATATCATCCGAAAGACGGATCGATCGTGCGAATTCGGGGTATACCATGAGGTCAAGCCCCATCATCGGCCACTGTGCTCCTTGCCCAGTGAATACAAATACTACGCAAGATTTGCGGTCTTTCTGTAGAACTCGGGTCTTCTCTTCTAGCCCGTTTATTAATGAGGCGAGATTATTCGCAATTACTGCACGCCGCCATGGAAAAACAGATCGCCTCAATGACAGGGTGAGCGCAAGGCCGGCGAAATTCAGAGGTCTACTTCCTCGAAGCCATGTCATCATGGCATCAAGGTATCGAGAAAGTGACACCTCTGATTTTGCCGAAATTAGAAATAGATTCTGACTAGGAAAGCGAGTTTCGGAAATGAATTTCCTCGCAATAGCTTGGCGGGGGGTAGAGGTTGCAAGTGAGGCTAGATCTGCCTCTTCTAGAATTGCCATGGCGTTGGTGCCTCCGTAGCCAAAGTTGTTCACCACAGCTCGCTTCGGTCTTGAAGACGGCCATGGGACTTGTGAGGTTGGAATCTATATGGCGGTCAATAAGAGGGAGATCAGTATCCAAGTCCTTCTGATTACCTCAATGCTCGATTGATCTAGATGCAAGCTTTCTTTGCCCTTCAAAAATAGAAGATTTGGGGGAATGCAGCTTTTCTCCATACATAGAATCGTTTTTATCAAGCCTGCTACACCGCTCGCGGACTCCAGATGCCCGATATTAGGTTTCATGGAACCCACAAGTAATGGGTGATCTCGAGATTTGTGGACAGCATAAATTTTTTTGATGGCGCCAATTTCAGCCTCGTCGCCAGCAGGTGTTCCTGTCCCGTGAGCCTCTATATACTGAATGTCTGCAGGGGTGAAGTTGAGATCGCGGAAAGCGCCTTGAGCAAGTCGCTCTTGGGCATCCTGACTTGGGAGAGTTATTCCGGTAGTCCGGCCATCTTGGTTGACATAAGTGTTCCTTATGATCGTTCGAATCTGATCACCGTGGCGAATTGCGTCGTCGAGACGCTTGAGAAGGACCATTGCGGCGCCTTCACCGCGACCGTATCCAAGGCCTCTAGAGTCAAACGAATAGCAACGCCCCTCGTTGTTCAGAATCTGTTGCTGCGACATTGCAATCATTTGGTCGGGCGATAATATCAACACAGCGCCTCCTGCAAGGGCCATGCTCGATTCAAAGTTGCGTAGGCTCTGACATGCTTGATGAAGAGCGACGAGACTTCCAGAGCATCCGGTATCTACCGTCACTGATGGGCCTTTGAGGTCAAAGGTGTAGGATATTCGATTAGCGAAAGTTGCAGTTCCCGTTCCGACGAGGTGGTATCGTGTGAGGTCGCCGGGGTCTTTCGACAACAAGCGTTCATAATCGTTAGCGAATGTTGCAGCTATTCTTTACTTTAGCTTTTTCGTGAATTTGTGTGGACAACTCATATTTCATACCAAAAACGGCTGTGTCTGTCCCTTTAAATTCCTCTAGGGGGATACCAGCGTTTTCCGCTGCTTCATATGATGTCTCAAGGAGGAGCCGTTGCTGAGGATCAATCGCCCGTGCCTCAAGGGGGGAGATTCCAAAAAAATCTGCATCGAACGCTCTAACATCTTGTTGGATGAAATGTCCTCCTCGATGATTCATGAAACCTTGTGCTTCTGGTGATGGATGGAAAAATGTCTTCCAAGTAAATCGATCTTCCGGTATTTCCGACCAGGCATCGCGGCCTTCTGCAAGCATCGACCAGAGAGCCTCAGGATTGTTTGCTCCACCAGGAAGTCTGCATCCTATCCCAACCACGGCGATGGAAATAGGCTCTCCACAGGCCATGACGAAAACAAAGCAGGAGGCCTGACTGCAGAAATGACAGATTTTCAGGAATCCATGCTGGAATGGTATTTCGATCTCAAGGCAATTCGATCTGGAAGCTCTTCAGTTTTCGATCGTTATACCCATCTCCGTGATATGTTAAATGAACCACGTTCTGTGCCGCATTGCTGGAGCCGATACTCCTCGGTATCTTCCATGTGAGCGACATTAGGGTTGATGCTTCAATCAAATTCCAAAGACGTTTAATTGGATCCTCGTGACACCCCTGCTCGGTTTCATTGAGTTGGATTTGCGCCGAACGAGGCCTTGCTAGGGTAGCGAGTGTGATCCCTCCAATCGTGAAGGCCCCACATGTACTAAGATGGGGCAATATAGTAGGAAATAATAGAGGGCTGTGCCGTAATGTATCTCATGTTCGAGGGTTCAGGTTGTAAGCTTGTGAAATGATATTCCAAAGGCAATCAAGATTGATCAAGATTGACGCGCTTAAGCGATACCGTTCCAGCTCCCAAGTTCAGGTGGAGACGCGTCTTGCACTTAGTCTGCGCTATCTTCCCCTGCCGCAATTTCAATCACCGTGCCCTTGACCCAGACTGAACACGAAGATTCCTTAGCTCTTGGAAAAGAAAAGAGGTTCGGTTTTGACATTAAAGATTCTACCAGTAGATTCCTTAGCGAAAGTTCATCATTGCTTTAGGAAATGATCCCTTCGACCGTTTTTGTTCTTGATAACTAAGTTCAACTGGGGCGAGAAAATTAAATTGGGGTGATTTCCAGTCGCCTGGTCGATATTTCTGCAGCTGGAGACATCTCAGGTTCATCAACTAGTTGGACACCCCTTAACCCGGGAGCTCTATTGTCGTCATTCTTGCTTCTCCATTCGTAGTATCGATCCTCTAAGTACTCGATAGCCCGAGTGAAATCCTCCGTTGGCAAGACTCTTTTTAGAGCAAGCGTCGACGCTGGAAGGGCAGCACATATGATTGTGGTGCTGCTTTCAATGATAGTCCATACGCAAGGTTCCACCATACTGAAGGTGAGGTCATCATCGCGAACTTTGAGCAACGTGACATACCGTTTACATGCCACTCCACAAGTCCTGCGCCAGTGATATGTCAGCCTCAGAATGCGGACCTATATAGAGCATACTCACGCAATTCCAACCCCAAACAGCGCCACTAGGCCAATCTGCCGTGCTCGAGACAGTTTCATTGACCACAGAACTGGCAACGGGACGATTAGAATAGCGAAATCGGTTATTATCCAGGGAATTGGTGTGGCAAAATACTCGACTTGGACGACTTTGTTGTTGCAAGTTCCTTTGACGTTCGGATTCCACCTTGAGTTGATGGGAAAGCAGATAAATGTGTCAAGCAAGATGGTCGAAACCCACCAACATAGGACAATAATTGTAAGGGCGCGCACGACTTTCCGAAAGCTCTTGAGTGAGATCGAATTATTGAGAAGCCAAAGAATAGACAGTTTTGCAGTTGCGTAGCAAGTCGGCATGACTAATCCGGCTGCGAAGTAACTCTTCATGAAGAAGGCAAGTTCTTCATGAGTTAAATCCGAAGTATGGTGTCCGAACCCTCCATACTTGATCGCTGATGTAAATTAGCCTCCTTTCAACCTATCCACAGTGGGTATTTGTGAGGAAGGACTTGCCTGTTACGAACAGAATGTTCATGCCCAGCATCTGAAGTACGGCAGCCAAAAGAAGGATATCGTCCCATGTCAGCCTCTTCCACTGAATCCATTTTGAGGTTACTCGGAGGGTCACAGCGACTATGGAGAAGAGAGAAAAGACGACCATGAAGCAGATAACCTTCGTTCCGTTTTCTGGTTCACCATCAGATCTTCGAGGCTCGTCACGCGGAATTGTGGGAATCAATGGGGGCATCTCCCTTCTCGACAGATGATTTGCGCGATCGGAAATTTCAGTGTTGGTAGCAAAGAGGTAAGATTGAGCGCCCTGAGACCGCAACCCCAGGTCCGACGTTTACAGGACCCATTTGCTTATTAGTCCTTGCAGCAAGCGTTTATAGGCTTCGATTGGGCTAGCATGGAATTTGTGACTTGAGCCGAGCACTTTGTACTACGCGCCTCCATTTTTGCTGCTGGATGTGCGTGTGGGGCTCAGCAGTCAAGGTGTCCATAATGGGAACGGTTGGAGGAGGCGAAGGAATTTCCTTTCTAGGAAGCTACTTAAAGCCACGGGGTTGCAGAGGGGCCGAAGTGTGAAACAACGCGAACGCAGTGATAGGCTTAGATTAACAACATCTGCACCACATATGAAAGGCAATATATTCCGGTAAGCGAATGAGGAGTGCTCTTAAACCGGTACGTAGAGTATCTGAGGCGTACAACGGGTGGTGTCGTAACGTCGCATTGAACAAGAGCGCGTAGTGTGCAGAGGAATTGAAGGAGCCAAGGATCTTGGATCTTGAGAGAAGAACGCGAGATGTGTAGACAAGGAGTAATGCGACGGCTGGTGTTGAGTTCCAGTCCTAAACTAGGCCTGGACAGGAATAGCTTCCGCTCATCCTCTGTGTCCACTTTGGGTAAGGGCATTCCCCATCTGGGTCTTCCATCCAGACCCCTTCCTTCATCCAGCAATCTCTCAACGGTGTTTTGTGGGAGATGCCACCTATGAGGACCGCCTTATCACGAGGATACGCGAGCCCTTCATAACAAAATACCGCCCATTGCCGTCCTGTGTTGACGCCTAACTAGACATTCCCTACAACAGACCTGGCAATGGAGAATGCAGGTGTTGTTTGCCCTCAGTCTTCCGGTGTGCTAGCCCTGAGAGGTATCGGTTCCCATGGCACAGCAATGTCGCGCCTGCTTCTCCGATACCACAGCACCGGAATGTAAACGCATCGCAATGCAACACCTTCACACTCTGGGGATTCCGGTTACCGCAAGAACCCCAGCTCGTCAAATGTGTACTCCAGGCGAGGGTTGAAACTGAACTATCATGAGCAATCCCGTTCCGAGTGTGAGAGGGACCAATTCGCAATTGCTGTTAGGATGTTCCAGCATTTTGGTTCTTGATGAAGCCATTTTCCGGGTATATGCACTCTAAATCCTTTAAGCCGGGATGTGAAGCGCACCCCCAAGACCCCCGCAGAGATGATAGAGAACACCTCTCTTTCCCAAATTCAGAGCCAAATTGAGCTCCGCGACTAATTCATTCCCATCTGCCGAGGCGCGCTTATATGTGCCTCACTCTCCCTGTTGGCTTTTAATTACTGACCATACGATCTTATCAGCCTGTAACATGTCTCCCCTCACTCACGGATCTACCGGATGTGTATTTCTGAAAACAAGGAATGCTCGACCAACCTATTTCGCACTGCCATGCCCCGAAACTAATGCCATAGCTAAGCTCACGAGCCTCAACACCAGGTCCTGGCTCCAGAGCCTCAAACACCACCATGAGTGGCGCCGATGCCATTGAGCCAAACCCGGATCGGAAAAGTGGCACAATACCCGAGGTTGAGGAGCTGGAGAAGGTTGAAGTCGTGGAAACTCCTCCTGAGCCATCCGCGCTCTCTGGGGAGTCGGACCTGAAGGAAATCTACCCGGATACTCTCCATTTTGCTCTAGCCACAGTTGCCCTAATGGTAGCTGTGTTCCTGGTGGCATTAGACGTTCACATCCTTGGTATGATTCAATGGAGTCTTGTTCGAGTCTACTGCTAATTTGAGCAAGCAACCGCGACTCCAAAGATAACAACCGAGTTCGACAGCCTCCTTGACTTGACATGGTATGGAGGAGCATATCTTTTGACGCAAATCGCCTTGCAGCCAACATACGCTCGACTCTATCAAGTGTTTCCAATCAAACACATTTTTGTCACCGCTACGATCATCCTGGAGGTGGGGAGTGTCATAGCTGCGACTTCCACATCATCCCGTATTCTGATTGCGGGAAGAGCAATCCAAGGATCCGGGGCTGGAGGAATCATTGCAGGTGGACTTCTGATGATCAATTATCTGATTCCTAAACCTAAACGCCCTGTTTATCTTTCCATCATCGCAACTATGTATTCTGTTGCTGCGATTGCCGGACCTGTCCTCGGTGGCGTCTTCGCGGAATCGCGGGTAACGTGGCGCTTCTGCTTTTGGATGAACCTTCGTGAGTTTCTCGCTTCATTACTATGGCAATGTGATCTTGAGGAAAAATACCCCGGATATCCGAAGAATGGACCATGCTGATTCTCCATAAGCCCAAGGAACTCAAAGAACTCCAGCTAACAAGAAGGGCAGCCATTGGCTTTATCACAGGTTCTATGATCATTTTCGCATTCCCGGAGCCGAAACGCGTTGCTACCGAACAGCCTCTCAAGAAGAAAATAATGACATTGGATCCTTTCGGAGCTAGTATCCTCATTTCTTGGGTAACATGCCTCTTGCTGGCTTTACAAAGAGCGAGCATTCCGCAGCCCTGGTCTTACTCGGGAATTTGGGGACCACTCCTTGCCTTCGGAATTCTGCTTTGTATCTTTATCATATTGCAATACTACCAGAAAGATCAGTATGTTTCTCAATCTCACTATATATTACTCTCTTTACTAACATAAGAAGGGCAATTGTTCCAGTTCGCATCCTCACGCAGCGAACTATCGCTGCCTGTTGCCTCTTTGAAACCACCGTTTTCCTCGCTACAACGACTATTGTATATTACCTACCCTTCTACTTCCAATCTGTCAAAGGATTCAGCCCACATAAATCCGGAATTTACATTCTTCCGTTCGTCGTCACCAATTCGCTCTTCGCTTTTGCTGGAGGAGTCGCAATATCTAAAACTGGCGTCTACGTGCCGTTCATGTGGGGTGGCGCCGCATTAATGATTATTGGATGCGGTCTCCTCTTTACCCTCAACATTAATAGCCCCGATGCTCATATCGTGGGGTACCAGCTTATTGCGAGTATCGGATATGGACTATGCGTGCAAGTCCCCTTTACGGCCGTCCAAATTCTTCCGGAGAAGGATATACCTATTGGAAATGGATTGATGGCATTCTTTCAGGGACTTGGGGGAGCACTAGCCGTTAGCGCCGCTCAGACCATATTCTCCAATGCATTGCACAAGCATTTAGCAGAGATCCCAAATATTAACGTCGATGTCATCATATCTTACGGCGCAACGAATTTCGTATCGAGAATTCAAGGTAACCTTGTACACGCTGTGCGACAGGCATACGGTGCAGCTACGAGGGAAGCATTTATGCTACCGATCATTGGCTCAGGCCTGGCGTTGCTTGCTACTCTTGGTGTCGAATGGAGGAGGCATCACGTCCCGAAGTCGAAGGATCCGGACGAGCCTGGGGTGACGGAGCGGAGAGTCATAATTACGGAGTGAAAGACCTGTAATGCATTGCCTATGGCTGGGGTGCTTTGCTACGTACGACTCGGAAAGTCGTTCATTGATTAAGAGCAGTCACAACACTGACTGCTCGGCCAATTACCCGTCACCGGCACACCAGCCCGCACTATTTAAGCAATTTTCTCCCACAATTTGTCCCTACCGCAAGCTACTCGACCTCTCCAACTCTCCATTCTTGCCCAACCAAGATATCTGCGCAGATTATTCGCTCCATGGCGGACTCAGTTGGGGTTAAAACGTACGTGCTAGTCCACAAGGCTCGTGGCATCCACAAGCTTACACACGCTAACGCCAATTTCATTCCTAGGCTAATTGACGACCCCTCGTTCTCTACTGTCGAGCTCGTAGATACCTACGAGGGCGAGGTCGAGGAGTACTTTGCTCGTCGGGCGATTTTTGCGAACAGTGAGCTTAGTTTATGCGAACCCTAGAGGCGATTTTTTAAGTATGTAAGGAGAACAGGTTTACTAGGTATTTCTCCCGTAACGTGAGAACGGAAGCCGTGAAACCAGTCATGGAGATCTACAACGATTACCAGGATCTTGCAAGCGAATAGCCTACGCCTACCATGCTCCTCTGTATTCAGCTCTATGCTCTCGCCGACAAATATGAGGTTCTGAGACTCCTGAAGGGCCGTCGTAGATGGCTTCGAGCGCCTCGCAAGCAAACACACCAAGGAGCTAGAATGGAAGAAGGTCGTCTACTCTTACTATGGAGTTTGTGTAGTAGATGATGGCCTATTAGTTTGGAAACTCTACTCAGAACCTACACATTACGCAAATTTTCTGTTTGTGTTCTTCCGCACTCAAGAATGTGGAATTTTGTGGAAGTAAAATGGTGCATTTGAGAGAGAGATAAACTTAGAGGTGCGAAAATACCTCACTATATTACGTGGTAACGCTGGAGCATCAGGTCACCAGGTGCGCATACAAATCTGACCAGATTGACGGTTGATGGGTGGGCTATGCAACTGCGTCTTCTATGATCATGATATCTGACCTAGCGGGCCAATATCTCCAGGTTTCAGGAATCTTAGCCTGAAGACCAGATCATATTGCGTTATAGGATAGAGCATGAGTTGGAGCTAGAGAAAACCAGTCAAGAGCGCCAGTTTGCATTCCCTGAACCTCTGCTGCTATGTTAGCAAGAATGCTAAAGAATAAATTCCTCTACATTCAATTATTTCTGCCATTGAACCAGACTACTTAGAATTACATCCCCCGACACATACTCTTCTTTTCGAAGAGTTAAGTATACAAGTTCCAGGATCCGGAGAGAGGCGCTAGTCCGGAATGACTTAGTGCACTTTCGCAACGTTGCCTCTGATCAGCTGCGCCTCATCAGCAAACCTCGCTTCTCTGTGCCTAACAGCAAACATGGCACAACCCAGCAGCTCCTCAATCACAAAGTAAGCGCCGTGCCTCGAGGTATTATATCATGAATGATACTTATCAAGTCGCCGTTGTCAGCCTCTTTAATGACTCCCGTCTCTCCGATGTCACAATTCACCAAGTATCCGGAGGTGAAATACGGGAATACAAGGCACACCGGGCACTTTTAGCAATATACTCCAAGTGGTTTCTGAATGCCTTTATAGGACCTTACAAGGCAAGATTGAAGCCCCTAATATGCATTCATAGGCTCATCTTGATTAGGAAGCAAAGACGGACGCAATTGAAATGCATGATGACGACCCCGACGCTTTTCGGTTCGTGTTGAAGTATATGTACACCGACCATTATGACGACGAGGAGATCAAAGAAATGATCGGATATGATCCGAGCAATGTTTTTCTTCCCCACATCAAGATCTTCATAGTGGCGGACAAGTACGACATCGAGCGCCTTCGAAGCGAGGCTATGAAAAATCTTGAGAAAGCTGTATGGAACATGGATGAAGGTATTGAATTACTTCTCTCCAACCTTGTCGTTGGCGTCGAAGCCTACTATGGCATCGGCATGGACGATGGTACTCAGATGGGATCGAGACTTGCTTCCATCATCCACCGTCATCCTGGAATGAGAAAATTCACGCGGTCTCCGATTTTTGCGAAGTTGGTCCGCGAATTTCCATCTTTCGCGGCAGATGTTCTGCTCCATGAGCGATTTCTATCGGTCACGAAATGTACATGTTCTAATTGTAAGAAGCCTTCAACGTACGTGGAGAGAAGCCATAACGGGTGGGGATATTGCTTTGAATGTGGTAAATCACAATGGTTCAATGGAAAGGAGATGGATGATGAGTAGCTTCCTGTGTTATCCGCAAACTTCAGGGAATGCTCGCGATAAGTTACCTAGGTATATTCCTAGAGAAGATATTTTCCGACATGAACGGTTTATCTAAGACTGAATAGAGTCCATATATACCGAGATAAGATGAAACCACAACATCTCTTCCCGAGCACTTTATTTAATGAAGCTAATTCTTCGAGTATCTAGGGACCCAGGTACTTGACCCATGTCACGTGCTCAAGATAGTCGTTCGACTTAGAAAGTCACGTTTTAAGTAGCTATGAATCATCATGCAAAAATTCATCCTTTGGGTTTCCTCGCAACACTATATACCCTCCTCTACTATCTGTCGGCTACATAACTAACCCCCTGCGATAAAGGCATCAGCTGTCCGAGAATGAAAACTCAATTGCCCGGCCCAGCAAAAGAACCAGGGAAGAAACCTTGTCGGAATTTTGATTTTCGGCTTACTTTGCAGCCCGAATCATATCTCAGAGTTAGTTATGTAACTGATGGATAATAGAGGAGGGCATATGGAGTTGCGAGTAGTCAATTAAGTGGTGAGAGCCAAACTAGGTCGATTGAGCTGAGATGTAAGGTCTCTAGAGGTCAAGAGCCTCTAAGGCAACTATATCGGGAATAAGAAGGGTGCTAGGCCGAATCAGGTATGCACTAGTCTTCAGAGAAAACGGGTGAGTCAAGTCAATGACCCGCTGACTTAGGGTCACGTGAATCAATGTCACATGTGACAAATCGTAGTATGCATAAGTGTTATATCACGGGTTAGACGCTCGTCCGGGGTTTACCTAGGCCCACCACAGCACTATGGCTAATGTTGTCACGTTTTTTGCAACCGTCTGCAGAGCGTCTAAGGAGAATTAGAGTAAATTTGTATGTATCTCTATTTAGCTTTTAACCTTCTTTAATATTTTCTTTCCTACGACATGATATATATTTATTAGGTGCAAGTAAAACTTAAGCGACTAAGCTATGGAGTGGCTACATTTTAAGAAAGCTAAACTTACAAATCAAGAGTATAGTACACTTGTAATGGGCTGGTGCCCAGAGGTATTAGCTAGGGATTAGCTGGCAGGATTAGGGAGGGCATAGAGGATATTTCTGAAAACTGAAGTAATCTGCAGCAAATTGCAGCAAACTGCAGTACACATCAGCCGTGTTGCAAGCGGGGCTAAGCTATCTAGGTGTGATGGTATAAAACCTAGTTCCGTAGTGAGGACACAGTTCTTCTTCTTCGTCAATTCAATACTGTTACTAGGTATTTGCCAGCTGCGCCGAGACATTACAATACTACTAAAGCTTGTTCTAAAACACTTTGCAAATATTACTTTCGCCTACGCAAATTAACTGCTAGAGCAGCTAGAGACAAGCTAGGAGCTAGAGCTAATTTGCCTGCTTGTACATAATTAGCTCTAGCTTTTAGCTTGCCTCTGGCTGCTCTAGTAGCCAGGTTGCATAGAGGAGGAAATTCAGTGTAGTCACGTAAACATTAATTTAACGCGCCTAGGCAGTGGAAAGAGGGAGGTTTAATTAAAATTGCAAATGTCTATAATAGTTTAAGCCTTAGGCAATCTTTAGTCTGTACAGTAAGCAGTTAGAGGTATCTTGTAATAAAGAAGTATGTTAATGAAGTAAAGAAAGTTTGCTTAACAACAGCGGCTAAGATACATTAAAGCTTGTATTATTTTCTCTTAGACCCTCTATAGTGATTTGTGGAGCGTAGCGCAGCAGGGTAAACCCTCCTTAGCAATCGGTATTACCTATTGCCGACGCTCGGTGGATCCTTCAGAGGTTATGGCTCGTGAGATAACATAAATGCGGGACCCGATGTTGGCGGTGCTGGTGCTGGGCTTCCTCAGAACAATTATTGATAGCACAGGTACTCATATCTACCAACAATCCCAAGACAAGATTAGTATACTCAGACTATATTTGAAACACGTGAACTGACGAAGTTTCCTTATGATATTTTTAGCGCAGTATATTTATCATTTCATTTTTATTTTAGTCGCCCAGAAAGTAAATCAAGATGCCTTAGATGGGAATAATGAGGATGAATGGATTCTTGGCCAGATCATGACAGCCATAATACCGCTTCAAACCTTAGTTCAACTTGCCATGGCTCTGCACGGTATTCCTATACTCCAGTTCAATTCTTCTATCGCTTTATCGACCCGCTAATATATTTTCTAGAGACTTATAAGGAACCTAGCAATGAGGGAGTTGGCTTGAATGATCTATCAGCCATGAGTCAGACCAATAAGCATGTATGGCGATGTAATTAAGACCGTGATCTTTGAGCATTGGAATCACTATGTGGCATGTTTATGTGCCTTCTTTGGCCCTTTTTTTTTAATAAACATCGTGTCAAAGCAAGGCTGAAACTAGCGCGAAACCTTGGCCCACAATCTAACCTAGCGACCCTAACTCCAGTGTCGATTTTACATGAATCATATTGGGGATAGAGACGAATGGATCGCGAGGCGTGCTTAATGCTTGGCTTAAATTCTCCATAGTAAAGAATCTCATGTACTTTCGATCCGTAGACTTTAGTCCGTCGTCAATAGAGCCGCGCCTTACCTCGCGCATTGAGAAGCCGCTGTTAACACCAGTGACATTCCAGCTCCAGCACAATGCTCTATAATCAGGTATAATCTTTCGAAGGACTATGCGGTATATCGAATTTGGGTGCTTGGCTCCAAAGGATGCACTTGGTGCACATGCGCACATGATCCCAACGAGGATTTCCGAGAGTCTGAGGCACGACCGTGATCAGCATAGGTCCACCTGCTATCTAGAGAAACGCGAAGTAACTTACGTTGCGATATTGACAAGAACATCTGTCCAAGTTTTATCCTTTTCATTTTTCAACGCATACCGAAAGTAGATGCTGCATGCCGAGCAACCGCAGGCCCTGAACGAAGTCTCAGTATCTCCCGAATTTACTGAGGGGAAACGTACAAAACACCCGAAAGAAATATCAACAATGTGCCAATCTTCCTCATTCGTGACATATTAAGCCTAGATATGGCAATGGTCGGAATAACGAGAATATACACATCCACGATCAAACCAAGAAGCGATGCAGGGACTCCAACTTCGAGGGCTTTGTGCTCCCATGTATCAGCACGATAAGGACTTGCGACTGTAAAAGAGTATACCCCCAAGACTACATGGATGATGGTAATACAGCATAGCCCGATCCAAGAGCAGATTCGGACCCATCGAAGTGATTCGAAAAGATGGAGGTATAGGATGAAGAATGAGGCTTTGAGGAATACTAGCACGATGGGTGGTAAGACGAACATGAGGTATGTCGTCTGACATATTGTCAATTTCGTCAATATTAGGTGGAGAAGAGGTACCGTACTACGAGAAGGTTTGGACTTAAGGCCTGGAGACGATTGATGTCCCAGAGATGGCGTGCCATGTGCCCCTTTTGGATGGCTAAATATCAGGGTAAGTATACAAGGAGGAAAGGTGAACGAAACTGAGCCGTACCCCATGTACAGGCGACATAGTACGTTACGCTTAAGAGCTAACGACAATAAGCACATAATTGAGTAGTAATTTTGGTGCATTTCGCACATACTACTCCAACTAGAAGTGTCGCTTAAGTTTTCGTAGATTAGCAAGAGCTTTGAGAGATGCAGGTATGGCTTACCGTCATCCCAAGACACTCGGTTCATCAGACAAATCTTAACATAAACGCGGTTCAGATAAAAGGCCAACGATAGTGCCAGCAAGACCGAAGTGATCACTAGTTGCAGTTGTACTCGTGTCTCTGGATTCGTGAAATTTGAAGTCGTTCCATTTGGAGGAGGAATGACGGGAGTACTCGCGAGAATGGCAAGCTGCTCTTGAGAAAGAGTTTTTGGATTTAAAGCCATATTTGGGCGTCTAAAACAAATAGGGAAGGGAGAGTTCGAATGGATATTTTATATTCTCTATCTACTACTATAGTATTTCCGCGCGGAGTTAAAGCATTAAACTCATGTCCGCGCCTGGGGCGTTCAGTAATCGAGTGCTTTGGCCTCGTATCGTGATATGATCTATCCGTGGACGTGCACGCCTCATCCCTGCATTCCTGGCGGCTGCCAAATTCAGAACTGGATTACTTCGAGTCACAATGAAGGAAAGCTGAACCAAATCGCCTCGTAGAGTATACATTGCTAGATAAAAGCAATCAGCTCCGATGATCCTTGTGGTATAGACTAACTTCATAGGCTTGTACAGTTTTCGATTCGGGTTTCGGGGCTGAAGCTGGAAGGATTTGACCCCTAACCATTCAAAACAGCGATCCCGATCCCTCCTCCATAGTTTCAAATCTGCCTCAGTAAATTCGGTTATTTATTTGGGATCAATTAGATTGAGCGCTTAGCGTGTTTAAGAAAGTATAAGGTGAGCAGAGGATGGGGTTGAGGCTGCACGAAGCAAAGAACACATTGATGTTTCCACCAACGCGGCCATCCGTTAGTACACCCGGCTGTACAGTACTGCAGTGCATCATATTTGGTACCATTTAGTAAGTATGGAGGTGGCTGTCAGTACAGTAACTGTATGCGAAGCCTTAATACGAGCCGTTTATGGTGGTTTGTATAGATTTTGGGTAGAGGAGGGGTGCAGCGTGGCTGCAGGAGGGGTAGAAAGCGCAGTGGGCGCAGAGGGGCCTTCGAGTAGTCAGAAATAAATCCAGATTGTGCTAATCCTGCGGGTTTTATTAGTAATTTATAATCTAGCTAAAGACGTCTACGCAAAGGATCCTTTACTTAACCAACTGCTTAAGTAATAACAGCAGCAAGGCTAAGTCCTCTACCGAACGCTCTATAAGAGCATTTAGCATCCTTACTATCTTAGCAACCTTGTGTGCAAGAGGTGCTTCTTACACGCTAAACAAACTGTTTTAATTAATAGAAGCTGCCTCTTATACGCAATAATTAAGGCTATAGGGCTGTAGAAGAACTAGGTGTATAATAAGATAGCAAGCAGCAATTGTAAACAAGCTAGATAAGTGCATTAAAAAGTAAGAGGTTCAGCTTATGAGGATGATTAATTCACCTCTGCTCCTACTACTCCCTCCCAATTAGGTTAGATGTTTGCAGTACTCCCGCATGGCTCACGCATGAATCTCACGATAGCCGCATGTTGCCAAGACTTACCCCTTTTTTGCATCTATATAGACCCTTAGGTACACTCCTTTAGCAATCAATCTAGTTCCTCATACCCTAGTGCTCCTCCTAGCTTCACATTAGATATCCCGTAAACGGCCTGTTATACTCCGTACAGTACAGTACAATCTATTTATTCACCCGTTACAGTGTACTACTAGTAACCCTCCCTTATCTACTCAGAACAGTGCAGTACACCGTAAAGCCTCAAAACTACTCCGTTACGTACGGATGGCCACGCTGGATTCGACGCATAGAGTTTTGTGTGCATTCGTGATATTGAAAGTCGAAACGTTAAAATACTGCGTCTTCTCGCCTAACTTAGGATATGGCAAGAGTACCTCAATTCAGAAAATGGCATCTTATTGACGTTCACTCTGATTCCAGCAGGGGAGTTGTGACAGACTATACCCTAATCATATTCTACGTAACATGATGCAAATGCCTATCTACTCCCTTTCGTGTGCTTGTTCAACTCTAGCAACCTCCCTATTTAACTTATTCCCTCCTCTCTACTTTGCTCTTGCATTTCCCATTGGCCTAAATCTGGCACAGGGGTTCCTTTTTATATATCTTTCAGGCAAATTACTGGCCGTGCTAGTTGTTGCTAATCCTATATCCTGTATTGATAATTAGAGTCTTTGAGAACAGAATTACTACCGTGCCTGTAGAGATCGTGTACTTGTCGTCAAGAGCGGATTTTGCAGGTTCAGTTATTCTTTCAGTGACAGCTGAACATGGATGGATACGAATCGATTCGGCGAGGACAGATTTTAGAAGCGGTTCGGATACTATACTGTGGATACCATAAGCATCAGATTGCTTTTTTAAGTGTTTCGGCGATATTGATATGACCTGTTTCGGTGTTTCTAAGATATATCAATAAGTCGAAGGTAGTCGAAACACGACTTCAAGTAGCACGAAATGAAGTTTTTATACTCGACTGATGATGCCCTGTAAAATCCGGAATCAGACGAACTTTGGCGCATCCGGAATATCGCATCGTGATATTGACGACGCACATGACTTCATCTCACAGTTTCCATCATAGGACAAAGCCCTGGCCCTCCAATCTCCCTCCCCATAAGTCTCAAGTCTCACCACTGTCCTCCCTAGCATCTCTGGAAACTCTATGCTATTAAGATCCCGTCCCGAACCCTCCCTTCTATCTCTTTTTTCCCTTCCCTAAGTACCTGGACTCCACTTCAACCTCTCTAGTCTCCTTTTCTCCTCCTTCTCCAAATTAAAGAGACTTCGAAACGCAGTCAACGACACCATTATAACGGCTACACACGCTTCAACATGCGTCAAGTACGTCTGCAAGGGACCATCGCGGATTTCCCCCTGAGGATTGAAGAGCACTGCGGCTCGGACGATGGAGATGATAATCATGACGATGGAGAGTGACATGAATGTCCCAACTGCAAGTTTTTGGCGGAGGGTTATTCGAACCCGGTGGAGGACAAGGACGGGGATTGTGACAACTACCCAAACATTAGGGAAATCTCCCGAAATTAAAAAAAACGGGATGAACGTACTTAAGAAGTCGGTGACGCAATCTATAACGGTTCCCGTGTAAGAAAGCGTGATATAAAGACGATCTTTCTTCGGTCCTGAGCATTTTGCTGAAACTCATTAGCAACACCTTCACAACATCTTGCAAATCAAGTCACTGAACACTCACTACTCGCCTCTATCCCAAAATACGGACACGCCAAAAACGGATTAACCACCAAATACACCCACGCACAAGCCATCACCACCACAACCCCCCAATAATACCTCCTCAAGCCCACCGTTCTTTCCACCGTCTTCCAAAAGAAAGCTAAAAACGCAAACTTCACTGCAAATATTGCCGTCCAACAAAGACACTGAAACGAATCGATATATGCCATACTTCTGGATACTAAGGACAGTAGCTGCGACATTGGTAGACGCTGAGAGAGTGTTGGGACCGCTGCAAGTGCCATGCCGAGGTAGATGTCGTTTATAAGAGCGTACATAATGCCGGTTCCTGCAATGAGGCAGGCGGTGCCTAAGAAGAGGATGCAGTCATCTAGGTTGAATGGGCGGTGGTAGCGGAGTTTGAGGAGGACGCGTCCTGATGCAGAGAGGAGTGCGATGGTGAAGAAGAGGCCTGAGGTGATCTAGGAGATGTTAGAGATTGCTGAGAGAAGAGAGAGATTGAACATGCAAGGAAAGGTAGCTTCTGAATATGAGTTGATGCATCTGCAATCTGCGCCCAATCTTCAAAGCCCGATACCATATTCAGTGACTATCACGTGACCGTAAAACCCGATGGGTGGATCGTAAAATTACTTTTGAAAGGTACCTGCGGCTGATAATTTCTTTGAGATAGGCTTCGTCTATTCACATCTTCAACTTTTGCTAGTATTGCCAGCAATTCTAAGATGCTGCCCTGCAGCGTTTCTGCGACAAAAAAATAGGAGGGAAAAGGTCTTAAGTAGGATACCGGGATCTTGGCATTTTTATCCAGTGCATCTGCATTAATGGGGGCCGATACAGAGCTGTAAGCAAGGGATAAGGATCACTGGTGTCCAGCCATGCCAAGTACTTTGATTCCCGATGCTAATCCCCCACCAGGTTAATGCGAAGTAAGCAATGACATCATGAACGAAGAGTTTCGAACTGTAGCTCGGCACCACCGACAGCACTACTGAAACCTGGCGGCGTAGCAAGCGAACTAGGATTGGAAAGTCAATTCATTTAGCATAAAACATCCTCAGGACTTCTTCGCCTTGGGTACGCGCGCAAGCCAATAGAACGCATATGTCGCCACAATATTGACAACAACATAAACAACGAATATCCCAAAATCTACCCATCGGTCCTCAACATTGACCCCAAAGCCCTTCAAGACTGTATTCGCATCTGTCACCGGGCAAAAGAGACATTCGGTAGTAGACGATGGGTTCATCACTCGACCACCAGCACCGGCGGAGATGACATAAGATGAAAAGTAGTCACCGCATGTGCGGTTAGTAGGCGCCATAACGCGGAGAACCTCCGTTGAGGAGCAAGTGATGGACGTGTTCCCAATCCCGGCGCTTATCATTCCGTGGATGAAGTAGGTCAGAGGCGAGACGCGGTACATGAATTTCCAGAATTCAGGGAGGTCATCTGGCTTGACGAGGATACTGTGAATCGCATTAGCCCGTGTTGACATGTGTGCGATGAGGAGGAGCAACTGACCCACAAAAGATGATACATAGGTAGAAGAACAAGTTTGCCATATTGACCGCGGTCTCCGCATGCTCAATAGCGGCGGCTATTGCTTGACAAAACGTTGAGGAGAAAAGGCAGAACATCCAGATGAACAGGAAGGCGAGAGCAGCGCGCTCGTTCATTCCAAAGCTCGAGTCACCGTTTCGCCATAGACCAGTAGGATAATACCAGGCCACGAATACGAGTACTGCAATGATTGTCTGCCATGCTAGCTCAATAGCAATGTGTGAGGAGATGAAGACAGTCCAAGAGTATGTTTTTGATCTCATTTCTCGGGCTTCAAAGATTGCGCGACCGCCCAGAAAGCGGGGGATGATTTGCTGGTCGGCACTCGTGAAAATGTTTGTGAGAAGGAAGATGGAGAATATGATGCTGACGAGACCCTGGATATCATTAGAGCTCGCGTAGAATGAGAAACCGTTGAAGAGTGCCTGAGAAGAGTCAGTACTAGTCCAGGTTTAGTTGAGTGGGAGTTACAGACTGCACCGACGCAAAGCGCCACCTTGGAGTAGAGATATGACGGCGTTCTCCAGTACTCCTGGAAGATTCGGTAGATGACTTGGACGAATTGTATTGAATGCGATGTCGCAAATTCATGCGAGTGATCCGATGGAAGCTCGGGCAAGGCAGTAATTGATGCCCGCCTATCCGAGAGAAACTTCAACTGCAGCTTCACTTTATGTCGCTCACCGCTATAATACCAGACGTCGGCCCATGGGATCGTGTTTTCCGAAGGTTGTGTCGCACTAGTAATATCCAGCATCCACTCAGCAGGATTCTCATGGTACTTGCAAGTTCGGGCACCATGCTTCTCGAAATAGCGAACCATCTTCATCCCATTCGCGCCAATGTCACCGAAATAGAGTGTGCTACCACCTTTCTCTAGAAGGAGCAGCCGATCGAACATATCAAAAAGCTGGGCAGACGGCTGATGAATGGTGCATAGGACTGCTTGACCATTGTTGGCGAGCTTGCGAAGAAGCGTGCAGATTGACCACGCCGTTTGGCTGTCGAGACCAGATGTGGGCTCGTCTAAAACCCTGTAAGCACGCATTTCGAGGCGAGATAATTTGTATATACCTAGAAAGAGGAGGAGTTCTGGTCGGGCAGCCATTTCAATAGCAATGCTCAGGCGTCTGCGTTGCTCGACATTGAGACCTTACGCTGCGTAAGCACCTTAACCTTTACTTTCAATACGTAGTCACTATGCTCACCTTCTCCTGGGACTCCCACAACGGCATCTGCATAGGCCTCCATTTCCAAGAGTTCTAATACATGATCAACATAATCTATCTTCTCCTGCATGGAGCGAGTTTTCGGTTGTCGAAGAACTGCACTGAAAGCCAAAGCTTCGCGAACGGTCGAAGTCTGTAAGTGGATGTCTGCTTGCTGCACGTATCCCGTTTGGCGTTGGAAGCTCGTCCGTCGAGGTTGGCCGTCGACGAAGATGTCACCCGTTACGATACCAGTCGAAACCCGGGACGCTAGAACGTCCAACAGGGTGGTTTTACCGGCCCCGGTAGCACCCTAATATTGCATTAGTATATAACGCTTTGAATTCTAAAATAAAGATCATACCATAAGTGCAGTTAGACTTCCGGGATTAACCCAACCGTCTACTGCATTTAAGATCCTTCGAGTTTCGTTCTTTTTGACTTTAACGTCGTAGCATACATCGTTCCAATGAAGTACAGCCGTCTGATTTTGCACTGCTCGACACTCCGGAGTGTCCTCCGTTGAGTCCCTCAAAGCCGAATCCTTCCGTTTCGATTCTACCAAGGTAATGACAGAGGCGTTGGTCTCCTCGTCGATTGAGTTCTTCATTTTCTTATTCTGAAGAATACGGTGCTTAAAGAGCAAGATTTCTCCTTTCGATCGTTCCGCTGGGACATATTCAACGGCAAGTAGATATATGGCGCAGTATCCGACCATCAAAGCTGCCATCAGGGCAAGATTTCTACACGCCATTAGCCATCAATACCCCTGAGAGGAAGTGCAAAGCCATGGAACTAACCTCCAGAGGTGGTTTGTCGGGTACCTGAACTTGCTCCAAAGATATGCTGTACCATCGATGAAGTTTTCGCCTGGCCTCGCGCCCACAGCTGGGCAAATGAACGAGGTACCGGTAACACCTTGATAGTCAGGACCAGATGGAACGGTGGCTGTGCAAGGAAATCACCTGTTTTGAAACTACCATACACCATCAGAATCTCCGATGTCAAGAAGTTTCACCAGCGATGCTCACCTCATTGATCATCAAGCTCTCGTAGGCGTACGCAATAGGATTGATGAATCTAATCCACCCAAACCAAGGCACCATATACGGGATTGGGACTACAAATCCGGTATAAATAATGAAGTTAAGAACCATAATCGCTCCTGGGGCCATGGATTGCTCGATTCTCTTCGACAGACTTCCCATCATTCGGAATACCATGGACATGGTGAGTAATGCCGCAAAACTGAACAGGTAGAAGATGAAGAAAGCAGAAGGAGTCCGTCGGAGATTCGTCATGAAATAGAGAGCGAGGTTAAAAAGGAGAGAAGTGAGGATCTTGTTGGGTAGATCGCAGATCATTGAAGCGCAGGCTTCGGTGAAAGGTTGGCAAAATGCATAGTGTGACTGTTTCTCAACGATAGGTCGTTGAGCCCAAATCGTTAGAATCTGTCACTGTGAGCGAACAGCCAAAAATCGAAGGCCTCTTTGAATCTTACCTCGAGGCCACTTGTACATGCGTTGAGCATAATAGAAAAAAAGAGAAGCAACGCTCGGCTATCTACACTAGCGCTTGAATCCCCAAGGTTATAGAAAACGCTGCCAACGATAATACCAATGATGGCGTTTCCAATGACTCCAGATATGGTTGGCCCCGAGTTGTTGGCGAGTCGTTGAAAGGCTCTCTTTCCGCAAATAGCCACTTGCTGCATTGTGGAAATGGCGTACGGGGAACGTAGAGCTCTTGGAACACCAATAATCCTACTCTTCTCCTGGAGAAACTGTTTCAAATTACCCGGATTTAAAGGGTTCTGATGGTTGAACTCTTCAATGTCCCTGCAGATGAGTCCCCGCTCTAAGCTTTGCTTCCACATATTGGCAAAGTCATCGGCGGTTCGCGGTACCTGTAATTCATAGCCATGGGCTACAAGGCGCTCAGAAGGATTTGTTAAGGACGTTAAGAAGTCAGCGCTCGTGACTTTTGCGGGTTTCACGAAACCCATGGACGTGAAGTACTGAACGGCGGAGGCAGTTGTTCCAAAGTAGATCTGGCGACCTTCATATAGCAGCATGACTTTGTCGAAAGTCTACAAGGATGGAGGTTAGCTTGGTCGGGTATCTACCTTTTCCTGCTCCTTACTTTGTAGATGGCTTCGGAAGCCTGATACACGCTCACTAGGATGGTGGAGCCCAGTTCATCTGCCAAACCTCTCAAAATGGCAATGAAATCTGAGGCCGTCGAGCTATCAAGGCCCCGGGTAGAATTATCCCAGCATTGGATCTGACTTCCTCCCATGAAGGCCTCTGCAATGCTTGCGCGCTTCTTCTCACCTCCGCTCACACCTCGGATCATGTCGTTCCCCATTGGCGTATTGAAGGCATCTTTCAAATTGAACATTGATGCGACCCATTGACTGGAGTCTTGTACATAGTTGGATGCGTTGGACCTCTTCGACCGTGCACTTGCGGCGAATGCTAGCGTCTGACCAAGTGTCAACTCGGGAAAGTGAACGTCGAGCTCCGCGACGTATACTGACTCCGCTTTGCACTGGCCGTGCAACTCGGAGTACGAAAGCCCTAGGAAGGTCAGTGCTATTTGCCATTGCAACATGTTTAAGATAAATACCCTCGTAATTGAGGTTGGAATCATCGCTAACGACAAACCCGTGTGTATCTCCCGCAATCGTCTTCAGAAATGTTGAACACCCGCTTCCTGGTCTCCCCAACACGAGAAGCATTTCTCCACTTTTCACTAATCCGTCCATGGAATGCAGAATCTGCACCTTCGAATCATGACGGTTCCCAACCAAAGATCTAAGATACTCTGGTACCGCGAGGACATAGCTCCCGAATGTGTGCTGGTAATTTGTGGGTGAGAGAAAACCGTGCACCTTCAGGTTCAAAAATGACAGACCAAGTTGCAACTGCTCCTGCTCTTTCCTGTGCTTCACCCACTTGCAGAGAGCGGTTTCACGGTCCCCATCAGCTGGAAGGCGCGAGGCGGTCGAGATGATGTCAACGCTAGAGATACAGTTGACCTCCGCGTTGACTTCTTTGCTTTTCCTCACCATTGTATTTGATAGCACTCTCGTCGTGTGCTTGGATACTTCTCGAATGTCAGTGAAAGGACCATGGAAGTATCACCTGTCCCGGAGACTTCACCACTACATCAGGCATCGGCTGTACCACAGCGACCACTGAGATCAACATTACGATGGCGTCCATTTTGATCCCTAATTTGGGTCAGCTTCCAGGGTGTTTACTGTGTAGTGTTTCTATGGGACTGGGATCGCCTGCAGACTCCGTGTGGCTCAGCTTGCCGTCGCTTAGGTCGTAGCGGACCGTTTCTAGGCTTGTGACTGCCAGGAGCACCAAGGACCATGACTACCTCTGCTTCAGCGGAGCAATATACTCCATGTACCACCCGAGATGTCTGGAGATACAGGACTGGAGTTTCACATTAGCGTTGATCAATGCTCGATCGAGAACCCTGCGGTCCAGGAGAATCGCAGTCAAAGGCCAAAATTCGTCCGAACCATAGGCTGCAGATGTGGCGGCGACAAGCAATGCCCGGGCGCAGCCTTATTTTCATCCCGGGAGATGGCGTTCGGCTGGCTGGGGCTGCATGCGGGCTGAATCCTTCAGCTGCATGTCGGTCTCCGAAGGAGGCAAGCCTATCCTTGTCGGCCCCCACACTGTTCATCCATCCCAACCACCGTTTCACGAACCCACCCATCAACGTCCATCATCACACACGGCGTTTCCCCCCTCTCTATGTTGGCGCCTCACAGACTTGCTGGCTGCAACCTCCCTGCAAGGCGCCTTTTGCGTCCCGCTTGTGCCTCCTCACCGTCCGGGCCGTGGTTCTCAGCGGAGTCCAAACAGATTAGAACGTCCCCTCATTTCCCTTTTGGGACAATGTGCTGGCCTCATCTCACCTCATCGCGGCATTGCAAGCAAAGCTGATTAATCTATCAACCGCGGATGTTTCTCTATCGAGTGATTACACCACAAATCGCCACGACGCGTCGTCCAAATCCGACCTGCGCACCAGGTCTACCATCACCTTCTTCCTTGGAGGCGCAATCTGAAGCGACATGTTACTCATGTCCTGCCCTGGCTCACACCACCCCCCTGAGGTTGCAGGCACCATATCAAATCTCGCTGTGAGCATGGCCACCATCGCTGCAACCTCAACCATTGCAAACCCTCGTCCTGGACAGAGGTTGATGCCGCCCCCAAATCCCCGGAACGCATGCGCTGGCGTCCGTCCGCAAAACCGATCGGCTACGTAGGTATCTGCCGTCTCACCCCACATTGCCTTGTCGTAGTGCAGTGCTTTGTTAGCGATGATGACAACGGAGTCCTTTTTCAACTGGTAGCCTTCTTGCCCGACAGAAATGTCTTCCATGACCATTCTAGGCCCCGTTCCGGTAGCTCGAAGACGAAGCGCTTCTTGGATCGTTGAGAATAGGATAGGCGCTTCTTTTAATCGACGAATGTCGATGGTGCGCACGTCCCCTTCTAGTGACATTTCCGACGTGGTGATAGCTGTCACCTGTCGCCGGACTTCTTCGAGTACTATCGGATCACTGAATACGTGATAAATGGTCCAGAATGCGGTTGGGACAGTGTTCGCAAGGATGGCAATTCCATTCACGCACTCGAAGCGTGCGAGATCCTCGTCGTCAATGTGGCCTTTCAGAGCAGAATACCGGGCGTTGACAAGCGAGGAGCCGTCCTTGTAACTTCCAGCCGCGAAGTAGCGATCCATTGCTTCAACCACTGTCTGCCTTCCTGCCAATGCCTTTGCTGCAATGATATTCGGGAGAACACTAGTCATCAACAGCATAATGGTGTCGTCTGCAAAATTCCTAAAGATAGCCAGTCAGACTTTGTGCACGAGGTGAAAATCCATGCTGTTAGCATCGGAATTCAGGGCCTGAGACGCAAATCACTTACCAAAACCCTACTTCAACCTTCTCGTCTCGGTAGGGGTTCGCAGGTCCGTAGACGCTCTCGGTAGTTACCACGGTGATCTCATGCTGGACCCACGCCCACAGATCGACATTCCTCCTGCTCTCGGGCTTTGACAGAAGCTCATCCAAGCGCTCCTTTGTGACTTTAGCTGCAGCGCGATTCATATCTTCAACTCCACCTTGCGGAGACATGGCATGCTGCGTGGCCTTCAGTCCTTCTATTAACAGACTTGAATCCCGAGATTCAGGGTGGAGATTCGCAGTAAGACTTGCCGACGACCGTTCACTCATGCCACCTAGCTGCGTGGTGAATTTAGCCTCCATAAACCAGAAGGAAACAGATTTTGGGAGTTTGTGCAAGGAGTGCATCAGCTCACCAGAGCTGACCACATGGACTTTGCCTCCGAACATTGATATGGAGAAGATCGGAAAATTCCATTTCAAACTACCAGATTTCTCACCAAATCAGTCTCAGGTTTCTAATAGTTTTGTGGGAACATGTGGCCTTACCTTAGGTTTGTGTAGTATGCAGTTCTCTGCCAGAAGAGACCAATGACATGGCCGATGAAGGGCACCGGAATTGTCGCCGGGACAGACGGAGGTTCATGTGAGACCTTATTTGCTCCAAAAAAAGGTCGGAGGATAAAAGTTGCGATAACAACGACTACGGCGAGCAGCAGCTGCAAATTGAAAGTCTCCGCCATGGTTGTGGTTCCAAAGTAGAGAGAGATTTGGCCCCTCAAGATGACACCAATGTATGAGATTTATACAGCTGAAAGTTCGGATTTGGAAGGTAGGGGGAACGTGAAGAGATTCAAAAGATCTGCGGGTACACGTCCGTCCAAGCCGCAGCGCTACCTTTTGCTAGGGTCGGCATATTAAAAGTCCAGATCAAGATTCGCCAACTGTGACTTAGGTGGCGTCTAACATTAAGCGCCCACCTGTAGCCTAAATCTGAAACGTAGGCCCCAAAGGAACTATTAAATGTATTTTCAGGTTGTGGCAGTGGGCTGAGAAGCTTGACTGCGCCGTGCCCCGACCCTAGCTGCACGTTCCCGGTGGCCCAAACGTAGAGTTACCGGGATCAGGATTACGCCTGGGCATTCTGCTCAGGGATCAACGGTCGTGCCCTGTCAATAACGGCCAGGACCAGCGTTCTGATCGGGCTCTTGAAGGTGAGGCATCTCTGCCACATTATGGAATTATCAGGTCTCAGGGGCGGAGTATTCCTCGCACTCTCCTAAGGTAGGTAAGTTGCAGATGAAAGGAGATGACGCGGTCTAAGAAAGTAGTTACTTCTGCACACCACCACCGACTCAGTCTTATCCTCTTTTATATATCTCCAACCTCGAAGCTCTCACGTCTACTCCACTAATTTCCACACTATCCTTCATTGTCCATTCCAATTCAAAGAAGGCCAGTGTAGAGATGATCAATATGCTTCAAGACTTAGTTCAAGAGCTTCACCAGCCCAGTGTCGTCTTTGGGCTCGTGTGTGGTCTCTTATATATTCTCTCCGTGTGTAAGGACCGTCCGCAGGTACGTTCGCGATGCACTCCGGAGGGTCATGGCGCTAATGGTGTCCGTAGTTCCAGAAGGTTATCTCCACTTCAAGAATATGGACCACTGTATTGAACAAGTACCTTGCGTACAAGTATCTTCTCAACGGTGCATCCATGATTGAAGAACAATATGCCCAATCTAATGGCCAGCCCTTCGTTATTCGAACTCCTGAAAAGATGAATATTATGGTCACCTCTTCAGCGCACATTCAAGAGATAGACAAGGCACCACGACACCAGCTTTCCCTCCATGCTGTCGCGAAGGAATTTCTTCAACCTAAAAATACGATGAACGGCTTCGAATGGAAAGACCAGCGCGGCATTGAAGGGACCGGTTTCGTCCGCGCAATCCGCAATCTGCTCACTGCACGACTTCCCGAACTGATTCCCCGACTGTCCACTGTGATAGAAGATCAAATCCAAGCCGAAGTTACCCAAGCTAAACAAACCAAAGATGGATGGGGTCGTATCCCCCTCTTTGCAGCAGCAAAACATATCGTTACACGCACAAACTGCGCAGTCTTCTTTCCCGCCGAGCTCTCCTCTAACCCGGAATTTGTGCAAGCCGCCCTCGAATTCCCAGAGGATGTGTTCTTCGCTGCAGAGATTATCCGCATTCTCCCCCGCGGCATCGCTCCATTCCTAGCCAAGCTCGCGACCAAGAATCATAAGTCCACAACTGTAATGTACAATTTCCTCTACCCGGTGGTTCAGAAACGCATGGAACTCTCCTGCCTTGCGCCAGAACTTCGTGGAGAAGAGGAGCCCAACGATGGTGTTCAATGGCTCATCAACACCACCCCGAAACGCGAATCCTGGAGCACTTCGCGCCTCGTCGGCGAGATCATGGCAGTCTGGTACGGCTCTCTCCATACCCTTGCCATCGCGACAACCTATGCACTAGTCGACCTCTACTCCCGACCCGAATACATCAAATCCCTCCGCGCTGAACTCTCCTCTTCAATGTTCTTTCAATTCCAATCCACAAGCGAGGGTCTCCCAGAAATGGACTCTTTTCTAAAAGAATCCGCGCGCCTCAGTGCATTCGAAAGCACAGGTGTGCGTCGACAAGCACTCGAAGATTTCCGCTTTTCAGACGGCCTGCTTGTCCCCAAAGGGTCCTGGGTTTGCGTTCCGCACCGCGCGATGATGCGCGATGACCGCCATTTCCCGGAAGCAGATAGATTCGACGGGCGACGCTTTCTACCCAGGCTTCCGACGCCGGAGGCGCTAGAGGCGTCGAGGCTGAGCCAAAGGTCGAATGAGTGGCTTGTTTGGGGCGCGGGGAGAATTACTTGGTGAGTTCTAGACCTGTAAAGTGCACGTGATGTGGACTTTAGCTAATGATGGTTAGCCCCGGCCGCTTCTACGCAGTAGTAGTACTTAAACTCGTGCTAGCAAACATGCTGCAAAATTATGATGCCGAATTAGAGCCTATCAAGGGGAGTAGAAGTGCGCAATGGAGAACTGCGTTGATTCCAAGGGCAGGAATCACGTTGAAGGTGAAGCCGAGACAGATATAGGACATATACATAGACATAGACGTCTGCATCCTGATTTCTTTTGTTGGATACGATTCTTGGATAAACGTGAGCATACCTAGGGCATATTTCATTTGTTATGTTGGGCGCGGATGGCCTTGTACAGGCCTCAAAGTGCATCGTTTCGCATTGCATTTCTTTATCGCTGGCTGGCCATGGGCTGGATAGATACCCGACTCGCGAGTGTTTCGAATTTTTTGTTTCCACTGCTGATTTAAAAGTGCATAGTATGGTGATGTGAATATATATTATCAGATTGATCGTGTTAGAAGTATTCCCGGGATTGCTGCAAGCTGTGAGGCTAGAGGTGGGAGGATTACAGCTCTCTATCCTTCGTAAATGTCGTGCAACCAAATCCTGCACCGAAGAACAGGTCTCTGGGTCCCAAAGTGCAATCTTATGCAGCCTAGATATGCGTCCATACCCAGATTTTGGAATGTGAAGGTCGCAAAAATTAAAGTACAGGTACATGGCAGGAGATGAATAGATTTTTGCGTTTTATCTATACGATGGCGCCTCGAACTCACAGACCCGATATACACCTCTCAATTTTCCCCCTCCCCCTTCCCAACCCCCTTCACATTCCTCAACTTCTCCCTCCACCCCCCCTCATCCAGACACCACTCCACCGCCCCCTTCAACTCCACCTCAAAATCTACTTCAGGCTTATACCCCAGCCTCGTCTTCGCCTTCTCAATACTATAGGTATGTGTGAAGCATGCATACTCCACCTGCTGCTTCCCCAAATTATATGGTCTTTTAGTGCCAAACGTAAAAATCCAATACACCCACTCGAGAAAACTGGCCAAACCTAGAGCAAACCACGACGGCAGATTTGTAACTTTAGGAGGGGGGTTTGGATTCCAGCCCGCGAATTTCCAGCACAGACGCGCGAAAGACCAGAAGGGGTAGGGAGAGCCGTCGTTGATGTTGAAGGCCTCTCCGCTGGTTTTACCGGGCGAAGTGAGCAGTTCGGAGGCCAGGAGGACGTGGGATACAGCGCAGTTGGATGCGCTGCAAAAGTCCCATAGGTTCTTGCCGTCGCCGAGGGTTGCATTAGTCTGACCTTTTGCAAGAGCGCCGAGACAGCCGGGGATGGTGGTGTGCTCCCGGATGCCGTATATGATGGGGAAGCGCAGCGAACCAGTTGCCAGATGGCCTGCCCACGTGGTGCCTTCTGTGGCCGGATTGTTGGCGTCCAGCACCATGATTTCGGCGGCTGCCTTCGACTTTGCGTATGGCGGGCTCTTGGGGTCGGTGTTTGCGAGGGGCCAGTCCTCGGCTAGATTGAGGTGTTCCGGCCCTTTCGCGAGGGTCGATGAGGACGTGAAGATGAAGGCGTGCACATGCTCCGACTCTTTCGCGGCCTTCAACAAATTTCTCGTCCCGCGAATATTGACGTTTTCATACTCCTTCGGCGTGCCAGTCACAGGCGAGGGCGACGCCGCGTGAATGATTACCCCCGGCTTGAGCTCATCGACCAGCTTCTTGATTTGGTCGTGCTGGGTGAGGTCGCCAGCGTGGTACGTCGCGCCTTGCACGCGATTGCTGCTGCTGGCGGCCGAACGGCTGAGCACTGCAACGCTGGAAAAGACCGATTGCTGGACAAAATACCTCACTAGGTGGTATCCCACGAAGCCCACGCCGCCGACGACAAGTACCGAGTGCTGGGCAGTGGGAGGTGAGGCGGCCATGATTCAACAAAGTTCTCGCAAGCAATCGCTGTGACAAGATCGCGAAGGGGTTGTATGTCTAGCACGCCTGCCTTAAAGCAAAACCTGCTCGACACGTAGCTGAGAGAATTCCCCCAAAAATGGGGGGGATCGGAACGAGAGAGGTGAGGCAGTTCCGACATGCAAACGCGCCATGTGAGGAAGGGCCGCGACTGCCACTGAGGTCATGGCGGCCCGGGGCGCCTTAGCGCCAAGCCATCATTATCCGAACGGCGAGACGGGGCTGCAGAAACAGGCCCGTGCCATCCCTCCGCACCTGCGATATTAAGGTGTGGCTGGGCTCCTTGGTGCATTTCGCTTACCTGCCAACCATAGTCGACCTTTGATCCCCGAGCTGCATATCACATGCAGAGCCATGCAGAGCCATGCAGAGCCATGCAGAGCCATGTAGAGCCATGTAGAGCCACACCCTCCACCCGTCCCAAAGCTGCAAATGCCAGCATCGCCTGCATGGCCTTCGGGGTTCAACCTCCCAGGAGCCCTCATCTATTCCCGGAAGCATCCCCGTCCACACAGCTCGCCGTCGCCTCTTACAAGTCGATCTCTCATCTGACATTCCCCCTCCACCCCAGAGTGGTATTTTTGCTCAGCACTGCCTGCAGATCCCTCTGCCGGCCAATTCTCATGGCCTCTTCGGTCAATCTCACTCCTCCGTTAAAGCCCATTGTGGGCGCCTGCATCTCATCTTGTGCATCCAACTTCCTCTCCGAACTCAGCTCGTCTCCTCTGTCGGACGACAGGACCTGACTTCAATCCCACTCGCTTCTTGTCTCGACCAAAGCATTGCTCCATTTACTTGTGAGGAAGAAGCCTGAACGCTTGCCACCATGTCTCAAATCATGTCCAACCTGGCGAACGCCTCGCCTGAGATGTTGCAGTATCTCTCTAACACTCCTGCTATCCCGCCGCCAGTGGGCGTGCAGCCAAACTTTATCGACCCAGAGTCGAGGAAGTTGACACAGGTGGTCACTACTTCGGTCATTTTGGGCTTCATGGTGATTTTCTTCATCAACCGCATATACACTAAGCTGTTCCTCATGAAGAGGCTCACTTGGGATGATGGTAAAATCCGCATCCCTCTATACCGGACTTGGTAGCTCACAATTCTGCAGCAACCATCGTTCTCGCTTGGTTTAGCTGCGTTGCCTACTATATTGGTTGCACCTGGGGCGTGGAGAGAGGCCGAATCGGAGTTCACCAGTGGAACATCTCTATCCTTCAAGCCGCCAGTATGGACCTTCTGATCGTGAGTCCAAAATTGAATTTTTTCCAAATTTGCGGACATTAATATTAGGCAGCCCGCTTATCTGATCTCGGTCCTCACGCCACTCACCTTTCTGTTCCTCAAGTCGACCTTCTTCATCCTATACCTGCAGCTCTTTGAGCTGCAGAATCGTCTTCGAATCGCAACTTGGATTGGTCTCGGTGTGACCTCTTTAACTTACACCATTTTAACCATCCTCGTCTTCGTCTACTCGACACCAAAGAGAGGAGAATCGTGGCTCGCTCACCAAACCACTCCCAACATGCACAGGCAACTTCAGATGTCTGTTCCGCAGTCCTCTATTGGCCTTGTAATCGACTTGTACATCCTCCTAATTCCCATCATTGGTGTCTACGGTCTGCGAATGTCCACCAAGCGCAAAGTTGGCGTGATGCTGATTTTCCTCTCGGGATTAATGTAAGCTTACCTCATACCCATTTACCCTCATTCACCCGACTTCCTAACGCTCATCCCCGCTAACTCCGAAAAGGGCGTGCATTTGCTCGGCCTGCAGCATCTACTACCGAGTTGTGCTCGACCACACCGCAGACACTACCTGGCACCTCATCCCCGTCAACATCGCAACCCTCTCTGAGATGTTTGTCGGAATGATTTGTGCGTGCATGCCATCCGCTGCATACGCCGCGCGCCGGGAAAATTCCACCTACCAAAAACTCGTGCGAAGCCTATATTCGCACTTCGATTCCCTTAAATCCTCTTGGAATCGCAGCAAATATGCAGATTCATCGCGCGGCTCCTCACAAGAAGAGAAAGCGGAAACGACGCATCCGGAACCTGATGTGCTCAAGTCTACAGATCGCAAGTATGCGCAGTACTTCAGTTTGAATGATACTAGCTTCAATGGTGTTGAGACTCAGACAAACGAGAAGGAGAATGGAATGCTTACTAATGACTCAAGAATTGCGTCTTCGAGTTCGGAACTGTCGCGGAATGCGTCGAGAGAAAAGACCTCTGCTGCCAACATGGTCTGAACTCAAAAACCAGCCACTACGTAGCACGTCGGCCAGGCCACCCCACTGGGCAGGTTTGTCAATTAGCGCGTTTCACGATCCCTTCTGTTATTCCCAAATCTAGATCCAGAAGGAGCGATCCTTCAATCAGATCAGATCATCTCACAGAAAAGCAAAGTGGGTCTCCAGGGGAATTCGCGGGTAGCATATATCTCTGTCGATTCAGCGCTCTAGGGCTGGCAAGTGTCATGTTTGAAACATTGATACCTAGAGTGAGGGGAGCTACAATCTGAAGTTCTCTTTGTAGATACATGACGGAAATTATGGCGTTTGAGGAGTCGAAGTTATACCCAGTGTTGAAAGAAACACCCAAAAAGTACAATTAGAGGAAGTACGTAGTGCAAATCGCACAATAAAAAAGAGGATTTCAAATTCATACGAACATCTCCTGCATCGTGACTAAACCAAAGATTCTAATACATTTCACCTATTCCATATGAAGCGAGCAGTTTCGCTTCAAAGTATTTCCATCCCATTCTTACCACTAGCCCTGAAATCTGCCCACCGTCAACCCACCACCATCCCACCTCCGAGATTCCCATCGCACGCGGAACCTCATCCAATCCCAAATCCTCCGAGATCAACATCCAAATCCTGGCCAAACTCACCCCGGACCCACCCATGCCCAATCTTCCAAAACCTGAAACAGTACCCCCGCATCCCTCAATCTCGCCAACAATCTTCTCGAAAACGCCTTGCGATAGAACCATGGTCAACCAATGGGGCATTTACATTCGCACCCTTCAAATACCCCCCAGTATGTGCGCTAACGACCTAGGATTAGAATCCTCCCGGTGGTGCAGCGGAAGACAGAAGACAGCGGGAGCTTTCCTTGTTGGGAATAGGGTCGGGGAATTAGGGAATCACACATTGAGAGATGGAGTTTTTAGGCAGGTGGAGGGTTAGATTTGAGTTGAAATGGCGATCCGGGTAGGTGGCGGATGAGGGTGGAGGCACAGTGCAGGTTATTTCAGGCGGAGTTTGGAATCGTTGGCGACATTTGTGGAGATGGCATATGGCACGTTTCGGCTCTGTGGCGTTTTGACTTTGGCCTTGTTAAGAAGAGTGGGGCGGGGCTTGCGATATAGTAGGGGTGGGGGTGCTGGATGGATGCGGGCTGAGCCTGAGGTTGCTTTCGGTCAAGAGTTCAGAAAATTGATACTACGTCTGTATTTAGGTATTTGTGCTGCGGGCTAGTACATAGACCTCTCTGCGCATCGGTTAGAAATCGGTGCGTTTAGCGTAGGAAGACATGATGGTTTACTTAAGAGAAAGTCATGGAGTTTCTTCCTGCGTGAAGAAACGGAGGGTTTGCGTGGGACGAAGTTGTAGGCTGGTACTCGGATGTAGAAGATCTTTTCAACCGATGTAAACTTGGCGAACATGACGGGCGTATTTAGGGACAGAAATTCACACATGTTGGCGCTTCCCTAAGTCTGGTAACATATTTAATAGGTAGACCTTAGGCTTGTTTTGCTTCACATTATGTGATAGAACGTCGTCTCTCATCCAATTCTAGACCAAATCTCCATCTTACCAACCCTTCAATACGTGACCGCGACTTCCATCTTCACCCAATCATGCTTCAACTTGCCCCAGCGCTTGTCTCCTTGATGTACTACTATTTGGATCAAGGAAAGGTCTCTCCCCCAACCCCACAGCCCTATTCCCGAACCGCTCGCCCTGGCCCTCATAATCAAAAGTTGCCGAGTGAAATACACTCCGATTATCCCAGATTGCTATCAAAACATCAGAACCCATGCATTCATCGCACATCGCAGTCGGATGTACAGGGAAACGGTGGGAAAGTTCGACTCACCAAGATCATTCTCATTCTGCCACCGAAACCTAACCTGCAAATCATGATTCTCCTGCAGCAGCCTCAAAAACCATTTCAACAACGCATCACTTTCTTCTTTTGTAACATCGTTGATATGGCGGACGTGGCCACCAACAGGGAAAATGGATTTCCAGCCTGTAACCGGATTTGTGCGGATCACAGGGTGAATGGCACTCAGATCCGTGCCAACATTTTCCGGGGCGCCGCGGGGCTTGTCGTAGAGTCTGAAGCCTGCTCGATCCGCCACTTCGTTAAATCCGGGTTGCGCGAAGGTGGCGGTGAGGCCCTCGAGGAAGTGTTGATATGGGGTGGATAGCCGGTCATACAATTCATATCCAGAGGCCCACAATGTATCTAGCCGCACCAGCCCATCAGTAATCTAATAATATATGACTGAGGGAAGATTTGACATACCGCCGCCCGTCTTGGGCAACTGCGTCAATCGCAAACTTGTATAATCAGCGGGCACAGGCTCAAATGCAATATCGGAATGCCATTGTGCTGAGCTCTGGATTCGCTTGCTCAAATCATATTGCGAGCCCTTGTAGAACTTTTTGTTCTGGACCGAGCTGATGGTGCTGATTTCTGGGTCGGAGCCGCCGAGTTCCCGCTCACTGTTGAGAATCGGGTGGATGTGGAGTTTGGAGGTCTCCGGCTTTCCGGTGAGTTCGCCTAGTCGTTGAATTAGAGCTTTTTGGAGCTCGTTGGTTAGATCGTTTTGTGCGCGCAGGAAGACCACACCGCGCTGAGAAACTGACGGTTACTTAGTATAACGGTCCTGCAAGCAAGCGGAACAAGGCTTACTTTTGATGGCGAGGTCCCGGAGCAGCTCATCTGCATTGGGTGCATCGAGTAATTCGGTGACTTTGAGCGTTGGATACTCGGTTCCAATCACAGGCGTCACGTCAAAAGATTCATACCTCTCCAATGCGCCGCTCGGCTGCAGTGGTTTGGAAACCTTGAGTGTCTTGGGGGCGACTTCGGTCTGGGTTTCGGTGGAGGTCTCGATGACACCAGGAGCCATGACGATTATGCAAGAATCGGGATCAGAATTGGATTGGGTAGCAAGATGCCAAGTCGTTGGAAGCCTTGAAGAAGTATCCTAGATCTTCAAATTAAACTACCTTGCTCAGAGTTTATATACTTGCACACTTTAACAACATGGAGGGGGCACTTATACCTCGCGCCTGTGTTGATTTATAACCCTCTATCACGTCAATTGCGCCTGGCGTCCCGTGTTGAGCACTAAAGAGGTATTGTTGGAGCGTTGTTGGTGGAAGCCAATTGCGCAATCGGTATGCCCATGGTGTCATCGTTGCCAAGCCAAGGAAAACACTCGAGAAGCTCGAATGCACCTCTATCAAAAAAACTAAATTGTAACATTTCTGGAGCTATGGTACTTTTGAAAATTGAAAAATCCAATGATGATAGGCTTATTGTGCGGATGAACGACCTTGGGAGGTGTTAGATGGGATAGCGTAGGCGAGGTTATTCATAGTTAAGTACTCGGTTGATCTAGAACTTGTTTGCGAAGCGAAGTGCGGAAAACATTCGGATAGATGTCAATATAATTTGAGAGGCAACTGGTTAGGAAAGATTTTTGACTTCTTGTGAAGTAATGCTCGTTACCGAAGTAAAGTGTGTTATCTTTCATTCATCAGAAGCTACCCCCAACCATGCCACCTAACGACAAAATCAGCACACTCCGACAACATTGCTGTAAACTGGAGATTGACTTACCCAGAAGCGAGAAAAGGGTCCAGATAACAGCAATCTTTCCGAGCTTCGGCGGACAGTACCTTCAACCTCATTAGAAGTCTCAAGTATCATGCTTTCTGAATACTTACGTATCACCGGCGACCTTAATATACCCAACCCACCATATCCACTGGGCGATAGAGCACCCGATCATTCCCGCAATGGTTCGAATAGCAATTTTCTTTAGCAGGGAGTTCCCATCTTGTTTTTCTACTTTTTCGGCTTCTCTCTTGGCCTTTTGCTTTGTCCAGATGGAGATGAGCATTTTGCAATCCCGGGTAAACGTTGCACACGCAGCTGGCAGAGGAAGTACGACGGCGCGTAGCTCCTTTAGACATGTCAAGTACAGCTGTTCGTTCTCAACGAGCCTCTTTAATGTGACCTGAGAGCGATCGTTTCCTTCCTCAGCCTGAAGACATGGGCCGATGAGCTGTGCCCGTAGTTTTGCATAAGACAGTTTCTTGTCCTTGAATGACTGCAGGATGCCAACTTCCCGCCGGGAGGGCTTCCAATTTGTTTTCGGGTATGGCGGATAATACTGCTCTCCCTTAGCTTTTCCGGCAACGAGAAGAGCGTTTAGGTACTGAGCTTCATCACATTGACGGGCCCGCCAATATCCATCATGTGAACGTGACTGGAAGCCTGATGTTGCAAAAAGGCGGATTACGTTGTCTAGACATCTAATTTCTGCATCGACTTCTGAAAGAGATACACGGTATGTCTGGAGTCGACGCTCCGTTGCATCCAGTTCATTCAAGATGGCAGTCTTATTCTGCCGTACCCAAGTCTCTTTAGCGGAAAATACCTCATTCAATCGATGAATCTTAAGACGTTGAGATTCCGGAGTGTTGTACCATGTTGCGTAAGCCTGATCCATAGAATCTGTCACAAGTGTACGCGTTGTGTTATTGATAGAGTTCTCATCCTGTGGATAATTCTGGCCTTGCGTCCTATTTCCTTTCCTCTTTCCCTTTTCTCGGGCTCGTTCTGTCCGCTGGGCGGCTCTCATGGCCTTCATATCTTTTGTTACGTATGTCTCAACGCGCTTCCAGAATCGACTTAGGTTATTCATGTCCATTTGAATGCTCTTACACATTCTAACAGCCTCGTTGTCAAGATTCGGAAACTTTTTATCAAGCCCAGTGGTCCTGTATCGTGTGCTAGAGATGCTCTGCTGACTAGCCAGCTGATTCGCTTGATATTCCGCAATCTTTGAACGTTTTCTAGCCTGTCTATCTAAACCTCGAATGGCGAATGCGACGGAGGCAACGAAATTACTCAGCCCAAGCAGGGACCAAACGCACGTTGCGATTGCGATGACGATGATACTTAGCCACATGATGGAACCCGCGTACATAATCATCGCGTCTCTACCCTTCGGTGTTTTTGCGAGGCGACTCCGTTGGTAGAACTTTTGACGTCGGGCATAGTTTGTAGCAACTCCCATGTAGTATCCCCCAAGTGTCTGGAGAATTACTTCTGCGATCATTGTTGAGGAAGCAACTGAAAAGTAGATTTCCTCCGAGGCTTGGAAAGGGATTAGGGCAACAATCATCCAAGCAAGTCTCGGCCGGGTACACCAAAGTAAGATAAGTTGACCAATTTCAACGGAACCGAACCCAGGTGTACGCTTGATTATAAGAGCGGCGATCGCATTGCTTGCAATGTGGAGAAGCACAGTGAATGGTCCTGTGACAAGCCACATGAGTGATGCCCGGTGACCGAGAGTGCCAAAAGTAATCTTCTTCATCACATCGCGCCGGCCTAGTATCGGGATGAGAACAAGCATTGCAACATTGACTACCGCAAAAGCTGCCAGCTTGCTCGAAGCAGAAGGACAATGCCGGCCTTGACTTGTGGAGCTTGTGGAGTTATTTGATCCAGTTGTTAGATATGATATCCGAATGCGCCAATTCCAAGGAAGAAGCTCGGAGTCTTGGACAAGAAGAAGGTCAACCCAATTACTCGGTAGTCCATGCCAAGAAGAAACAAGACCACAGGTAGTATTCATCCAGTTCAGGTATTGCTCTCGTTCCCAGGACAATTTGCAGTCTGTATTACAGGTTCTCTCAAAGCTTACTGCTTACAGTTAGCACAGTGTAAGGATAGTACCGCGTCTTTTACCTAGCGTGGAGCATAGCAGGGGTAAGGGGATTTTAGGGCATAAATTTACATCTTGTTAACATTCTTCCTAATTCTAGCGAGGGATTTAATAGGTAGAAGTCTACTCTATTTTTATTCCACGCTTATATGATAGCATGCTATGTGACAGTGTATGGAGGAAAGCAGACACTTACTTGGGGAGCAATAGCAAGCTGGATTTACGCCAGGCAAAATCGAGGTGCATAGTCCCGTCTGAGGATTAATATTGCATAGGTTCTGTGTACAGTTCGTGACTATTGTATTCAAGTTCGTCCCGCAGTTATTGGCGTTTGCGCACTTAGGCCAGGTGGTGAAGTTTGTAGGAGCGCCATACGTTGAGTTCATTTTCAGCAGACTATCCTCCCACCCTTTCGGTAATCCTGGGAATGCTGCCACAGACGCACAAGTGCTGTTTAACCAGAGGAATTCCGCAGATCGTTCAACACCGACAGGATTGCATTTTTCCGGCAGATCCATCTCCTTGCAGAAACAGGAGAGCCCGATCGCGTCGACAATCTGAGCACAAGTACTCTCCTTACAGCGTTGGGATATACACTTGCTCATGGTTGTGTTAATATGGTTTGAGCACCTTTGTGAACCTGGAGTGTTCACTAGAGATGGTAGCGTGCTCTTCTCCACGAAGCTTGAATTCAGGATCGCAAGGTCGTCTTTCCAATTCTCCGTCCAACCGAAACCTTGAGGGGGTTTACATTTCGTGCTTGCCCACAGGAGGAGTCTTGAATGGAGACCACCAGAGCCACAAGAGTCCTCGCTCGGAGGATATACCGATTTGCAAAACGCATTTAGGTCCAGGTATAATCCCGAGTCTAGTAAAGGGTCGTACTTGTCGGCAGAGTACTTAGGGTTGAACCATGGAGAGTATGTCTTGTTGACATATCGGAAAGTTGCGGCTGCAGCTTCGGTGGCGTTGTAGATATTGGGATTCCATAAGGAATCATTAAAGTTCCTGCAAAATGAGTTCGGCTTAGGATCCCATCCTGGAAAGTATGTAGTATTGCAACCTTGAGTAGATATGCAGGGGTAGGCCGAGTACTGGTAGTACGAGGACGAGCTAGAAGTCCGATTTCCAACCCAAACAAGATTAAGCTCCGGTATCGTACTTGTCCAATTTTTGGAAAGTCCATGCCAGCCCGTGATGTCTCCACAGGTGCTGTTCAGCCATGAGAGATATTGGGTACGGGTTCGCGTGCCCGAGCAAGCTGAGCAACTCCGCTCGTTCAACTTGTCGGTGCAGAAACAACTTTTATCAACCAGAGTACCCTTTTGCATACATGATCCGATAAATGTCATTGTACACTTCTCGGCCGAGCACGATTTGATGGAGGAGGATGTTGAGAAAGGACAGTCGTCAGACAGCGTCAGCGCCATGCATTTCGGTGTAGGTTTGATAGTATTTGGGTACACCCAAGGCGGTGAGGGAGGAATTCCGTCATCGTCCCTGCGGATGTGAGTCGATAGAAGAGAGCGAGGTGAGGCACTGTCGATGAGCTGAGCATGCATCAGGAGAAAAGCGAGGAGGATATGGGCCGCTCGATTCATGCTTGGAGCCCTTGGAAAGGAAGACGCCCCTGCTGTCCATAGCGTACTCGACCTTTTAGCTTTGGGAGGCAAAATCCTCTTTCTTTTGTTAAGGCTTAGAGCGTTTTGCCTTCTTTCAAGCCGCGTTGTTCAGCTGTAGTATTGAAGCGAGGTGGCAGCCTTTACGATTGGAGAACCGTACTGATGATATCAAGCATTGCAGAAATTCCCCAAGACGGCCCAATCGTAGTTGAACTAGGCTCTGATGAGGCTTGGGATCGTATCAAGCACCTGAATGCGGACTCTTTTTTCTACCAAAGCTTTCCAATTCCGGCAGTGATGCTTAGCCGAATCGTATGAGCAAGAGCGCCTTAGTTCAGATCAAGGAGTTGAGGCAAACACGCCGCGGTGGGCGTGGATGTGGGCTGAATGGCCGAAAAAGAGGCCTGGGCGGTACCGCTTGGTAACACCCGAAGCGGAACATGAAAGGGCAGATGGATCAATTAAATATCTTTCTAGAATCGCACACGCTGCGAAAAGGGAGAAAAAATAATTATATATACTAAAATCCCCCTGTCATGCTCCGCCTTAGTGAGAATAGAAAGTACTTCTCCGAAAAGAGGAAGCAGTGAAGATTGATTGAAATGAAAATGTCGGTTGCTCCACAAGCAGGCTCCATCCATCGCATTAGCTTTGCATGTTGCTGCCTTGTACTGACGGTGACTTTATGGAATGAGTGGGCCATGTTTTATAGAGAGAGCGTGGCAGAAAAGATGTTCATGGCGCGGTCTATCGATAACGATTTCGGGTGAGCAACCTCGCAAGCTATTGTATTCAAAAATCGGTGCAATGCTTGGCGTCACCCTTGCCTTTTTTTCGCGCGCGTATTTTGCTAGTAAACTGCAAAACGCGTTGTGCAGCCACTAAATTGCTCTAGGTCCTTAGTTAAAGTTAGTTAAAAAGATAAAGATATTTAACTACGCGTAATAGGCTATACTAACAACTTTTCTAGTGTTGTAGCATAGCTAGTAAGAGGCCTTAGAGGGCAACTAGAGCTACTAAAAAGGCTTAACAACAACTAATTTAAACAGCTGCAAAAAAGGCCTTAATAATAGCCTTAAAGGCTATATTAAAGGCTTAAAAGAAGACTAGTTAACTAAAAACGCGTAAGGTGGTAAGCTTTTAAGCACTACCTAAAGTGGGTCCCTTAGCGGGTACCTAGGGGAGCTCTGCGCCTGTTAGTGCTGCTCTAGGAGAGTTGCAGAACCTACTGTTGTTACTACTAATTACGCCTAGAGCAATATTTTTACTAATACATCTTCTAATAAGTAGCCCTAAGGCTTAGGCTAGGGTGTTGTTACTGCTAACTAAATACCTTTAGTAACTAGATATATTATATAAGCTATATGTAAACAGCAAGAGGGTAGTATTATAGCTACTAAAGGTAGAGACTTAAGGGGTTTTCTCTATGTTTTAAATAAAGAAGATAGTTAAAAAAATAATTAAAAATTCTACCTTAACAGTAAAAAGTAAGACCTATAAGATAGTAAGCTGCGCAGTAAAGTTTAAGCTTACTAGTAAAAAGAGCGCTAAGTTTATTACTGTTAACCTTAATAATTTTAGCTTAACTAAGAGCTACTAACTTTTTAAAGTAATAGACTATTAGATTACTGTTAAGAGAGAGTTACTAAATAAGTAAGTAGAGCTTAAGGTAGAAGTTTAAGTAAAGTGTAAGCTACTTAAAAAGGCTTTTTTACGTGGCTAGGCATTTAATAATCTATCCTCTAACTAGCTAGAGGTGGTAACTCTTAGTTAGTTTACCTCTAAACGCAAGAGGCAATTAATAAACAAGATAAAGGCTGCTTAGCGCTAAAAGTAGTTTAAATTATAAGCTAAGTTAAAAAGCTAGATCTACTGCATGTAAAAGTGCTGCACTAAGAACTATAATAACTTTACCTATTAGTGTTATATCTACTTAAGCAGTAAGCACTTTAAGATCTAACTAGTTAACTCTAAGTTATAGGCGCTTACCTGCCTTAATAGCAAAAATAGAGTTTATATAAGCTAGCCTCTAATTAGCCTAGTTAAGCACTAGTAAGGTTTAACTAGTAACTAGCTTAAAGTTGCTAAGAACAGAGGGAAGGCAAAGGCAAAAAAACATAGGCGTTATAACAACTTAAGCAACTCTAATAGTAGTAAGAAGAATTAAAGGCGCAGGCAGTAAAAAAAGAATAAGATTTAAGCGCAGTAAAATAAAAATTAGTAACATAAGTAGTAGTAAATAAAGCTTGCTTACTGCAAATAAATTAGATCTTAGCAAAATATAGGTGTTTTTAGCGCCTAGTTTCTGCAAGTTGTTCTACCTTTTGCATACCCTGCTGCTGCGTTAGCTAGTAGCTACCCTGCTATTACTGCGCAGTACTTGCTTTACCTACAGCTAGTTTTTTAGAGGCCTCTTACCCTAGCTAGTGCTGCTACTTTAGGGCCTATTACTATTAGTTTAAGCTTTGTTGCTAATAGTAGTAACTTTTATAGTACTATAAAAGAGTTCTTTAAGTAGCTAGTTAAATAGCAGCTAAAAGATAACTAAAAGGACTACCTTTACACAGTAGAGGTAGTAAGCAAGTAAAAGTAAACTATTAAAAATCTAAAAAAAATATTAGCTGTAAGTAGTAAGCTTTATAAACTTGCTATTAGTAAACTTTTTAAGCTTAAAGATAAAGTTATTTAACACTTATAAAAGGATATCTGCTGCTACAAGTAATACTACTAGGCTGCAGTGGCTCTAGCAGGGCTAACAGGTAGTAATTAAGGTAGATTGTTATAGTTAGCAACAAATAAGCAGAGGAAGGTTAGCAAGCTTTTATGTAAAATTATATTAAACTATTACCCTCTACAGCCTGCCTTTTTCTATCTACCCTCTCTACCTTGCTATCTTGCGCCTAGCCTCTACTAATTAAGCCTTTTCTATATATAATCTGCTTATAGAGTACTTAAAGTGTTTCCTAGTAAACTTATTACATTTACTTTTCTAAATACACGCCTATAGAAAGTTGCTAAAGTTTAAGAAACACACTTAAATATACCTATAATTTTGCTAGATCTACGCCTTAAGTACTTTAAATATAAGCTTAATTAAGTTAAAGTTAGGCAAGTATAGTAGCAGAAAGTGTATAATATAACTATCCTATTTAATTATCTTAACAACCTTAGGATTCTAATAGATAGAGATGTTATCTATAATTACAACTATTAGTTTAAAGCTGTATGTTGTCTAGAGAGTTAGCAGAAGCGCGTTTTAGATCTAATCTTTAAAATTCTTGTAGGCAAAGTAACCCTTTTTAATACTAGTGCAGGGTAGGTAGCTGTTAACAGTGTACACAGGTAGAATTGCCTAAGTAGCCCCTTGCTTTATTTCCTAGGTATATTGCGCTTTATAGCCTACTAGCGTGTACGTGTGGTGCCTCTAGCTAGTTTTCTTGTTAAAAATAGACTTGTTAATAAAACAGAGGTTATTAGCAGTAAACTGCCTAAGGCTTTAGTAGAACATCTTATAAAGTTGCTTATTATAATAGATTAAGAAAGGCTGTAAGGTACACTTACTCTACCCCTTTTACTTTAAGAACTATAAGATAGTTAGTTAACTAATGTAAACACCTCTTTCTATAAGTAACTAGTAGTAAATTTTATTCTAATACATCTACCTGCTCTACATTAGCTTATTATAAAGCGTGTTAGCGTCTTAAGCGCCTATTTTAATAGGCTGCCTAAGTGTTGCTGTTAAAGGCTTTTAAGTAGTGCTAAACGCCTTAAGATTCTTCTTAATGTTATAAATAGCTTGCTTAGAGCAGTCTTTATAGTTAGTAATTACTTTAACAGGCTATCTTAGTAAGAGAAAGTGCTAAATATTAAGCCTAGTACAACTACTTAATCCTTGCTTGTGGATAAGAGGTATAGGTTAGAGGTTTAGGACGCGTTAGCGCGTTAGCGCGGCAGCAACGCTGTGAGCTTGAAACATGGGGTCCTATTACACTAGAAAAGCTGTTAGTATAGCCTGTTACATGTACTTAAATAGCCTTATCTTTTTTACCTAACTAATTAATATTATAGGGCGATTTGTGGCTGCATAGGGCAATTTGCAGTTTGCTAGCAAAATACGCGCGCGAAAAAAAGGGCGAGGGTGACGCCAAGCATTGCACCGATTTTTGAATACGATAGAGGCAGATTCCAAAACCGAGCCACACTTTCCACGACCCCAGCACGACCGACATATCGGAGGCTTTCCCCATCAGACACCGACCCCGAGGATCATCCCAGTCAGCCATTCACAGCGCCCTAAAACATGCCGATCCAAACCCGTCAGCAATTTAGCCTCTTCCAGGGACAGCCCCTAACGACTAGCTGGATCGTTCTCTTAACAATCATAAACCTACCTTCCCCTATATGCTAGGTAAGAGATCCCAACCACTTGACTTGAGGCTATTAATTCTAACTCGGCCCGTACTAACATGCAACTGCCCTCCGTTCTTGAGCATCCACTGCTCTACCAGAACCAGCTGCTCCTAATCATAGTCATCATTGCCACAATCCCCCTGTCAACGTATGCCTTATCAAGTTTCCTGTTCCACCGGACTGCGCGAATCAATAGTTCCGGAAAGACACCACCAACCGTCCCCTACTCGATACCGGGGCTTTACCATGTTTTCGCACTCTTGACTCAAGGACCTCCCAAATTCTTTGCAAACATCATGTGAGAATCTCAGCTTTCTGTTCTGCCCTTGCTAATCGATGTTTAGTAATACATATGGGCGCCTTGCACCCTTTGTTGTTCGAGCTGGCCCGCTCTCTTTCTTAGTCGTTCGAGATGCGAACCACGTCAAAAAGATTTTCCAATCAAGCAAAACTTTGACTCCGACGGCGCTCCACGTTCAAGTATTTGACAAGGTCATGGGGTCTCCAAAAGAGGTGTTGGAAATTTACGGCGCAGTTGGCAGTGGACGAACGGACAGTGAGCAAGTCGACTACGCGCATCTGACCGTTCCTCGCCTCCATCTTGTGGGTACATCCTTGACATCCATTGCCGAAGTATACATTGCGATTCTCCGTCGGAATCTTGCCAAAAAAAGGTTTAATGTCGAACGATGGGTCGAAATCCAGGACCTGTGGTCTTTTTTCCAGGTAGAAATTACTCGCGCGACTATGGAAACTCTATTTGGTTCAGTAATCTTAGAAGACTACCCTGATCTCGTACAGGACTTCTGGAAATTCGATAGTAATATTGAGAACTTCACCCGTGGCCTGCCTCGTTTCATGATCCCATCGGCGTGGGCAGCTAGAGACCGCCTACGCCAGAAAATCAAGAAATGGCTTCAGTCTGTCCACGAAGGCGATGATTTCGCCAAGCTTGGGGAGGAGGATCCTTCATGGGACCAAAATATGGGATCAAAATTTTTCCAGCATCGAGACAGTGTCCTTGCGAAAATTGCGGGCATGAATGACGATGCACGTGCATCTGAGGCGATGGCAATAATGCAAGGGTATGTGCTGCGTTGATATTTCAATGGACATTCCTGAACCAGACATATGTATGCTGATGTGCATGAATAGATCGAATTCGAACACCATGCCTTCGACGTTCTGGTATATCTTCGAGACCCTTCGAAATCCAGATCTAGTAATGCACCTCACGTCCGAAGTTGAAAAGCGATACGACGCCAATTCCGGGTCCTATGACTTTGCGGCATTGAGCGGCATTCCAATCCTTCAATCCATGCACACTGAAATTGGACGACTCCGGATGGCAACGGGCGCAATTCGAACGAACGAAGGAGGTCTTTTCAAACTTGATGAAAACTGGGTCATACCCAAAGGAACTTCTGTCATGATCTTCTCGCACGATCTTGCTATGAATACCGAGCTGTGGTCGCGAGCCCGGCCAAGGACGGTTGAGAGACCGTTGGAAGACTTTTGGGCGGAACGTTTCCTGATCCCGGAAAAGTTATCTCGAGACCAGCCGAAGACGGTAGAAGTGAGTAGGATAGGCTCTGGAAGGTTTAGCATGGAGGGAATTGGGGCGTTGCATGTCACCTTTGGTGGTGGTCATCACCTGTGCCCTGGTCGGCACTTTGCAAAAGCAGTGCAAATCAGCACACTCTCGGTATTGCTGAGCGAGTATGAGATGGAGTTGTGCAATGTGGGGGCCGCAGAGAGACAAATACCTCCGGTAAGACGAGCTGCGTATGGAACTGTGCGGCCGCTGGGCAATATACCTGTCCGTATTCGCCGCAGGGATAGGGGAAAAGAATGAAGAGGAATCGAAGACCTGATTTTGAAAGGTCTTTCTACCACGGAAGCTTTGTTAGTCGCGCAAATTCCGAATTGACTGTTTCATCCACTATCGAATTGCTCGTGGTTCATGCTCAAATGAGGGATTCTTGCGGTATTTGTAGTGATTCTACGAGGAAACGGTACCTCTATTAGCTACGGTATATTTAACCTAAGTGTAAAGAAGTTTGTACCTATATCTATTTTCCTAGTGCTAACTTTGTAAAGATTTCAACTAGGAAAAGCTCGCGGACAAAACTCAACCTCTCGAAATTCAGCCTCAAGGTCTGGACCGCCCACTTCACAGCAGACAAGCTTCAGCCCTGCCGGCACTTCTCAATCCCGGCAGAAAGGATCGCCATCTTCAGGAACCATGCCATCATGATACGCAATGATTCCCATTCCGGGCATTCCTTCCTTCCGTACAACCATTCTCCCAGGTGGCGTCGCGGTACATTCCTCCCCATATTCGTTCATCGTATTCCTCATTGCTTCTCCCAATTTCTGCATTCCCCGAATTGTGCTCACATCACTATTTAATTACCACCTAATGAATCGCCGAGACTAGACATCTTATTTTAGCGTCTTGGTTTGGAGAGTGCACGTGGAGAGCGGGGTCGTTAATTTACGGGTATTGGCCGCGAATTCGAGTAGCACAAACAACGCAAATACTATGAGTATCGAACGTTCGGATGATGTTTTCTCTTATTGGATTAGATTGTAAAAATATAAGAAGAATTTTCAACGCCGGGTAGGCTATTCGCAAGAATTCGGGATCTGGGAGTGCGAATAAATACAACCTGGCCGACTGCTGATCACTTCCGTCTAGTACCTGTACTGTACCCTCCTCCTTAGCCCGATCTACTATCATTGACTAGATCTCTTGTGTAGCTCCTGAGATCTAAAAGCTATGTTGTTTCAAGGCCTCACCGCGGCTGTGCTGCTCGGCTGCCTCTCACACATTGCTTCCACCTTCCCTGCGCCTGCCAACACTCCCGCCGCCGTCGTAACCTCTACCCACAACATCTATCTCGTATCTTGCGTCCCGCGGAACAGCAGTGTAGGCACCACAGGTGCAAACTTCACCGCAATAGCATACTTCCGCCAGCCTCTTAATGCAAGCGAACTGGTCGGCGAGAAAGACCCAAAGACCGACCATGCTGCCGTCGTCAGCGACCCAGCGAGTGCCTGGGAGGGAGTGAAATGGAGAGTTAAAGTTTGGAGGGATAAGATGTTTGCAACGGAAATTCCGGCAGGGTCTGATGCGTTGGAGAAAGGCCAGTTGGCAGGGACTGTGACTTTGGATGCGGAACATTTTGTCTGCTTTAGGGATGGACAGACGGGGATTCGGGTTAGGGAGGATGATGGACCGCGTGGGAATTGTGTGGCGGATTATTGGTGCCCAAGTATTGATCCTAAAAAAGAGAAGGATGACACGAAGAGGGAATTAGAGGTTTTGGGAGTGTGAGGATGAAGTAGGCTTATTGCAGTGATGCTGAAAATATCGGGCAACGTGCACCATACTAGGCTGTTGGGGGGAATTTGTACGACGAATATAATCTATCACATACCATCCTCAACAATATGGTGATATGCCGATGCAATTTCCTGGTTGACACGATAAGCGAGACTCCAAAAAGCAGATTTATGCCTTCGCAAGATTCTTCTGCCATCTTGTGAAGGTGTCGTCACAAGCCTTTGAGTAGCTTTGGCAGCACTGTACTAGTAAGCGCCCAAACAGTAGACGTATAATCCGACCCGAACAAGCCCCCTGTATACCACGTTGCTCGATGCCCTTGAAGCGCATACAACTTTTGGACGAAACCTGCCTTTATTTGCTCCACAGATTGCCGCCATAGGATGGAATTATGATCTGTGAATGCAACAAAGTCGACCTTGCAATCAGAAGTCGTGTTAAATGTACCGGCGGTTACTAACTTTTGTGCACTCTCCGAAATGGTGACCTTCGCCTCCGCATGAGTGATGGTGTAGTTCGTCGCGAACAGAACGCGAAAGAGTCCGAGGCCAGATGGTCCAGTGGAGTCGAATCGGAGCGTAAATGGGTAATCCCTCAAGGCAAGGTGATCTGATGGCAGAGAGGCTGAGGATATGTAGCTTACGGAGTAGTTCTCGGGAATACATGGGACCTTGAGTACACCGGCGAAAGACCACGTTGGGGTCCATGTGCTGAAAACCGCCTTCTCTTGCTTATCAAGATCGAATGGCTCTAGATTTGGTAGGCTCGGTGGAGCCGTGACTAACAGGCGTTTCGCCTTGATGAGCCACGTCGTCCCGTCTTCCCTCTTTACTACAAGCCGGATTCCCGACAATTCCCTTGATGCCTCCGCTACACGACTCTCTAACAGTACGTCGTCTTTCAGCAAATCATACGCGCGCTGATATAACAAGCTGTTCGAGTTTCCTTTTGGAGAAAACAGACTGGTAGCTTTAGCGATAGGTGCGCCGAACGCCTGCATGACATAAAGGGTAAGGACTTTCTTCAATCCTCCAATACCAACATTCGACACAGCCATAATCCGGGGCGCTGCAGCCGCAAGGTTATACTTGGTTGCGTATTCGCCAAAGGGGAGCAACAGCTCCGGAGGAATTGCATGCCCGGCCGGAAAATTCCAGTATCCGGGCTCCATGATAGACTCATATTTTTCGGTAAGGTTGACCCAGGTTGCCAGTGCGTCTCCCGTAGCACCCATTGATGGCGGTGTGTATGCGGACAGCAACGCACCGTTCGAAATGTCGACATTGATGGGAGTGAGGCTTCGCCGAGGAAAAACACCGATTTCGACTCCAAAGCGTGCAAAGAAGTCCGTTGCAGCGCCGTATTGAAAGTATGTTTGAACTCCATACTCGACGGAGGTGTTGATCCCAGGGATAGTGTACGTGTCGACATGCCCTCCGAGACGAGCTTTTTGTTCGATCACTACGATGCTAGTATTAAAGTCTTCACGAAGGCGGACGGCAGCGTATGTTCCGGAAGCCCCGCCGCCGAGAACGGCGACATCTCTCGTAATAATGTTGTCGGGTAAAAAGGCGGACTCGTTTATTATTGACCCGCATGCCTTGCCGATTGCGAGCGCAACTATACTCCAACACGCTTTCCCAAGCATGCTTGCTGAGTCGTCGCCAAGCTAGGTCCGTCCGAGAGCCAGGTTTGAGTTTCTCGGGAAGGGATGAGTAAGTCGTAGGGCGATGGACGCCACGCTTTATATATATATTTTTTTCGAGCTCGCATTCGTGTATATACGAAGTCGAAGGATCCAGGGACATATTGAACTAAGCGGCTAGCACAATTGAGACAGTACACGAGAAGGATTGAACGGTGAGGGCTGCATGCATCGCGCGGATGCTTGACTCTACTTAGTCTCGTTCTACAGAGGGAGCTATTGGTTGTGCGAGAAGAAGAGGAAATTTGCCGAGGACATCATGGGTATATCTTGGCATCGCAATAAGAGGGGATGGGCGGAAGCTTGGAGAATACGATGTGAGTTGTGCCTGATGATACGAGAGAGAGATGGAAAGATGTTAGGGGAAGGGGGGGAAGAAGCACTGCATCTCCCAATGTATGGTGGTTGTGTGCTTCACCTGCACTCGCGTTACTATAGGACTAGAGTCGAAATTTAGTAAGGCGCCAGGTGGGTCGGGGAGTAGAAGATTTTGGGATGTACGAGAAGGTGGAGTGAGTCTAGGGGAAGATTGTGATTGGGGTATCACTAGACTAGCTCGTTTTATGAGAAACTTGTGATTCCCAGCCATGGCTTACTAAAACGAGGAATGAAAAGAAGCGCCGAAAGGGATAACAGTCACCCGCAAATGAACCTCTGATTTAATATGGCTGAAGTTTGGGTTCTGGAGATAGGGCCGCATCTTGTCACCCAAAGGGAAACAGAACAGGGTAGTTTAGCACGGGAGCTGCATACGATCCAAGCAAGATGTATTACGGATAGACAGTTAGTTATGGAGCTGACGGTTAATGGAGGGCAAATGGAGTTGTGAATAGTCAATTAGGTGGTGAGAACTAAACTAGGTAGATTGAGCGAAGGTGCAAGTCTGAGATTTGGTCTGAGGAGCTCTGAGGTGATTATATACGGAATAAAATAGCGCTAGTGCTAACTAAGTGTTCGCTACTCCTACGCAGGAAATTAGTGAGTCAAGGCTCACACTCTTGACCCAGTGTCAACGCGAGCCAAAGTCACGTGCGACAGACTCTACCGTAATAGTGTTTGACGTTGTGTGGGGACATGCGGCAGAGAAGGATAAAGGGGACTACTACCATGAGAATGCTTCGACATCCAATTCCCATACCGTCTTGCCTGCTTGTCCCTTGTGACACACCAACTTCCTCACATCGTCGCACAGTCCACCAGGCCCACAAACAACGACACCGACTCTAGCCCACCCCGCAATTTCCTCATCGTCCAGAAGCGATGCAAGATTTAACCTAGATCCGATTCTGATATCCCTCTCTTTGACAGTTTTCAAAACAGCGTCCATATCCTTTACAAGACCATCCGAATTGCTGGCAACACTCCAATGCAGCTTCACATTTCGATGACGGGCAATGAAAGGCAGAACAGCCGTGATACCAATCCCACCAGCGATAAGCACTAGCCGATCAGTCTTCAGTATAGCGGAGAGCGAGCTATTTTGGTAGGGGCCATCAAGCAGTGTAAACAGTGAGCTGTTTGTCGCAAGCGCCTTGGTCAATCCTGCGGACTTGCGCACATAGAGGCTCACACCTGCCGTATTTCCTCCTAGGGTGGATTGCGTAAGGATCGAGACTGCGCCTATCTTCTCGATATCGTCGTTGGATCCCAAATGCTTCGAGGGAAGGGGATCGACGGGGAATTCTATTGGACTCTTGCTCGGGGACGAAAGGAGGGCCGTTGGAATGACAGAGAATGGGTGGTTCTCCCAAGGGCGAAGAGGATTTAGAGTTGGAAAGTATGCGTAGGTATGCTGTCCAGGCTCCGTGCCCCATCGAACATTTTTGATATCAACGCGGACAATGTTATCGCCAATCTCTGTGACATTCGCTCTCCGGATCCCGTTCTTCAAAACCCGAGAAACACGCAAAATACGGTCAAAGAACCACACCGCACATGCTGCGTATATCCACTGCTCGTATCCCCATCGTCTTTTGAATGCAAACTCAAGATGATACCAAATTCCAACGATTACGAAGACTGCTAAAAGCACGTGGAGAACGAGGAAGATTTCATAGCTGAGGCGACGGAAGAAGAGCGTAGAGATAACCATCATGATACTAATACTCACTGTAGCAACGATGCCCCAGATCCAGTACAATTCCTTCATCTCGGCTGCTGCTTCCCCTGTGGCCTGATGAAGAACCAGTTCCAGAATGGAATGCAAGATGGCCTGAACGGCGAATATGCGAGCAACCCAGCGGTGTAGTGTCATATATGTAGAGTGACTCCAGTTGGTGACCCAAAGTAAGATATTGTTGCGACTGGCGAACAAAATGACAAGTGGTGCGAGCGCACAGGCAAGGATACCCGTGCGACAAGCAACATAGTCGACGATTTCTTCCCAGCGGTTCGAAAATTTCATATTCGGCTGTCTTGACTGATATCCGACGGCGGTGAGGATAATGTTCACCGAAATGAACATCGCGACGTAAAGAGCTTGTCCAGTTGTGGGAGCATTCCCAAGAGCGAAAGGAAGGGCCCGCACATGGTAATTTCCTAAGAAGGCTGGATAGATGAGTCGAGGTTTAAGCTTGTCTAGCAAGCCAGACATATAGGGAAGATATCCGAAGAGTGTGAAGAAGATCGGAGTACCGAATCCAATGACGAGGAGAATAATACTAGTGCACAGGGTCAGTCACAGGAAGAACTATTGCAAGTTCATTGAACCAACCCATTTCTTGCAGCAATGGTCTCAGAGCGCTCAATTTGACCGAGTGTTTCCATATATCCCTCCCATGTATCGCGGTCCACTTGAGCCGTGGAATTCAGCATCTTATTCTTCTCTGCCCCGACAGTTGGGAACTTTGCCCCTATCTCTATTTTCGTTAAAGCCTCTCCGTACGTCCATTTTGGGTGAACCTTTGGATCCCCAGTGCACTTGGCTGTCCAAAACTTCTCCAATTGCCAGGGCTCCACACTGTAGTTGGCGCAGGTCGAGTTCATGCAGTAAGCAAGTGTAGTAAGCCATGGTGTGTTTGTAGAGCGACACTTGGCTGTGGTCTTAACACTGTCATGGTCCCCTTCACCAGTTTTGCGTGAACTACAGGTCAACAAAGTTGATTTGAAGGATTGTTGGCAGGAGTGTGCACAAAGTGGGTCGTATTTAGATACGCCGTATCCAATAAGAGCGGAGGAGGTGCCCGAAAGAGCAAGGGCCACAAGGCCGAGAGAAACGTGAAGACTCATGATGCCGTCTCAGGAGGGATCAAAAAGAGGAAAATTGGAACCCTGGACTGCAGGTGGAAGGATAGACCTGTCATCCGTGACCCTTAAATACACCAGCTGTTCATACGCCTCATACTCCGGATAGTCCAATGTAACCGAAGAGGGAAGTGTGTGTCAAGCATTGTGGGTCGCCCGCTTTCACTCGACGCCCTAGAACGGCGATTATAGAGAGAAAGGCTCGCCAATTGGCTATGTGAAGCCTAGATGTTTGCGTTCATTAATTTGAGAGGATTTGACGAGAGGGCTTTGCAACTAAGATCAGATAGGGGAATCCGGGTTCCTATCAATCTCCGAGATCCATGATCTCCGGCCATCCCCATTCACAGGTCGCAAGCATGGTTCGCACCTATTGAAGCGGCTGGTTCTTCTGCCTGGTACGAACAAATGGCGGTTACTATAGAGAACATCTGGTCGCTTTGTCAACACGTGTCATACTACCCTATATAAGAATCAGTGATGGTGCCCACAGATTGAAACCGTTGAGCATACGAAATTCATTGAATTTTAAGCCTGACCTCACCCGATTTCTAGCATTAAGCGTGCTCGCCAAGACCGCAATAACTTGAAGCTGGCGGGTCTGCGGGACTGGAGCACTTGCTTTTGCTCCCTTCCCACAAATAAACCAAACCTGGCCTTGCGGGGTGAGATTGCGTAAGGGAGTGGCCAGCAGAGGATTTGGCTTGGAAAAAGGAAGTATAATGCGGTTATAAACTAGTCCATACACATCTAGGAGCGGAGAAGGTGCATGATGTGCAAAGCGGCCAACAATGCTTCCCGGTGATCAGATTAGATCAAGAAAATCGCGCCTTTGGGGTGGCTTGGCAAGCCATCCGGGCTTGCCAAGGCGATCTAGATCATCAGATTAGATACCAGACACAATAGCTTCCGGCGACGAAGAATCGATATTTTCATAGCCCAATCAAGTCTTGCTTGCTGCATCCCGTGGCATTAATCTAACGAAAATACAAAATTTTGCGCTGGGTTTACCGCTTGAGAGAGTGCAGGCTTTTCGCTCCGGGCATGAACGGAGGCGACATCGGCCCTCGCTTCACCTTGTCTTGGTGTTGTTAAAGGAATTCTACATGTGGAGGAACGCCCCAAAACGAAGGTAGGCTGAGAATTGGGGAACGTTCGATCTACCATAACCCACCTGCACCCGGTTCCTCGAGGGAAACCCCACGCTTCTTCCAGGTGTGATGGATAGTCGACAATGTTGCGGTTGGCCTCGTGATGCCTTCTAAGCAGAGTGGCAGCTTCCGCTTTCATGGCACTATCGTGGGGATGTTTGGAGTGATGAAATGATTTTCACTGATAGATGGAACTGTGGACCAGGCTGAAGTAGTTGGGATGACGTGAAAGATCTCTGATGAACCAGGAGCAACCGAGGCTGTCATTGTTGCCTCGTGACCTGGCAGCACTGTGTTAGATTTGAAAAATAAATCGCGGGAAATTTGGTGTTGATCTACGCAAAGATCTCCAGTGATGGAGCATCTTCGAGCACCAGATACCCCCTTCCGGTTGACCTTTTAACTCCGGCAAGTAGCGGGAAAAGAGGCCGTGTTCCCATCAAGCTGGCCCATCTTTGCCTATGTATTTTTACATGATATTTACTCACTAGCCCTCGCAGTAGGAACCATTCCATTGGAACCCGAGGCCTCAGAAACGCCACTTCATCTGGACGCTGATAGAAACTCTTTCTACGCGGGAAGGCGAAGAGGTAGCTAGTTTCGGTCTTTGAGACTCCACTGGGTTGGGAAAGTTATCACAAACATTGTGACAAATACCGGGGAAATGGTTCACCTCCAAGTCTCTGGTCTGATCCTGAGTGTTATTCCTGGCAGTTGGGTATCGGGCAACCTAGAATGTCAGTACAACTTCCCACATTCATTTAGAACACCTCTCAAGACGAACCATGGGGTTGGTCATCAACTCAACTCCACCCTATGAAAAAAAAAAAAAGGGCGTGAAATGATGGGAACAACCACTCCAGTCACGCGTCTGCAAGTGCGATCACTAAAAGACGCCTCCAAGTCATGCAAGAAAGTATGGCTTTATGCCTCACTCACTGAAACACTCATTCGGAAACCCGATCGCAACCACACCCAGCTTAACATGCTATTCATCACCCCAGCCACTGGTCATATAACGCAAACAATTCCGACATTTCTGCACAGAGGCGTCCCACATTGTCTCAACATATCGGAGGACACGAACAGCTGAATCGCTTAAAGACGGCGATAGAAGCGAGGGAGTCTCTACAAAGCTGCGCCCAACGTCCCTCATTTACGATACAGTTGGATTCTGCGTGCCTCGATCCCAGTATCTCACAGAGTCGCTCGGAGCTGCTCGTCCTCGAACCAAGCATATAATTTCTCTTTGCCAGAGAGTGCATCGATACTACACCCTGCACCGAACCAATGACTCAACTCTGGAGACATTAAATCGTCCGATCAGCCTACCGATCTTCTCAGCCAAGACCACAGATACGGCTTTTCGCCTCCCACCCTCCTTTCCATGCAGACCTGTCCAGCAGGCTTTCAACATGCCATGTTTTCCACTCCTTCCAGTTCGATCACTCCGGAGCTCGCCTCCAACACTCCTAAGTACCCACCGGTTCTTGAGTCATCACCAGCCACACCGGGCTCTTCGCACCCAGGCTTTGGCATCTGCCTCGACGTTGCGGCTGTGCGGGCCATCTGTGTCTTGCAGGGCTGTGTCTTGCAGGGCTGTGTCTTGCAGGGGGTGAGCCATGAGAGAAGCGATATGTATTGTCCACCGAGGGTCTGGGTGCTTTGAGATAAAGAAAGAATTATTTACAAGGTAGAGTAATCAAGCTTGAGTTGATTGGGTAGCCCTACAACTTCGTGGGGTAGAGATTTTGGAGACGAAGGCTTAGCGTACCAAACATCCATATCTAGGTCGCACAGCCACAGGGGGATCTTTAAACGTAGAAAGCAGCAGAAGCGGCAAGGCAGAACAGGACTTCACGCGTTTCGCCTCAATACTAAACATATTGCTGTCAGCCCTGCTTCCATTTCTGGGAGTGGTGGCGTGTTTAACTCCTGAGGGGCGGATGGGCTGATGTCGTGACCTCGTCCCTAGCGAGATAGTCAAATCGCTGTATATTTCACGTGTAGATAGATTGTACAAGCAGAGTATCGCAAGACAGCCACAGAGATCCATGATCGTTATCGATAACCTGCAAAGTACGGAGGTACTTTTCAAAAGTAAAGGCTGGTGGCCCGTGGCTGTGTTCGTGGCTGAAGGAGCCTTCGGCATCATTATTTTATACCCCTTAGGGCGAATGAGTTGGTTCGAATAGGCGCCAGCCTTCTCATTATGGCGTGACAAGAACATAATGCGGTCCACATCGAGACTCGTTGGGTTATGATGTTAGAAACCTAGCATTCGTTTTCAACCAGCTTTTGACGCAGCCCTCACTGCTAAGTTCACCTTCGGCTCCTAGGGTAGCAAGCTGCTGCTGAATTATCTTCCAGCCAACCTTTCATTAATAAACTCATAACTAGTTTACCCTCTACTCAAAGCCTTAGGCTATACGTCACAGCACCGGTCAGTTGGGATCTCGCTCCACTATCCTGACTTATTTGCCTCGGGCCCCGAGGTTTCGTGGAGGCTTGTACGGAACTTAGGAGAATACGATGTCGGCTGGCGAACAAAGAAAGCCTCTTATTCAGCTGGTTAGAAGGCTGATAGAAATATAAGGTCGGGTAGACAGCCCTCTCGAAATCACTACATTTCCATCTACGATGGCAACCCTACGCATTTTTTCAAACATAATCCTAATTCTGAGTTGCATTAGTTTCCGCTTTAGTGTGCTTGCAGCTACAGCACCCAAAGAGTCTCAACTTCTCTTTCCGAGAACATGTGTGGCAGCAAACGAAATGAGCGCCCCTCCACAATCCAAACATCTCATATCCCGCCAGAATGTAGTGTGGTGTAATGGTAAGCAAACTTATTAGTCGAACAATTTTCGTTAAGTTCTCACCTTACATACTTCCCCAAGACTTGCTTGATATGGGGCTAACGCAGTTATGTTGTTTAGCCTATCGATATTGCATTAATAAAGTATGTTGTGCCTCCGCTGACAGTTATTATCTCGGATGCATGCCTGCGGATGGCGACTGCTGTGCCGATGGCAGGTACTGTCCATCAGGATACGCCTGTTCGAGCTCCGGTTCTTCTATAGTATGTAAATGTGTGGGCTCCAATTGTACACCCGGTACCTCCCCAAGCTCTATCGCGGCAAAATCTTCGACAAGTATATCAACTAGCACTCCAACTGGGTCATCAAATGGGCCACAACAGCCAAGTTCTGAAGGAGGATTGACTAGGTCTGATAAGATTGCCCTGGGTTGCGGAATTGGTGTTGGCCTCCCGGCCACGATCGCTACGGTGTGGATGTGTCTCACGCGGAAACGCCACTGATGGGTCCACCATGCCTAAGGTCAAATGGACGACGAAAATTGGAGATTGTCCCTGCAGCATGGAAACACAAGGTCAATTTCGAGTAGGGCTTATGGAGATCTTTGAAGCGACTATTTGAAGTCAACTGGAGTGAAGGCGTTGGGATATCTCACCGTTTCGAAGTGTGACTTCACAGGTTACACTACTTTATAGGTCATATTCTTGGCTCAATATATATGATTCCTTGGCTCCATATATTTGCTTTAGCGTTCACCTGTTCTGAAAAAGGGCCAACATTTTAAGGCTAGGCATCTTGAAACGGTTAATATTGGAGTCCTTTCCACACTTGGCTTATCAGACAAAATCGAAGTTACTAGTGGAGCGAAATTCAGCCTGAGCAGGTCTGTAGGCTCAATAAATCCACCATTGCCGTTACATGGGGACAGCTTGTCGAGGTGTCGCAAGCATATTTACAGCTGTATGGCGAGGCATTTTAGGAGGAGCTCCTAGAATGAGAGCGAGAGAAGCGCGGGGTTTTAGGTATTCGCGACAGCCATCGGCCAATTTTGCAGTTAGAGAGCTCTCCGAGCTTCACCCCCTGCCCGTATTCATCAGCACTACAGCCTGCCTTGGTCACATATTGCCTAATTGGTATCATGCTTCCAAGTTCACTCATTAAGGCTAGCGTATCTCTAGACTCAGAGCTCTCTCTCGCTTCTCAAATCCCACACTACCTAGTATTGTTCCCACCACCTCATTAACGCCTCCTATATTATCTACCTGACTTCGCGGCAAGTAAAACTAGGAAACAAGCCAGTAGAATTAATGTAAGCTAAAGGGCTCTACGACGGGCTTGGCGTCTCAACATACCATACAAACCACGTGGCTTCTCAGACCCTCAGTACACAATACATCACTTCTCCTATATATCATGCTCCCCCAAGGTTACACTTAACTTACGGCGATCATCAATCTACCACCACCTTGCTATCTAATATGAACCGTAGAATCTTGCGAACTATGCTGATAACTATAGTTACTAGTTAGGAGCGCTGGATTAAAAAGTACAAAACCTTGCACAAATCTCTAGCAAGATAAGCGCAGAAATCTCTCGTACAGTTGCGCTCTAATATTACTTCCTAACTAAGGGTTACGAATATGGTTATAGAAAGCCACCGGCGCTAAACGTAAACTAGCGCTTACAGCTATTAATTCCAAGAGCATACTGGTAGAGCAATGACAAAATTTAAAGAAGAGACCTTGCAAGGATATAAACGCTTGGCTAACCGACTAGCTGACGCTGTTAGCTGGCGCAGAAGGTTAAATCTTCTAGATATACAAGGGGATTGTGCCCAAATTAATTTCTTTGAATTATTACGCCCCTAACTCCGGGGTTCATAGCTAGCGCACTACTCTATATAATAGAGAAATAGGACTGTAATAACCTCCCATTTATTCCAAGCCTGAAAGATTATATTGCCTGACCCTGCGCCTAGCATTGTAAGTTGAACACTACCGTTATTATAGGATTATTTGCTGCCCTAGGCAATACACTATTAAACTGGAATCGATCCATCTTCAAATCTAGTGCGAAAATTGTCTCTATTTGCAGGAGCATCAAAAGTTTAGATGATGTAAGTCTTTTAATCATGTTGCTCGTACGAAAGGAGAGGAACTAGATTAGTCTACTTAACAGAGTTAATCAGGCTTGAAAAGATCCTAATATCGATTTAAAAGTAAAGGCAGCTATAGAGAAGGACAAGTAACAGTAAGAGAAGCAATAGAGGACCTCGACACCCTTTGAATTTGAGCTCCCCGACTCAGCTCTTCACCACCTCAGCCACCGTACCAAGCCTCATCAATCGCAGAGTACTCGGTCCTGGTTCTAACACACACATTTGCAATAGCACTCAGTATGGCTGAATTTATTGACGTAACGCGATGCCTAGAGAGATTGTGTAAGCTAGTCGCGAAGCTTTACCTATTACCAACTGGGTAGATTTCAACCTAAAGGTGAACACCCGTCTAGCATACGTTAAAGGCTTCTTTGGTGATATATGAGGTCTTGCGCGATGCAGATCCCTAAACATCTATTTTGACTCGGGCAGGGGACGTGCTGTACTCAGGATCCTCAGGAACCTTCATTTGCAAACTTGCCTATTAAGATGGACATTAGATTATTGACGCGGGTGAGATGGAGCAAGCAGGGCTCTTAGCATTCGGCTCTAATTCCAAAAGCTCCTTATATGAGCTAGTTACGTCATCCACTAAGCTCAAACAGTTCTATCGCCCCTCGCAAGACGAGCAACGCCTTATCCCTTCTTCCCATCAAGGAACTCACAAGTTTATGGGTCACCTAGGCATGGAAACGATGGGTCATCTCGAGTAAGTGTACAGTGGCCCAACTATACGAGCACGACAGTGCTATAGCGCTTAAAGGCTGTAGAATCTATATCAAAACTATGATGAAGCAGATTAGTTGATGCCCTTCTCACTAGTTCAGCGTCACCTGATCGAATCATTGTCTAGTGAAAGTAAACTATAATTGTGTTTATTGTATGTATGGATAACCCCATTGGTACTCTATAAACTGCGCTCGACACTACCGCTTTGAACACCCTTTGCGTTAGAAGCCCAGTTCCTAACTCCACCTCTCAAGCGAGATGCGTCGTGTTGAAGAGGCGGTTTCCGGTGTCCGTAGTACCTATTCCAGTGAATTTCGTCGTAGAAGTGCGCAGTGTGACAAGGCTGGCATTCTTTTCATGCGCAAGGCTGTTGATTAAGGATGATTCGCCGGAAATACACTTATCCTGAACGACGCCGGCAACAACCACAATGCGAATGGTAGCGTTCAGCTCCCGCACCCGCTTGACAAACCTTATCACCGTGCTACCACTGTTCACAACGCAATCAACCAAGATGACGGAATACATGCCCTGTATGTGTTCGAGTTGTAGATCTGTGGTAGCGTCCGCGTGTTTGAACGCCGCGAGTGGGAAGGCGTCGTTGACTCCGAAGGCCATAGGCTCTCCGCCACGCATCAAGGCGACTATCAACGTTTTCTGTTCATACAAGAGTCGGTACCCGATCGCACGCACACCCAACACGTGGGAGATTGTGCATTCTTCAAGGCCGATGATATCGGTCTTGCCCAAGAATTTCGTTGCCAGGTAAAATCCGCAGCGGCGGTGGACTTCCCGAAGGGCAGGACCGGCAGAAGCAGAATCGCGCATTAAAGTTGCGAGTAGCTTAGTGGAACTCTTCTCCGTTGCGTGGTAGAAGCGAAGTCCGGCGAACCGAGAATTGGTACCAAAAACAGAGTCGACGAAATCTTGCCTCGTAATGTCGACAAGGGGGAGCTTCGTTGTGTCCAACCTTGGAGTTACGCTGCTTGGAAGAACTACCTGGCGAGCCACTTTCAGAACCTCGTCTCGGATTGCAGCACCCAGCTTCGCCTCCATTGACTTACTTCTGGTCTCTTTGTCGCCAACTACGACCACCGCTTCATCCGCTTTGCGTAACATTTCCAGATCGAGCGGACTATCACCGAACGCGCAAACATGCTTGATATTGTGGGAGTGTTTCAATCGAGAAACCAAGGCGGCTTTGACTTCCGCTGTGACGACGATTCTATTAGCGACTCGTCCTCCCCCGATAACCTTCACGGTGTTGGCGAGACCCGCCTTTTCCAGAATCTTCTGCCAGACTAGCTGCAAACCAGACGTAACCACGATGGCGCTAACACTGCGTTCCCTGTTCTCAGCTACTAGCTGCAGCAAGTTCACAAATTCCGGGTACATCTTTACTTCCATAGCGACTTTCTCACACAACGCACCAAAGTTGAGTTCATCAGCTGCGTCCTCGTACATCAATGTGGCTTGACGGAACGCAGCATAGGAATGTCCCCATTTTGAATCGCTGAACAATTCTTTCAATGGGTTTTGGTTACCGTTCGGATACTGAGCGTTGGAGATCTTCTGGAAAAACATAATGCCCGTATCGCTGGGTGTCAAAGTCCCGTCGCCGTCGAATACAAGCATTGTTGCTGGCGTTTCCCTGCTTTGGGTCATGATGTTGTCCAACATATTCTCGGCGGTGGACAGGTTCATTTTCTCGTTGTGGATTCGAAAATCGCAAAGGAACTTTGAGACTTTTTCTATCAAAGTGGAATCTTCAAGGACATCTCCATTTTCGTCTAGCGTTGCACCCGAAGATACAGTTGTGAAAAGTATCTTATTGATGCGGCAAAGCTTGCGCAGCTCCATGCTTTCACTCCGCTGCCACTTCTCCAAGTGCCCGATGGAATCTAGCGGGCGGATTTTCTCTGTGTCGTTGCGCCTTCTTTTTGCAATTACGCTGGGATTAACCTTCAGATATATCATGTGCGTGTAGACATCCAGGTCCTTTTTCGTGTAAATCACCGCTGGGTCTTTCTCTCCCTCCTTCCAGAACATGGCATGACCCGTGACGACCCCAGTCTTCTTGTTTTTAAAGCACTCGTTATTTATCATCTCGATCGCCTTGTGCCGCCAGGCACTCTGCAGATCTGTTTCCAATTTCTTAAACGTATCGATTCCACCTTTAACAATCCTGGATAAAACTTCAGATCCATCGTAGAACGCCACTTCATGATCCTTGAGACGCTCCTTCAACTTCTCTTTGAGATGGGTTTTTCCGCAGCCAGGAAGTCCGTAGATCCCAATGACCACGGGGCCATCGTGGAGGCGTGGGGTGCGAGATGTATCATCGCTAGAAGTAGACATCGTTGTGGAGAGGCCTAGTCTTGTTGGAACGATCCCTAAGGTTTGTGATGAGCATATGAAGTGCTAATACGAAATCTTTTATATTTCAGATATTGTTTTCCTTTTGTGCATCATATTCTAGAAACATTCAACGAAAGTCAATCAAGGAACCCAATAGACCTTTTTGTATAATTAGGGAAATCTTCCCAGCGCATGTTCCATGAAATTCCAAACCATTCGAACATACCCGACTGACCTGTTAATTACATCATTCATGCTGATTCCCGGTTTTCTGCGTAGGGTTATGTAGACAAACCTAGGAGTAGAGCCTCTTGAAGGCCTTCTTGCATTATAGTTTGGTTCTCATTTCACAGTTTTCCCCTCAAAGAAATCCAACACGGAGAGGTTCAGCCAAGCAAACGAAAGCCAATCTTTCCATACAAACCCTTCCGGGACTATCTTGATCCACGGTTTTCGCTAATACTGCTCTGTCACTCAAGGCCGAAAATGAGTCTGCATCATGTCCTTAGTTCGGCTAGTTTACACCTGGGCTATTTCCATACATATGCTCTTGCCAAGCCCTCGAATGTACACTGAAGCTGGGTGAATCACCCAGCCTCTTGATCTGTTCCAGTGTCACGCCGTTATAAGGTCCACAATGTCTCGAACTAGAGATTCTTGTAAGTTTACTTTCCTGTATAAACATCTTTAAGAAGATCCTCGTGTTGCTGCTTGTCATTTCTCAGCCTGTGACTAATTCTTCATCACGTCGAAAAGAGTAAACGTTATGGTCCCGCATTGGGTTGATATAGCAGTCCTTTCCAGTACTACAGTGCGAATATACGTACTCATACAAGACATATAAAGCAATGCGAAGGTCCTTATTAGGCATTTTAGTTATAGTTAAAATGCTCGAAATCCGGATCATACAACATACTTCAACACGACCATTGATAACGATGAGAAGAGATGTAAACTCAGCCAACATATTCGCTCACTTGGCACGGGAAGGGTGGAGATAAACGTGAAAGTTAAATATCTTGACATCCACCAGTATTAGTTCCTTTTCCGCAAGAGCAGGCACTTGGTTAAACAGAGCAAGCGTACTCGCAAATTCTTATTAGCCCTTGTTCACCTTTACACGCCCGCAACTTTGGATCCCGCTCCAGTTGTGCGTCGGAGAAGTAAGACTTCCAGCGCAAGCACTACTATTAGTTACATATGGCCTTCCCGCTACCTGAGCAACGTAAAACCCACTCACGACAACGATGCCACAAATAGCGGCCTCGCCCCAGAGGTAGGCTAGCTTGAGATTCCTTCTGAAAATCTAAGGTTGCGGGAACTTTTATGACAGGATAGAGGGCTCTTGCGACAAGACGCAGTGCGATGATAGCGGGGGAGGCAGAAACTCTTCAATCTGAAGGTGGAGCTCGATCAGAAGAGAATCAATCTACTACTTGCGTAGCTTTGCCGGTACGCGTTGACTTTATCGGTGGCAAGAAGATTATATGGCTTGAAAGGAACGGTTTTGCGAAAGTTGAGTTACTGAACTTGTATGAGGGTGCCTCGTTAGATCGAGTGCAGAAGACGACATTGGTCTGCGTGGTACGATTTTAGGAGCAGAGGCCTGAAGTAGGGCGGATTGTTGATACACAAGAGATGAGAATAGAAATAACAGAGTTTTGACTCACTGGTCGAGGAAGGGGCGCCAATAAGCCTCAAGAAAAGGCTGGAGCAAAAGGAGGATTTGTAGTCGAAGAAGTGAGGCGAGGAACAGGTTGTTATGGCACAGCCACGCTGAATGATATAGGTGTTAGATAATAAAATTAGGATTTAAAATTCTCGTACGCATTGATGGGTACGAATGAAATTAACGCCCTGAGCACAGTAAGTTGGAATTAATCTTTGCCCATGTTCTATCGAGCAACACAGTCTTTCCGTTTTAGGCGAACGGCAATCGTCCGTGGAGAATGCACAATTGTTAGCAGCAGGGCTTCTACCAATGATCCCTAATCCGCCCCTCATCCCAAATCTACACTGCCTAATGACAGTTACATATGCCGAGAAACGCGACGTCACGTTTGCGCCCGTGATGGGGCTCGGGTTCTAGAGAGGGCGATATGGAGCCGAGTGGAATGAGAAAACTGTATGAAGATTTGTGGTGAAATACTGGCCAAGCGTTCGCGGTAACTTTCATATTAACGACTAGAATGTTCATATACCTAAACTCGGAGACCGAGGAGCACTGAAGAGCATTTCCGGCGGTAAGAATTGGTCTCAGCTGACTGAGCCGAAACTCTGAGTTAATGTTACACCCTCACGGCTCGTGTGGTTTCTTTCTTCTCCTTTTAAGCTCCTGTGATGCAGTCGGTGCTACGCCTACAATCGCGACAAGGCAGGCTGCGGCACCACAGGCCACGCTCACGACGTGACTGACCCTGCATCCATCCAAATAGCTTGCAAGAATTATCTTGACCTCATTTTGAGTAAAAGATGATCGTATTTGTGTTACACCTGCCCCTAGTACCTCGTTTGCATCCAACGTAGGCGCCTTTTTAATCAGACTATGCAGCAGGCCGTTGGTGAAAGCGGCTTCGGAGCCTGCAACAAAGAGACTGGTTCCTACGTTTTCCATAAATAAAGATAGCGAAGTGGCGGAGGCCATATCCTCGGTAGAAACTGCAGCTTGGTTCGCGATCATTGGAATCTGCAAGGCCAATCCAACTCCCATGGCCGTCAACAGTTCATACCCAATCCAGACTCTGGAAGACGTCTGCATGTCTAGTGTATAGATCATGCTCACCCCAATTGTAGCCGCTATAGCGCCAATGACTAAGAAGGGGTTGTAGTGTCGCCAATATGTGAGTAGTGCGTTTGCTACCATGGTGAATGCAGAGACACCAAGTACTAGTGGGATGAGTCGCACGCCGCTCTGGGACGCCGAGTTGTTGTTGATGGACTGGAACTGAATTGGTAGGGAGTATAGTAAGGGAAAGAAGACGCCCGCGAGGCAGAATATGTAGATCAGGTTAGTGAGAACACGTCGTGATCGGAGTAGATGTGACTGTATCATCGCCTTCGGACCCATGAAGCGCTCATTGAGGAGAAAGACGATTGATAAGGTCCCAAAACCAGCCAAGCTGAGAATAATGGCGGGTGAGTTCCAAGAACGGATGCCTGCCCAGTGCATTGCGAGGACGAAACACGACAGGGCCCCAGTAACCAGCACTCCGCCGTTGAGATCCATGCACACCACCTTCTCCTTTAGCGTCGCTTCTTTAGGTGGTATTGGCGACGTGAAGAAGAATACCATAGTGACAGTAGCAAGGAATCCAATCGGAAGGCTCACCCTCCATTGTGTTAGCGACAGGCCCAAGAGCGATGATGAAGGATACACACCAAAAACACCATCTCCATCCAGGCCCATCTGTCAGCGCTCCGCCCATCAATGGACCCACCACACTCGCACACCCAAAAGTGACACCTAAAACCCCCATATACGCTGCGCGGTACTGCGGCTTCACCGTGAGCGCGATGATGATGAAGGCGCCTGTCATGAGACCCCCACCGCCGATTCCTGCTACAACTCTTCCTAGAATTAACGCTTCACTACTTTGCGCACTCGTACAAATGACATTTCCCGCTTCGAAGACGAAAATCGCGAGCAAAAACACACGCTTCAGGTCGAAATAACCATAGGCCTTCCCCCAAGAAGACTGGAACGCGGTATTCGTAATAGAGTATGCCGAACCGTACCAGGCAATGTTGGCAATGCTGCCAAACTGATCCGTGATGCTAGGTATAGCCGTCGCAATGATAGTACTGTCAAGTGCGGCAAGGAAGATGCTGAGAACAAGGCCGACTGTGATGAATGCTAGTTTGACTCCTCGCGGATATTGGATTGGCGAGGGCGGTGCTGGTGCTATCAGTGTTGACTCGACAATGTTCTGAACAGCCCCACCGCTTTCACGAAGGGAACTGAGTTCAATGTCTTCTAAAATAACTGTTAGGTTGGGCATGGTGATTTTTACGGTTGGAATAGGAAGCAAGCCTTGGGGGTGGGGGTGGGATTGAGAGTTCTTCAGTAAGAAATCTAGGTATAGTTAAGGTAAAGTGAAAATGTGTCGCGCTAGACATAAAATGGTAGGTGACGTAACATCTCCGCCGCGCTCCCTCCACTCCAACAGAGACGCGACAAGCGAAGCCGCAAAAAAGCCTCGAGATGATTACAAGGACCAAATTAACCCGACTATAGCTACGCCTGCCGCTACCCAGCCACTTCCACCTACGCTTGTCCCACTTGCAGCACTCGCCTTACCTCCCGGACCTGTCACATTTAGCTTCCCATCAGTTACGGGGTTTGCCTCGGATATGAGTAGCTTCGGTCCTGGAATCGCATGTCCCGTGAAGGTATAGTCAAGTGTCGGATTCCCAGGCTTTCCATAGACTTGAACCTTGATCTTGACCTCCGCATGATTCGGCGTAATCCGGCCGCTCATCGACATGGATATAACACTACAATCCAGGATCAGGAAATCGGTACTATAGTCCCAACTCTTGTAGAAGTTGTTGCATTCCCCGATCCGATACCATAGGCCTTGATTGTCGGCATACTTGTGGGTGGTAAGAGTGCCAGCAATGTCAAAGCCGTCCCCGCTCTTGGTGCTGTTCAATGTCCAATGCTGGCCGTATTCATACCAAGACTGGCTTGACACCATGTATACGTCGCCGGCGGTCGTCAGGTTTGTGGTGCTATTATCCCAGGCACCCTTTGGGTTAAAGTAAGTCAGGAACATGTAGAAAGGGTTCTTGTCGTATTCCCCGCGCGTGCGGTTTGTGCCTTGAATGACTCCAGTACTGCCGATGCGGAGCTGGTACCCGTAAGTGGAATTTTGAGATGCTTCAGGGCATCCATTGCCGTCCCCGGGGTGTGTTTCGAGGTGAACCGTACCGTTATACTGCAACAAGTCTTCGTTAAGGAATGAGCTTGGGGAGATCAAACTACGTCAACACGTACCAAAGCGTCGAGGGGCGCAAGTACGTCGTCAGTATCTTTGATCCAGAAGTCGGAATCTAAAGAGCAGCGCGCATAGTTGGTAGCTGTAACATTTTGGAGGGAAGGGTCGCCTTTCGCCAACTTAGATGACTGTGCACATATGGCTCGAGGTGCTATGGAGGTGTCAGCCAAAGCTTGCTTTTCCTACTAGGTCCCTTGAGAGATTGGTGGTGGGGTATCGTACACTTTTCACACTGTCCCTGGTATGGGGTAAGTTCGTCTCTCGGTGCACCACGAGCCAAGAGAGCATAAGCAAACGTGGAGAGCACAGCTGTAGTCTTCATGGCAGTGAAATAGAGTTGTAAAAGTCAATGGTTTAATTAAAAAATCCGGAGTGCATTTTAAAGAGGAACCCTTTCCCTCTTTATCAACATTTTCAGCGCGCCCACGCTCTGGTAGCCCGGCAAGATTCCTGCCCGTGGCTTACATCCTAAATCTCCACCCTATGAACAAAAGGGTGCGCTTAGTCCACAGCTATCGACGAAGCAAAGGTTTTAAGCGAACGACGTTCCAAACTTCAAGACTTTCCAGGAATGGTCCAGATTACTGTGGATAAAGGCTTAGCAGCTGAGCGCCAATGGCATCTCAGCTCACACCGGTATCTCGCGAGCCAAGAGATCTAAGCCATGGGGCTGGCAAGCTAGAAGCCTTGCCAAGGTGCGGCTGGTGGTAAGCCCACGATGAGTGTTACGTGCAAAATTTTGGCTAAGCTATATAATACCGAGAATGCGACGACGGCATTGAATTGCGAGGTGCGTGTGGTTCGCCTTTTCAATTCGCTGGCATCTCAATATAGCAACTCGGCTTTATCTTGTTTATCGACCCTAACACAATTGCGTTGATTTAGAAACAGCATTAGGCAGCCAGCTCGTTCCCATAAAGGAGTAGATCTTGGCTGGTCGGCCCTGGTGACAAGTGCTGCTCTTGGCTAATAAGTCTTCCCTAACTATGAAACCTCGTTTCGGATGCCCCATGAAAGACTAGCGGCTTCTTGACATTTTTCTCTGACAAACAACGTCGCTCTGCATTAGCAGGCGGCAAGTCAATTGTCTAATACCGGCCGAGTCCAAGGAATTCTGATAGATTACACACTCCATAAAGAATATCCTAAGACAGGTGCCCTAAACATTCAAGGTGCAGCAGTATCATAGCCATTCGTCGAGGGGATCACTAACCGTTTTTCAATAACTCTCGCAAATTACTCAGTAATTCAGTTCTAATAAAATCGTACGCTTCATGTCTTGGTAAGATAGAATTGGCTGGTTTGTGGGACCACCTCCAGTTACAACCCTGTTCTTCCAAATATTTTTAGTTAGAAAGCCGGGATATAGCAATACGACTTAGAGTCAAAACGAAAAACATTAGTGCGGCGCTAGCGCTCGGCGAGCTCTAAAATGACATATTCTCAAACATATTCGTTATACAATATGTTATGACCCGACCGTGGTGATTACTTTGGCGGTTTCAGATTCCCTTCGCAGACGAATACTTTAGGTTCGATAGGCGGAAATGAAGAAAATCAAACTCATCCTCATAGGCCTTCACTTCTTGTACGGCTATCACCTTCTAGTTTAGTGTAAATCACATATCGTAGTTCGCTTGGTAGAGCTGCGTGAAATTCAGTCGCGAATGCTAAGCAGACCATTCTTCCATACTCGATAAGTTTCTGATTTGACATCCCTATCCGGTGAGCACATTAGCAATGGCTCCTTAATACTGGTTCACTTTTAGGGAACGACATTTTCTTTGTTCTCAAGTCTACGAGACTTCTTGACTAAGGAGTCCAATAAATAAAGCTTGGTGAAGTATCCTTAACTGGTCAACCTCATTTGACCTGTATAAAAGAGCCTACATCCCTTCGGGTAACCAAAAGTCCCATACTCATCGAGAATGCGCTGTTGATCGTCGCGAAATCTAGGATGTGCGAAGTTTCAAAGGAGTAGCCCAGAGGTCAGAAATTGTTGACTTACTTGCGGAAAGTTGAGGGTCTTCTCTTTGCTAACGATGCGCGAGCATTCTCCTAATGCTGCTAACTGCTTCATGCTTTCGTCTTCATGAATTAGGACTTGAATTCTAGGAGCTTAGGGAGAATGGTGATGACCAGAGGTGGACACTCGCGGACGTTTGCCGAAGCAAATTTTGCTACCTTTATCAGGCCAATCTGAAATTCGGAGTTGGAATGAGCAAAATCGAGGGAGACGGATATTAGGAAGCAAAGACATAAATTTTAGCGAGCGGTGGAGCGTGCTAACTTTCGTCTAATTTGAGGTATTAAGAGACTTTACTCGATCATCTGGTTAAAATCTCGAAATTCAGAACCCGAAGTGGAAAGAACTTGAGATGGAAAGAGGAAGAGAAGTTACAAAGTGAAACAAGATATGTCACGCCACCATCGCTCAAAAGTTTTACAAGGTTATAGTTAGAATTACTAGCTATTAAGGCTGTAAATTCAACGTCCCCCCCTTCAGCAAAGAACATAACACACCTACTGTCTTCACATTGGCTCCAAATCGATAGAAAAATCGCGAACCCTCTATTCGCAAGCACTCCGATAATTCTTCCCTCAACATTGATAATCAACCCAGAAGTCTTAGTTCTGTTACTTCCATTGCTAATGAGGTCGAACTTGCAGAGTCACAGTCGCACTTCATGAGTGTGTCGATATCAAGAGTCGTGGCTACGGCTACCGAAGAAACTGACGTAACGATAATCAGAATTCATTTAGAAAATTGCTAGTAGGTATTCGGGTGTCATGTGCGCCGAGGAAATGGGAAAGGCCCGGCATTTATACTTGAGTCTGAGGTTGGAAAGGTGACGGACGTGGAGCAAATATGACACCTTAATATCGGACAATGAGCAAAGACGCCCTTAGAGACAGCCTACCGCTAGTCTAAGTGACGACAAGGGTAGCATTGCTCCCAGCGTCCCCGACAGTTAGTAGCGGAGCGATTTTGAGGTTGTTCAGTAACTGTACGGAGCAGTCAGGTCATGGGACGTTGCAGTACAGGAGGTGAGATATCTGTACAAATTGTATACAGTAACAGCTTTTCAATTTAGTCTAACCTGTTACAGAAGGAGTGGAAGGGCTACCACTACTGTAAACGGTTAGTACAACAGCCTCACCTGCTGTACAGTATACGGAGTGTAGGCCCTGTATGTATGTGCGGCTCAAATCACCTTGTACAGAACATATTATCCAGGAGGGTTCCCAAAAAGAGAGAAAGTTTGAGGAAATTAGAGGACACGGTGTGACGGTGATAGGGGTCTGGAACATCCATTTTAATGCTAAGAGTAGTAAGAGTAGTAAGAGTAGGGTATTGCCCTTTAAAGAATACAATTAAACGTATCAAAGTGACTGGGTCGAGTGGAATGAAGATTCCCTCAATCCGTTTTCCTACTTTCTGTCTCGCTCGAGTGCCCAACAAGCTCCCTCAAGATCTGCTCCAAATGTTTAACCATAGTAAAATGCGTATCGCCTTCACACTCATGCAGAACGCTATGAGGCAAGCGTTTCGACATATACTGGATCATTACGAAGGGAGCACTTGTATCTTTCGTTCCATGCCATATATGAATGGGATTGTAGGATACGTCCTCAAACCTGAACCCCCAGCTCTGTGCTGATAAGAGCTGCGCTTCTTGCACAAATGCTTGAGAGCCTTGAGCAAACCCATCAAAGGCGATCCGCAGGATCCGCTCTCTCTGCTCCAGTATTGTCCGCTCTGGTTCTTTTTCCATTGATGTTTCCCTATTGTCTTGCGACGCAGTACCCTCCTTTGCTACTGATTTTTCCTCTCGGTTCTCTAACTCTAGCCATTTATCAATACGCCTTGTCACGGGGCCAGACGTCACGGCCCACCTCATAAGACCTACCAGCGCGTCCATCAAGTACCCGAAAGCCGTGGGTGTATGTATAGCCATTAACGACGTTACTCGCCTCGGTAGCGTCATATGCTTTGCGCCAGCCTCCCACGGCGGCGCTCCAGCCATTACACCCACGGCAGACATCATCTCCTTCGGCAACAGATGCGCACATGCCAACGCGTATGGACCCCCTCCCGACCCTCCCAGTATCGCGAACCGGTTCAGCTTCGCATGGCCTGCAAATGCTAGCACATCCGCCGGCCAGTCCGTTATACGTCGTCCGGGTTGGAAAGTCGAGAGCCCGAATCCAGGACGATCGAGCGCAATGACGCGAACACGGTGGCGCCGTGCGATTTTATCGGCGCCTGTAGCTTCTAGGCGGGACGCAGGAAAGCCGTGGAAGAAGAGGAGGGGAAAGCCTTCAGGGTGGCCGAATTCGGCGTATCCAATGATGCGGCCGTCGGGGAGGGTGAGGGTGTTGGATTCGCGTTGGGTGGTTAATGTACTCAGCCTGGCCCGTACCTTTGTAAGGCCATTTAATCGCATCAGCGCTTTAACGGAGAGCATAGAATCTGTAGAGACTGGCACCTTTCGGCATGGGTGGTGTTAAGAGGTCGAAGAGAAGACTTTATGGTTGCACAGCCGCAGGGGCACTCAATCGGGTTAGTCAGGGTCTAATCGCCACGTGATAGCAAGGTCTGTCTCAGGACCTATCTGTAGATTGAAACAGTAGGTGTCACGGCAAGTATGAATTGTCCAAGATATGAAAGCCCCTAATGTAGTAAGAGCATGCTTAGGGAGCAAGATAAATTCAAGCTTCAGACCCCACGTGACAACCTATCGTATTTCTAGTCCATCTGTGGAAACTAAACACGTCCAGATTACGCCTAGAGTTATTGACTACATTTGCTATTATGGCGTTTTAAACTCTTTAATAAGCATAAAACATATTTTCACTTAAATTCTCTCTTTGCAACCTCTTGTTCATTCACTAAAGCCAAATTCTCAAAACCCAAGCACTCACAATGGACCTGAGGGCGAAACAAGCATTACCACTCATTGCAATAACATATTTTGACCCATCACTCTTTGGATACGAATGCGGAGTATAAATAAACGACGCCATCGAGACAGCATTGATGATTGAATGTGAGGCTGCCTTCTTCTAGCGTCAAACCCAGAGTTGCAGACACCCAGTCTAGAATGACCGAGCTCACAGCGTAGACACCCGACGCGAAATGGAAGCAGGATACATAGAGAGCGGCGGCGTTGCGGGTAACGGTGCTGGTGATGAAGTTGACGAGGGGGATACCATCATGTTGGTGATGTGCCATGTGCGCTCGTTGAATTTGCCGGAGCTAATGCTGATGAAGATGCCGACGACCCCAACGACGAGCGAAGGGGCACCAGTGAGGACAAGGGTGGTGGCGGTATTGAAATCAAGAGACCCTATAGCAGTTAGGAAGAGCTCATTCAAAGTTAGATGTATGGAGACATTCTGACATGGCTAAGTAAAGTACCTGGTTGAAAGACTAGCCGAAAAATGCATGTTTACATGAGAGCCATGGGATACAGACGAGGATCGCGAATAGTCTCCATTAATCAAGCCTGCGCATCTTTGGAGGCTTCCAGGCCGACTGTGTCTCGTTGGATCCGATCATAGACGAGTTAACGTTCTGCTTCGGGTCAACTAGCGGGTATTGAGCGGCTTGTGGGGCAGCATCCAGAAGGCAACAATGGCCACCTCAAAGGACGCCACACCCTCGATGATGAAGAGCCATTGACATTCGTGCATACTATGCTTGTTTCCGAGTGTGCTGAAAGTCTCAGCTGCGATAAGGCCGGCGAAGGAGACTGCAGACTGCAAATATGTTGCCAGCATAAATGATTGAAACAGGAGTAACAATCTCCTTCCTAGTATAGAATATAGACAGAATGTACATCGCTCCCGGATAGAAAGGGGTTTCGACAATCCTGAGGAAGAATCTGACAACAACTAAGCTGGCATAGCGTTTGACAATTGCGGTGAACGACGCAACAGTCGCCCAGGCCATCATGCACAGAGACATTTATAGTGAAGGGTAAACCTTGTTTGAAGACACAAGAATGTTGGAAGGGGTATGGTCGCACAGATAGCCAATATAGAGGATAATAATGCATGTGTTATATTCCGAGCCTTTGAGAACGAGGTCATCCTCGTGACCGTTCAACGGTGCATTTACAATAGCATTCTGATCGAGCTTTTTCTTAAAGCAGGTAAGAAATTCACTGAATTATAGAAGGTGGAGAGCGTAAAAATTATATTGCGAACCGTGCTGGTAATACGGCGAAATTCAAGCTTTCAAACAAGAGCGATCTATTTGGGATCGCTTTTCACAACAGCGCCTGAGTAGTCTCCATGGGGAATTGAAGCTTTAACGTCTTAGGCGCCTGCTGTGATGTCAACCTGCAGAGAGGTATTCTATCCGAGCTCGTGATCTAGTATTGCTGTAAGGCATATCTACTATTCCCTATATTTTCACACTTACTACGTAGGTCGCTTCACAATTTATACAACTTTTTCAACGTCTTCCTAGACTCCTCAGCGACCCATAACTTCTAAACGAGATTTTCGATTTCACAAGTCCACACAGAGTGGGTTACATATCAGAAGACCAGAAAGCAGCACAGATCGACCTCAAGGGTTTCGTTCCTAAATGACCTGGGGAACACTTGCTAGCGCTTAGAATCCGATCATTTTAATTCGGTCTCGGGAAATCATTTGCCTCCCTCGTGCGCCATTCCAGTGAGATCATCCAGCCGGTAAAACCAATGACCATGAATGCTATGACACTCCCGGACAGTAAACTTCTTATAGTATTTTCGGGTCTTACCATTGCTAGTGGCTTCTGCGACAATTACCCTGACCTCGCCCCCCTCTCCAAAACCACTTGGTCTCTGCGGAAAGCAATTGGTCTTATGCACTTTAAATTCATTTGCCAGGATAAGGCTGGAGTACCTGACTTTCAAAGGGATCTATGCAAACCCCCGACCGTCCGAACTGCATACAAGTGTCGAACCAATCCTCTTTACACCAGAGGCCGTACATTGTGGCGATATTGTACCTATCTTGAGGATCAAGCCTTGGGTCATAGCACGGATTAGGATAGATTTTGCCGTTGTCAGCAGGAATAAGCATTGGGAGACAACCGGATACCTCGGTATTGGAAGCCGTGCACCGTATTTTAGTGCCGGACTGAATATCTGAGGACACACCACTTCGTTGATGGTATCATACGCTCCAAATTGAGCCAGAGAGTCACACATCTGGCCAGGATCCCCCTGCCAGACGCTAAAGGTGGCGTGTCAAGCTTGAAGTCGGGGAGGTGAACCTGGAATCCTTGGATATGCGTTGCGCTGATACCATTGTTGTCCAGTCTATCTATCCATAGACACCTCAGTCGCCCTTCCTGAACATTCCCATTTGAGCCCTTGAACTAAATGCTAGCGTCGGATTCGGATGTGAAGTAGTTCTTATTCGGGTAATGTTCTTGGCATACAATGGCGACCTCGCCGGGTAAGAAAGCGTAGGTATCAGATGATGACGGATGTGTGACTACGACAGCTGTGATGCAGATTGCGTTGGTGCCGCTGGCGGAGACGGTAATGTATTCGGCTTTCTCGGTATTGCCTCCTTTGGTGTATTCGGCCCATAAGTCCTTAGGCTGATTTTGGTCAATATGGTTCTTCCCCCCATCGTTCCTGGGAAATGCAACTCAGTCTCCATTGGCATTGAACAGCGAAATGGTAGGGGCACTGCTTCCGAAGCCCAAGTCCTTGTATATATGTTCTCTATCGTGGGATTGGTCGGCCTTTATGACAGGCAACCCTGCCATAACATTGACCTTTATTTTTGGCTCGTTTTTTCGGCTAATCCAATCCGGGACCATTGGTGCTAAGCTGATTAAAGTGAAGGCAAGCCCCAGGCTGAGTTCGGGAAAGAAGGCCATCTTTGACGCGACGGTATTTATTGTGAATTCAAATTTAGAGATAGAGGGTAAATGATATAGGAATTTGCAGTAGGAATAGTCCGTAAAGCTAAAGTGGGCTGTGAAGCTAAGAGCGTAGCGTTAGTTATTTCTATGTCTTGATTTGCAGGACGGGTCTTTGCAATGTCTTCAAATTCGAAGGTAATGCAATGTGTTCAGTCTCACCTTTGGACTCGTCGTTCTTTCCTAAGGATGAGGCCCATTTCTGTGTTTAGACCTTTCACTGAGACACTGGTTTTGAAACAAATGCAGCCACTCCCCCATGTCAGCAATACCAACATCCATGGTGTTTAATAGAACGTAACTGTTACTGTCAGTAGTGTTTTTGAGGCGTTACTGGCGGCAATAGGGTTTCGTTCTTACGGAAAGAGTGAATTAAAACAGCCTTACGGGCAGTAACAGTTACTGCCAAGTCAATTAATAGTAAAGTTACTGTTCAGTGCAGTTACTGCAGCAACTGGTGTTACTAAAGGCTCTAGAGGGCTCAATTTTGACACAATCTTGCTAATATGCTCTTCACACGATATCCAAGGCCCCCAGGTTTCAGCTGGAGGTCGCAAGTCTAGATATTGTCCTGAAACTCGTGAGAATAGAAAAACTAGAGGACGAGGCCTTAATTATAAGAGCTCCTAGAGGCAGCCCTTGACTTCTCAAGACGACGAGAGCTTGCGAGGTGTTGAACTGGCTGCGAGCTTCGAGTGCAAGGAGTTACTTCACTGTTCTGTACTAACAATGGATAGTATAGGCAGTTACTGCAGTAACTATAGCCTCATTAACCGTACAGTAACGGAAGGCAATTCACTTTCGTTCTAACTGCCAAGAGATTGTTACTATCAGTAACAGTAGGAGCAGTACTACGTTCTATTAAACACCATGCCAACATCGCACCAGCACGAATGCGGCTCACCTTTACTAAAGCGTGGGGGTCCCTCAGAGAGAGTTCGTGTAATTACTACATAGACACCCCATAACCGAATGAACACTCTCCAATCGCCCGCTCGCGTGCTGGGTGCCGCTTCCTAGCGTAAAACGAAGACCATTGTTTCATGTGCGCGTTAACCATTATGCCTGCTTTCCAGAAGTTTTGCATCAGAAGTGTTTCCTCACCACATCCATATTCAATCCTTATTAAGACTTTTGAAGCTCTTTTTAGCACAAGGAACTCGTGGCTGCTTTGTGTGAGGACACATGATTCTAATTGTCGAGGGATGTGACCGTAGGATGTGACACATCGAGGACAGGTCAAGAGGTTCAGCATTCTTCATGCTGAAAGAACCAAGATGGAGTTCTGAGCGGACACTCCCTTCGTTATGGATGAGGCAACTGTCCTTGACAGGATGAGACAAGTAAAAGACAGTGAGCTCAAACGAGGGCATTTGCAGCTCTTTGTACGTGGAGGACAAAACTGCGATGTCTGGATCTCTTCATATATAGCAGTGTGGTTCCAGCAACAGATGCCAACGTCGAGCATTACGAGAACTTGGATGCAAAGATTTGGTTATCCATTGCCATTCAGGTCCTTCCATCGTTCATAAACACTTTCTTCATCTCAATTGCTCTGTCTTTCTCAAACTCGACATACAAAGATCATTATCACGCGTTTCGCTATGCGTTCCTCCACCCCAAATATCATCTTGTTGGGGCTCTTGTCGACGTGCTTCATCGGGGGTAACGGCAATGTAATACCTACCACTCAGTGCGTTGGGGTCAACTGTGACGAACTCACGACTCTCAAATCGGGCACTCTGAAGGTCCCTAACGGCATCGGCGGACATCTTCATCGCCGCGCAGGAGGTGGAGCGCAACCACATGACTCTCCGAACGTTCCTGTTGTAGGCCCAGGCGGTCGCCCTAGCGATCCGAACACCCCTATTGAGCAGCCAGACTCAAGGAGGGTTTTGTAATCAGAAGAGAAATTGGCTTACTTTCTGGCGTCGCTGCGAGGAACCTACTCAAAATAATCCTCCTCCAAATACAAATCCAAACAATAATTACGGTCCCCAGGACTTGACCAACCATGGACTCTTGGCTACCTCAGGACCCGAAGGGCCAGCCAGTTTGAGAGACACCCCTCTTACTGTTCCAAAGTACAGAGACATGTTCCTAGAACGAATGCGGCAGCAAAACCTGGTTGGCACTGGCTCTTGGATATTCTGGAGTGGTCCAGCACCTGGTCGCCTGCTACGTTTGCAGCTGAAGTAGCAACCAAAGGCAAACAAACGACAGTTAACCACTTAAGACAGGTGAATACAGAGACTGCTGGAGAGAGAAAAGGTGATTGGAGCCGGGCTGGCGGCAAGGAGACGTCCTTTTGGGCGATATCCTCGAAAGCTTATGCACAAATTGTCAAAGGAGATGTATGGGTGGTTCTTCCAAAGGGAGCTTCTGTCAATAAGCCCTATCTCGACGTGGACCCGAACAAAGGATCCAACTGGTGGTCATATGAAGTACCCGAATTAACTCGTAGCAGTCAAGTCGACAGAGTTATACGCATCGATACGAATTTCAAAGATGAATATATTGTCGTAGGAGAGATCTGGAAGAAGATGATCAGTCCTGGGGCACTCCTGGAAATGAATGGCAAGTGCCCTCGATGCCGGCGACGCTCGGACTTCAATCCTCTAGTTACGTATGCTGGGAACATTCTGGGATACAAAAAAAACAAAACCTAGGTACGATCTATGTAGGTCCATTTTCGATGCTGGTCATCTTTGATAAGCCTCATGTAACCGCATCAGATCTCCTTTGTTTCCTCCGTTTTGTGTAGAAGATATGTTTCAATTTTAGATAACGTTATGCTGCTTAAAATATAAAAACTCATGCTAGGGATATTATGTACTGTACACTTGGTAGCTAGTTTCTAGCAATTCTTGCTTGCGTTAAGTTCCTTGGATTTGGAAAGATTGCATGGGTGGCCTTGGGATCCTTCTGGTCTGATTATCTCGCGAATACAAATATGGGGTCGAGGATAGGCGAACTAGGTGGTGAGTGCCAAACTAGGTGTAAGGGCTACGTAGATGGAGAGAATTCGGAGGTGATAAAAAAAGTGGACAGAGAAGTCCTAGTCCCATTGAGGAAGGAAATAGTCCGAATAAGGATATAAACCTAATAAGGAAGGAGGTAGTCCTAATAGGGATATAGTGCCAATATGGAAGGATGTAGCCTTAACAAGGATATAGTCCTAACAAGGAAGGAGGTAGTCCTAATAAGCGACTAGTGGTACACATGAGCTCAGCATCACGTGCGACAGATTACACCATATGAAACCACAACTTCGCCTTCCCTCATGTCTCTCGTGTAGCAAGTGTGTCCCGAAGGTATATTTGTTTAGAGCATGGAATCGGCTTAGGCATCTCTCACTCAAAGCCCCAGAGTGAAGGAAGAAGGCACATGGATGTCAACATTCCAAGGTTCCTAGCCGCCAGAGGTTTCCTAGGTACAGTACCTCCGCAAAAGTTTTTGCACACTTTTCCGCAACACTAAAATAGCTTTGCATTTGTTACAAACTAGTACATTCAGGGTTTTAATAGGCTAATTACATACCTTTTCTCCTAAGACTTCGTCTGCAACTCTGGCGCATTATATTGGGGTGAATTGGCTTTGTGTAAGGGACGAGGCTCCGCACCGCTCTGTCGTTACAACAAAGGAGGTACGAATATTCAACTAACGGTTGATTGGTGTGCGGAATAGCATATCTGCCTTATTCTTTTGAATGATGTTGGAAGTCGGAGGTGTGGAGCTTAGCATTTTAACGGTGACTAACAAGCGAGCATAAGCTTTTGCGTTGATGCTGTAGTAAGATCCATGTGTCTATAAGAACGACCCGTGTACTGCTCCTCGCGTTGATTTTAAAATTTCATATTTCATTTTCTCAACCCAAACTACAGCCCCCATTGTCGACAGCTCCCTTCAACCAATCATTCATGATATATTTACACACGTGAGCGTTCCAAGCACACCTCCAGCCAGCTCCTTGATTCAAGCCCAAACCTAGGTGAGAGACAGAAGAAAACCGTGGAAGTGAAGGAAGTAATAAGACAAAACCCAACCACCCAAAGGAGTGAGGGGAAGAAGCGAAATATGGATGTAGGGGAAGGGAGAGGGAGAGGGAAGGAGAGGGGGAGAGGAACCACAACGCCATACCAACGCCGTCGCTAAATGATAAACCACCAGTTAAAAGGCAAGAATATACTCCGTCGTTTTTTTCGTAGCTGGATATAGGTCTGGGTATGCGGGACGTTTGTATGCCTCCGTGCCCCACATTTAGTTTTCGAGAGGCGTGTACAATAGGGGGGTTGAGGGAGGACTATTCGTCATCCTCACCCCTACCACTCCCATAGTGCGTTTTGAACCCGTGCGGGTGATGTCCAGCAATAGCCTCACGATCCCTTCTCATACCCTCCAGCACCGCAACCAAGCCCCCCTCACGCATCCTCTCCAGCACGATCTTCATCCCTTCTTTTGCATTCGGCTGACTTCTCCTCGCCCGCTTCAATCCAATCAACTCAATACTCCGCTGCAGCGAACTCGTGCTCCAACTCTTAAAAAACCCCATTTTCTGCGGCTGATCCTCGTCACTCGTATCCCCTGCTGCATCCTCAACAGCCCTCCGTTTCTTCCACTTCTCACCGAGATGCGAGTGCAAGGTCACTGTGCTCTTGACTTCCGTTGTCTCGCCCGTATCCTCGATCTTAGCATCTACACCCCCGTCTCCGCTGAATTTGATAAACCCGTGTCGACGCGCAGCGCCTTCCATACCCTGCCACATCCTCAGCTCCTCCTCGGCCTGGCTCCTCGGCCGCCGGAATTCCTGGCGCTCGATAACTGACAACACGCCCGTGAACTCTAGATTCTGGGATTCTGTGTCCATCCAGCCTTCGCGGACGTCGACGACGGATTTCTCGAGGATGTAGGACTGTGTGTCGCCGCCAGCCGAGGCACCGAGGAAGGAGCGCGGTAGCAGTTTAAGGACGGCAGAAGGGAGCTTAGAGCGCTTGAGGTGTAGGCGGATGGTTGTTAGGCGCTGAGTTGCTGGGTCATAGTGGCGGGCGATGGTGTCGGTGGAGAGCACATGCGTGGAGTAGGGGTTTGGGTAGCGGAGGAAGTAGGCGAGTGTAACGGCGGGGAAGGGGTAGGAGTAGGTATCCGTTGATGAGTAGAATTTGACCATTTTGTGGACTTTGAGGCGAGGATTTGGTGGAAGGTAGAGGATGAGGATGGTGGAGAAGGACTCGTTGTTGAGCAGACGGAAGCTCCAGAAACGAGGTGTCTATCGTAAGGGCCGATCTCGCATTTTCAAATTGATCCAATTGTACAAGGACAATTGGGATGAGGTAGATAAGCGATGATGGTCGGAGAGGGCGGGGAAGTATGGAAGCAGGAGGAGCTCTGACGACAATCACGAGGTTTTGCCTCTCGGCCTCGGAATGCGGAGCGAGGCCTCCGAGGGTGGCGGTGCGCGTGGCGGACAATATGGCGGGGCAGCTTGGCAGGGCAGCTTGGCGGGGGGTATCAGTCATCGGAAAAGACAGAGTCATCCACGAAATCTAATTTATATTTGTGAGCATCTTCACCCGCCCCCAATTGCCCTCCCTCCTTCCGCAACTATGGCTGGACCAGAACCCCCCTCCGTCGCACCCCTCAGCCTCGCCGAATCAGCCACTGACACCGCCTCTAAAGCCCACGAGCAAGAGATCAACCCATGGGACGTTCAAGCCGCCACCGACGAGCAAGGCAACACCCTCGCCTTCGACTACGCCGCCATATCCGCAAAATGGAACACTAGTCTAATAAATTCCACCCTACTAGAACGCTTCGAGCGCGTCACAGGCCGCAAGCCGCATCGCTGGCTACGGCGCGGACTCTTTTTTTCCCACCGCGACCTCGACCGCATCCTAGACATCTACGAGCGCGGCGAGACATTCCTGCTGTACACCGGGCGCGGTCCCAGTAGCGGTTCCATGCACATCGGCCATGCCATCCCCTTCGAGTTCACCAAATACATGCAAGATGTGTTCGACGTCCCGCTGGTCATCATGCTCACCGATGACGAGAAATTCCTGTTCAAGGAAAAACTGACGCAGCCTGAGGTGTACCAATTCGCACGCGACAATGCCAAAGATATCATATCCATTGGTTTCGATGTTAAAAAGACGTTCATCTACATCGACTCCGAGTTCTTCACTTCAGGATATAACCGCCATTTCAGTCTTAACGCAACCGAATTTGAGAAGCTGATTACGAACAACCAAGTGCGTGGCGCATTTGGCTTCGACGGATCTACCAACGTCGGCAGTAATGCTTTCGCAGCAAAACAATGCGTCGCTGCCTTCGCATCATCGTACCCTTTCATCTTCGGCGAACAGTGCACCTCTTACCACCGCTCAAAAAAACTGGCTGCAATGGCTTGTCTGATCCCCTGTGCAATAGACCAAGACCCGTACTTTCGCCTCGTGCGGGAAAACTGCTCGCGCATGGATCAGCCCTCCCCCAAACCCGCACTCATTCATTCTAAATTCCTAACCTCGTTGCAAGGTGCAGGCGGCAAGATGAGCGCGTCAAACCCCAACTCCGCAATCTACCTGTCCGACACAGAAAAACAGATCAAGAATAAAATCAACAAGCACGCTTTCTCCGGCGGTCAGGAAACACTCGAACTCCACCGCGAGCTAGGCGGGAACCCGGACATTGATGTCGCATTTCAGTATTTGTCGTATTTTGAAGATGACGATGATAAGCTTGCGACGTTTGCGGAGCAGTATAGGAAGGGCGTTATGCTAACAGGAGATATGAAGAAGGAGTGTGTAGGCATGATGACGGCATATGTGCAGGGGTTCCAGGCGGCAAGGGTGAAGGTCACGGAGGAAATTCTGGAGGAGTTTATGAGGCCCAGGAAGCTGGAGTGGAGGGGAAATCCGAATCCGACGAAGAAGGTAGGAGCGGGAAGTGGGGCAGGAACTGTTGGGGAGGAGGCAAAGGGGGTGGACGGAGAGAAGGGCCCGAGTAAGAATGCAGCGAAGAAGGCGGCGAAGTTAGCTGAGATTGAGAGGAAGAAAAGGGAGAAGGAGGCGGCGAAGAAGTGACCGGTTGAAATTAAGACTAGAGATCGAGGTACTGATACAGGTAGATATGGTAGATATGATACCACGAGAACAGACGTTCTATTTGGGCTGCACATGTGCATTATCTTAACTGATAGAGAACACCATATGACTTTCATATCACCAAATTCGTCCATTCCAACATCCAACCAAATTCCAAAAATCATCGGATCCCCACCACATGACTTCCACTTAACCCAAAACCAACGCACCGCTCCTCCTCCTCAGCACCCGACTACGATTCCCAAACTAGCCCAAAAGCTCTAACGCTCCTACTCTCAAACCTATTCCACCACCCTATCCGCCACCCTCTGATTACTTAACACAAACATTCGCCGAGGCCCGCATCTCCGTCGCCAAATTTCCACACCCCTCACAGCCCTCTTCCCCCGCGTCCTCCTAACGGCCCGCTCCGCAATCTGCCCTGTCTCAATTCCAGCCCCAATTCCAACCCCAAACCCAATGCATCCGCCTAAATCTAATCTACTCGCTACCCCTTCTCCCCCTTCGGCGCAGCACTCATCCGGGAAGTAGAAAGCATGGATCCCAACGCTGATATCATCGACACTGATCAAGATGGTTGTCCAGATGTAGTATTGGGGATTGGACGCCAAAGCGGGGGTGAGATTTTACCTAGAAGGTGATGGCTGTGCTTGGGTATGGGTTTGTTTTGTCTAGCTCTTGGTACACTCCCCTGGACTTGGATTTGGCATTGGTAATGAGGGTGGGAGTTGGTTTTGCGATTTACAAAGCTTAAATGTCCAGTCCCTCACCGACGAAACGATCATTTCACCAGCTTGTTTCCCACAAAGGACGGTCAATCCATGCCCTTACTTCCTTCATCCTAGCCTTTCATCGTACCTACCCGCAAGCCCCGGACCAACGACAAATCTATATGTCCACACCCAGCATACAATATGATGCTGAAACATCAAAGCCGATTCCAGAAGAAGTGGGAAAACATGTTCGAGATGCCCCTTCCGCCCGTGTAACCGTGCCCCGAGAGGATTGGTTTCTTTCACGCAGCTTATGTGCAAATTATCGGTAATCGCGCTGATATATAGTTCCTGTTTACCTTCAGTAGGTAGGGCTCTGCAGATGGTTAGCCACGACAGTTTGCTATAGTCAAAAGCTCGTGTTTCAATACATTTTGCCGGTGAGTTTTGGCCTTGTTCTGCCGCAGATCAATGATCAGCATGCACCTAGCTTGGAAACCATAAATTCACCTCTTGAAGCCTGAGCAGCTCCTGGGAGTCGTGGCAGCGGAAACCTATGCTAATATAGATGCGGTATCTGAATTAGAGGTTTTAAGTTTAGTTTTCCCATTAGGATATATTTTCCAGGACCAGGCGGCAATACTTTTAATGTCAGTGCGCCGGCACGGTACAAGCGCCGGGCTTCAGCAGAGCTACCTGCGTACCTAAAATAACCTTACTGCTTTCAGGCACATGCATGTACTTAGCGAGTTGGAGCCTCGATCGGCCCCACTAAAGCCGGGAAAAGGATACGTCCTAAGGAATATATATATGCGAAAGACTTTAGGAGATGGTAAAAAGTTAAACTCGTCAATACTGACCACTGAATAGGATCATGAAAGTAAAGTAAATGAAGAACTGGGCCGAGGGTTCTGAGGACAGCGCTCCAGAAGGGGTTTAAGTCTCACTTTCGATCCTCTGAGGGCTGTTCATAGCGCTAACAATTAGATCTGCCAGCCGGAGCGTCAGTGGCTTGGCCCTTGATACGTCTGTTGTGGAGAAAGAGTGACAAATGGTCAGAGTGTATGGAGCTCGATCGACGCTAGGCAGGGAAATGTGATGTCTAGGGGAATCTTGATGGTCCTCTAGTTAGTGAAGGCCGTCTCAGTCCAAAAGGCTAGGGGTCCGCTGATAGGTGTTTCCTGAAAGGCCAGAAGAAGTACGAGATGGCAGGAATTGGATATATGGAGTCCTGCCTAACATCGTGTAGATAATAAATAGTACACACTCTTAAAGAGTAGTTGAGATATTGAAACCGAGAGTTGAGTTGTAAGAATAGGACGGTATAGTAAGATTGAAGAACTGCGGTGAGACGGACGAGGGAGATAGGATAGAACCTGAAACCCTTATAGCAAGAGGTTACAGCGTTGCTCAAGTTGAGCGAGGTGGGGAGGAAGAGATAAGAAGTCTAGAGAAGTGATATGGAGTGGACTAGATACTATAGACGGAGAGATAGGGTTTCTAGCACGAGAGCGATTCACCTCTCACCTCAGTAGAGTGCAGACAGGAACGAAAAGTGACAAAAAGGAGATATTTTAAGTTTGAGGAGGTAGCGATAGCAGCTGGTGTCGAGGTTGCAAGAAGGACAAATCAATGTCCAACGCAATGTAGAATATCAGAAAACGAGCGCCATTGAGAGGGCAATCCGAGCGTTAAAAAGATGAATGAAATACCAGTCCGTCTTTAGTAGATCAAGACTTATCAAGATCTCATCCACTTCGATCGCAAGAGCATGCTTCCCGAGAACTGGAGTCGACCCCCACCAATGGTTCGGTCCTTGTCTCGACATGAATGTCTAAGTTTGTTGCCATGAGTGTTCTCAGGATATTTTAAGCCTTACACTCCCCTTGGACTTCTGCTATCATTCTTCGTACGATTGGTGTTTCTGCGATTTCATGGCCTCTTCAGGGCTCCACTGATCTCAGACATCCATTTAAATGATAAAAGAGAAGACTTGTTTGGAAGGGCCCCTAATTTCTTATTAAGCCATAGATTTTGAAGGGAGCAGCGGACGAAACTTCAAGGAGTGCCCATTGAGAGAATTCGGAACCAGAGGATTAATGACGATATTCCGACTCATATACATCATGTTCAAGGTCAAGTACGGCAAGAAGGAGAGTGATTGGAGTGGACATCGAACGAGACGACGGCTGAGGGGAGAGGGCGTGAATGCCAAGGTTGAAACTAGCCACTGGTCCAAACGTCAGCCCCGCCAAACCTACGGGCGGCATTTCCCGTCTCTACCACAACACGACCATCTTCAACTAAACAGTACAGAACGCGTTCGAACCTGTCTGTCAATACCAAGACCATTATTCGGCGACCCCGAAATGGCGAGTTTTAATAGAGAACGCGTCGAACACGCATTGAACGAGCTCCTAGTGCGCATCTTACCAGATGACCCAAACGAAGACGAAGCAGCCGCAAACGAGCGCTTCGAGGAAGCTTTTGACTTTGCCATCGACAAATTGGTCGCTGCGGGAGACCCTTCTGTTGTGCCTGATATCAATCATGTTGCTAGCTTGATTGACAGGAGGGGTATACTGCATTGGTCCTATACGAAGCTCACCGCTGACCGGTCGTAGTTTCAAGAGATATTGATGGGACACAAAAGAGCGCTCGATTTCACAACCTCCTTTCCCGCCTCATATCCCAGCCAGTATTAAATCAGAAATGGAGGATGCTTTATTTCCTAAATCAACTCTCAGATCTACACACAGAGGCCCGAGCGCCAGCGCGCCTTCCGATAACGCCTACGAAACAGAGCCAGCCAAATGCTCAGGCCCTTGGTAGCCCCGCCTTCAGAGACGCCTTCTCTAGACCCGGCTTACCACAGATACCTGTCAATGACGGTTCCCCGAAAGCATCACCTCACCCTATGCCTCATGCAGAGAAGCCAGAAAAACGGAGAGAAAGAGGTCCTCAAAATGTAGTCAAGGAGCAAATGGCAGACGCAATACCTTCAGAACAAGCAAACCCTGTCTTTAGCCCTTCGGAACCTGGTTTACTTCGCGACCTTCCCTTCACCCTACAGGGCATCTCGTCGACAAACCTCACGTTTCCATCGTCCACTGCCCTTAAGCTTCCGCCCACCCTCCCGGTGCCTCTTATCAGTCTCCTACATACTCTCGCCGAGCCATCGCTTCTCTATCGCGGACTCTCCGAATTCGTTGAATCCACCGAAGGCGGGCTTGTCGGACAAAGTTTTCGGTCAGCACTGGGTATGGAGTTGAGGTCATACCTTGGCTTAGTTGCTACTCTGGAGGGACAGATCAAACGGGCGCTACAAAACATCGACGAATCACAACCTCACCGCGGCATAGGAAAAGCCGGTGTTACTCTCAAGCGCTGCGTCATCTGGACAAGAGAGGCAACTATGGGTCTTCGGCTGATGAGCTTGATGGTCGAAGAGTCAAAAAGCAAGAAGGGAGGCGAACTGATATCCCTAATCCACTCATTTTCGTTGTCGCATGGCGATCCTTATGTGGGAACCTTTGCCGAACGCCTCTTGTCGCACGTCACTTGTCCGTTCTACGACATGCTCCGGCAGTGGATATACGATGGCGAGCTCGCGGATCCCTTTGGCGAATTCTTCGTGTCCGAGCAAAGCGAGGATGAAATCAGCGAGGCAAACGGGAAGGAGGGCAAGGGAGGCGCCACCAGCGTGTGGGAAGACAAGTACAAGCTCAACGAACGCATGATCCCCACAATAATCACCGAGGAATTTGCAAACAAAGTCTTCCTCATCGGCAAGAGTCTGAATTTCATCCGCTATGGATGCGGTGACGCTGCGTGGGTGGATACCTACTCTAAAGAGGCATCCAAAGAACTTCGCTACGGCGACACAGCCAACTTAGAGCAATCCATCGGTGATGCATACAAAACTACTATGGCGCGCCTCATTGACCTCATGGCGAACAAATTCAAGCTCTTCGAACATCTCCAAGCACTCAAAAAGTACCTCCTCCTCGGCGCCGGCGACTTCATCGCCGTACTCATGGAATCGCTATCCTCCAATCTCGATCGTCCGGCAAACACGCAATACCGCCACACCCTCACCGCGCAACTCGAACACGCCGTCCGCAACTCCAACGCGCAATTTGACTCCCCTGACGTCCTCCGTCGTCTCGATTCCCGCATGCTCGAACTCTCGCACGGCGAAATTGGCTGGGATGTCTTCACTCTCGAATACAAGATTGACGCGCCCGTCGACGTCATCGTAACTCCCTTCGGCTCAAAACAGTACCTCAAAGTATTCAACTTCCTCTGGCGAGTAAAGCGCGTGGAATTCGCCCTCGGATCCACCTGGCGTCGCTGCATGACAGGTGCTCGGGGGGTCCTCGGCACCGTGACTGATAAAGTCGGGTCCGACTGGAAAAAAGCACGATGTGCTGTTGCCGAAATGATTCATTTTGTAAACCAACTACAATATTACATTCTCTTCGAAGTCATCGAGTCATCGTGGAACGAACTACAAGATGCGCTAAGGAAACCAGAAAGCACGCTCGACGACCTGATTCAAGCGCATGCGAAGTATCTAACTAGTATTACGAGGAAGGGGTTGTTGGGGAGCCAGAGTACGGATTTTACGGGCCAGTTGCATGAGTTGTTGAAGACGATGTTGAGTTATAAGGATGCGGTTGATGGGTTGTATTCATTCTCTGTTACAGAGTTTACCAGGAGACAGGAACATGCGGCGAAGATTGAAACACGGACGGCGGCGGGGAGATGGGGAATTTCCGAAAAAGATAACGGCCCACCAAGTGGATCTGATTCCCCGGATCCTTTCGCACCGAACAGCAACGGCCGTCAGAAATCGCGCTCAGACTCTGACTCCCCGTTCCCACCTCCACTCCTTCATCTCGGTGTCGCGGGGTCAGGCGAAGATGATATTCTCCCTGCGCTTAGAAAACGGCTGGCGAATTTGCTAGTGGATTTTAGAGCGAGGGTCAACGTCTTGTTGGGGGATTTAGCGCACCAGCCAGATGTCGATATGCGCTGGTTGGCAATGGTTATGAATTTCAATGATGTATACCAGCCGGTGAGGAGGAGGAGGAAGGGTGAGAGGGAGAAAAAGAGGGAGAAGGAGACGCCGCAGCCGCAGACAGGGGGGAAGCGCTGATGAATTATATGATACTTGATGTGATAATCAGATGAATTGGAATTGGGATTTGGGGCTGGGAGGGCGATCTAGTAGGTTGGAGGATGGGCGAAATGTTCGTCTTGAGCCATACCCGAATTCATCTTTTCAGTATTCCTCTTCGATACGCGCGAGCAGTCCTCGCGCTCTCCCATTACCTCACCTTCCCTACTTCCCCTTGCTCCTCTTCCCTTCCCTTCCACCCTCAAACCACCTCCCCTTCATGCAACCGCCCCTCCAACAACTCCAACCACGCCCAAAACTCCCGCCAACACCCCAGCACCCACCATCCCATTCCTAGCCTTTCCCGCCGCACTCGTACTCATATAATCCACCGTCTCTTGATCACCTCTACGTACACGCCCATGTCCATGCCCGTGCTCATAATACTCCTGATCGTGGTGGTGGTGGTCATGATGATGCCCATGATGCCCAGCAAGTGATCCAAAAGCTGTTTCAAAGCCTGCGTGGATGGTCACGAGGAAGGGTGCTAGGAGGGTGATGACAGGGAGAGGGCGCATTTTGGGAGAAGAGAAGGGTTGATACAAGTGGTGGATGGAGTTGTGTAGACTAGTGTAGTGGATTGGTGGATGCGGAACTATTGCAGTAACTTAATGGAAATGGATGATGAGGTTCGAGTTGGATAATGAATGTACTTTCGTGATCGCAACGATGCGGAGCAACGATAGTGGATGTTTCTGAGATGCACGTTGTCTGTCTGGAAACGATGGATGTGTAGATTTGCCCTGGTAAAAATGTATATGTTGTTTAAAGGATGACTCCAAGGTGTGTATAAATCAGCTAATGGGGTAGCAAGCGGAGACTTATAGGTAGATTGGGGATACGGATACCAGACGGACACGTGGGCAGTATTTCCTTCCTCTGCATGCGTGCTCAAGGCAGGAGAAGAAAAGACCGGTAGCGGGTCCCAACCAGACTACCTACCTCAGATCTATGGATAGATGTCTACAAGGGCGGCTGTGCTGTGCAACTTCTCTTAATCGCTATTTGTTAAACGCATCACTCTTGAATCTTCCGGCTTTATCTTTGCAAGCTGCGCGTGTCTGCTAGGTGTGAGGTTGTGTTATCTAGACCCACAGAACCCATGAGGAACCTTATCACAATACGCTCCTCCCAACTTCACATTTGCGCATGTTTGAGCTATCATCAGAGTCGTGGTGGGGCGTCTCCCACCCAAGGATTGGCGTTACTTCAACATACATGTCCGAGACATGCTTTATCCTATAAAGCATATGCCCCTCACGCGCTCACACAGTTACAGCACCCAAGCCGCAAAATGTAATCGCAGAGAAGCCGAACGTTCTTTCGCTGTAGACTATGACCAGCTATCGAAATCTGAGCACCATTTTCCTCCATTCCATCATCCCATCCGTTCAGGGGAGATAGATAAAGAAGGAAGGGAAAGGAAGGAAAGAAAGATACCACGCATTCAGGAAGCCTGACATAGTCCACTGCCACTAGAACGCACCCTCAATGAAGCTACCGTAACCATTCATTGTGAATCTTTATATCCGCCCGGCATATGCTGCCATTTTGTTGCATGGCTTTTGATATTCGCCACATCCATCTCTGTCCACCACAATTTCTCACCTGATAAAATTGTGGTTTCAATGTAGTAAGTTTTGTAGTCGTGAGTTTTTCAAGCCAGCCAGCTGTATAACTACCAGCCGCCGCCGTCGGCACCTCCAGACTGCCAGTCGCCAGAAGCCTCGACAACAGGGCCGCCGCCACCAGAACCCCAATCACCAGTCGCAGCAACTGGCTCGACGGGCCCGCCGAAGCCAAGACCACCATCTCCTCCACTGTCGGCGATGGGTGCTTTGCAGCGCTTGATAGTGTGGCCCATCTCGCTGCAGTTGCTGCACTTGACCTTACTCCAGTCCTTGGGCTCCGGGCATTCCTTGGAGAAGTGACCGATCTTCTCACAGTTGCGGCAAGTGACATTGTCCGGATTCTTTGGCTGGTCGCACTCCCTCACCATGTGGTCTTCAGAACCGCAGTTACGGCAGGTACGTGCCTCCGCGTTAGGGCACTAAGCGCTAGTTAGTACGTCTTGTGGTGATGCACCTACTTGGATAACTTACAGCTTTGGAGAAATGACCCATCTGATTGCACTTTCGGCACTCGACATTCTCGGCAGAGCGTGGCTCTGTACATTCCTTAGCATTGTGGCCAGACTGCTTGCAGTTCTTGCACGCATGCGGATCAACACGCTCCCCCGGGCAGTCACGTGCACGATGGCCCTCCTCGTTGCAGTAGACACATTGGATGACCGGCTTGGCCGACTCACGAGCAACCTGCTCCTCCTTGCAATGCTTCCGAACGTGACCGAGCTCTATGATAGGATTAGCATGAGACGCCGTGAAGAATGACCAGTGAGCTCACCTCCGCAATTAGAGCACACCGGAACACCTCGGTCTTGGATGAAACCAGCACTAGCCAGACGCTGAAAGTTCTGCTCCTTGGACTCGGGCCAGCCTTGAGAAAGCTTTGCGCGGCGTGGTTTGTCGGAGAGTTGAATGGATAAAACAAATTCTTGGTCCGGATTGCCAATCAGGTCGACAATGGTCATGTTCGGGGCAAGCTCTTGCGGCTTAGCAATCAGGTAGACAGGCAGGTTGTCCGAGCGCAGGGCTAGCTCTACGTCGGCAAGGCTGAACTCGTCGGTGAGAGCGCGAGCGTATGCCTTTAGACAGGTGCGGAACACATCAAGATCCTTCACCTTGGCAGCATCGACGAGTTTAATCCAAGCCTCACCGGCGTCAAGCTCTGGAACACCAGTCCAGTCAACCAAACGACGAGACTTGCACTCACTAGCCTTGTGGCCCGTCTGCTTGCAGAGCTTACACTCCATCGGCGGCTTCGATGGACAGTCACGAGCTTGGTGTCCTTCTTGCTGGCAGACATTGCAGGTACCGGTGAATGGACGGTCGACCTTCGGGTTGGTGCAGTGGGCTTTGTTGTGACCAATCTCACCACAGTTAAAGCACTCACCAGTCAAGCCTCCTGCTGGTTTGTCAGGGCAGTCGCGGGCGAAATGACCCTCTTGGTGACAACTAGAGAATGTCAGCTCTCTGGAACAGTTCGAAGGTTTAGAAATGGAAGTGAAACTTACTGACGACAAGAGTTGTCACCAGAATTGCCTCCATCGCCTCCACCTCCGCTACTACCCCAGACGTCGCCACCGCTATGATCGGCGCCAGCATCTGGTTTCCAGGAATCGTCACCTCCTAGTGGGTGTTAGAGACGGTGCCAACGATCAATGTAGGCGAGAACGAGCAAGAGTAGAAAGAACGCAATTGAAGTAGCAACGGAATTACATACCTGCGTTCCAAGACATGCTTACGATTGAGGGACACGAATGGGTTGTTGAGAAAGTTTGGGGGAAGGCGAGGTACTCGCGACGTCTCTGTAATGGATTTGATGACTACGAAAGGCGACTTTCCTCAAGCGACCCGTGTAGTGAAAGTTCGACTTGATCTGAGAGAGGTCTAGGTTAGCGGGGTATTCGTTGGTTTGGGAGCCTGGGAGAGGAAGCTAGAGTGAGTGCTTGTTGTCGTTGGGGGATATGGGAGCGACAATACACCCACACCCACGAGACGAAGCAGGCGTTGTCAAGGCCCTTACAGTTGCGTGGGGTAACGTACCTGAACGAGGAAGCGAAGCCTTGACACAATGAAGTTGAAGTTGCAGCCTTGAGAACTGTTAGCTGCGAACTAGCTCTTCGGCTATCGTTGATTGTTTGGGTGAAGGTCGTCGAGTGTCATAGGAGAAAAAAGGTTTAACTGAAGCGGTAGGCGTGCGCCCAAATGGCTACGAAGAAAAACTACTTCCAGCGCCGATGACGGTGAAAGCAGGATGAGCTCTCTTTCTTCGCAGAGAGGCAAACGCGTGAGCCAAGGCAAGCGTTTGCTCGTGCAAGAGTAGCAAGTGGAGTAGCCAGAACGAAGTGATGACTGGACTCACCGAAGCTCAGTTCTTACGGACGGTGAGACTACAGCTACGTGACAGTCGAGATTTCTGAGATCTCTCAGTGTCGCTCTACGGAGAAGCTACAAATGGCGATGTGTTATAGAGAAGGAGGAAGGGCTCACCTTCAACTTAACCCAGATTGTGTATCCCCGGTATGGAAGCACCGCCAAACAAATGGAACGCTGAGAAGTTTCATTTGACAAGATGCATGTGGGAAGAAGGGTAGAAACGAGTTAGACTGTTGTAATGGCACAAGACGCTTTTAAAAAGGTCTTGATCTGGACAAGAATGCAAGAGCAGAAGACTTTTAGAAACGACTTGCATACCCCATACAAATTCTTTCAACAATCAATTCATCTGGAATATTGGTATCAAGACTCATGGCCCCATTTGTCCCAATCAATTCACTCATGCACACCAAGTAGCAAGTAGAGATAACTACCTAAAACACCTCGTTTTCCAAACACGCACACCTATCCAACTACAAGACAACTCATACTCGTCATCGTTTCAATCCAGTAATCAGACACCACGGAACTGCAACATATTAGCTCATATATTCCAGGCTTGGGGGACCGGAGCAGACTCACCATCCTAACAACCAAGAACCACATAGCTCCAATAAACCTGAAAGCACTCAACCCCGCTACACTCCACAGTACGACCTCCAGATAAACTGTAGCAGTCTGGTTCTTCTTCTCTGCCGCCTTATCCGGATCAGACACCGTGACTTCCAGGCCACCAGATTGCAAAACCAATGCGCAAAGCCCCAGGTTGCAGAACATCCAGAAAAGCACGACACCGGATCGGAACCCCTTGTAGTAGTCTTCCTGTTTATCTGCCGCCGACGGTGTCTTCTTTGGCTCGACCCATTTGGTGCTAAAGACACGAAGCTCGGCCTCATATTGTGTGTTGAGATCGGCGTCGTCCGTTGGAGCGTGGATATCGGCTTTTCCGTCGGCCTTTGTGGTGACAGAAGGCAGCTTCTCGGCCTTGTCATCGCCCTTGGTACCCCAAGTAATATCGTGCGTGTTGCAGAAAGCGTAAACATTGAGGATGTTGATATAGGTGGGCGTCATTAGGAGGTACTGAATGAACGACGTGAACATATGCCACGGATCCAGGAAAATAATGGAGACGACCAGCCACATAGCGTATGTCGAGGCCATGGAGACAATCAAGGTGAAGAAGATTGGGTCGGCGACAATGTCCTTGACATTGAATCCGTCATTCTTCTTAATCTGCGCCTGCACAGACCGCACAGTGATGAAAATGGAAGCGAACATGAGATAAACCATGATCAGAACCCAGAAATAAACCATACTCATGTAGAACTTGTTGGATCCTTGGGGGCGGTTACCGAGAGCCAGGATGAAACAGGTAATCAGGGTGCCAATGTACGTCCATTCGAAAACGATGAACAGAACCTTGCCGGCGGTACCGATTTCGGTGGCTAAGGAAGCCGTCAGAATGCGGAAAACTAGGAAGAAATTGCCGAGGGCGAACCAAGCGAAGATCATGCTGATGGTCTGGTAGGTGAATTCGACGAGGAACATCATCTTCCGGATGAAAGAGTGGTCGCTGCGGAAGATGTCAAACGAATGTGCTAGAGCGTATACAGCAGCGAAGAAAGATCCATTCAGCCATCTTCGTCGCTGAAGAATGAAGTCGGCCATTTCCACAGGCACGTCAGTTTCACCGGTCGCAGATTTGACGTACTGCAGAATCCAGTGGCAGTTCCTCTTCGAGACTAGTTCGAAGCAAAGGATACGATCCTCGGCGAGATACATGTTTGCAGTGAAAATACCAGCGTTGGCGCCGTGCATCTTCTCACCGGCAAAGTACTTCTCCAGGGGTCCAGTTCCAGCCTTGTCGTTCTGGAGGGCGACATATCGGTAGGCCGAGAAAGCACCAGGCAGCACAGAAATAAAACCAAAAGCGGACTCCAAGGGCTTATCCAAAATATTACTCATCTTATACTCAAAGTTTTGTGTGGCCACGAGCGGGTTAATAAGCTTCTTTCCGTGAACCAACATAGCCTTGATCTCACCGCAAGCGCCAGCACACATGGGTTCGAGGTCGAACGCCTTCCACAGCTGGTAGATCGAGTCTTTCCCGGGTTTTGTTCCAGCATCAATCAGAACGCAGATATTAGGATCCAGAACAGCACCAAAGGCCTGGAAGAACCAGCGATGGGAGTTAATCTTTTTCTGATTCTTTTCCTTCAAACAGAACAGCATCTGGACAGGGGTGTTGCCTTTCTTGACCCCAACAACACCTTTCTTGATGTCAAGTTGCATCTGCGTGGTATACTGTAATCTCGATTAGTCATGGTCGACCACAATTGACATGTTCAAAATTACCTCGTAAATATGGGCAGTCACATCCTTGCCATTGACCTGTTGCTTGGCAATGCCATCCTGATACACTCCGAGACCTGCGAGAACGGCTCGCGTTCTTGGATTAATCTTGGCACGACCATCACTGACGACACACACTACAATTTTCTTCCACGCGTCCTTGCCCCATGTCTTACTGTTAGTTCGCGAGTTCATGTACTCAATGTTCTTAATGACACCAGTCATGGTGCGCGCAAACAGTTCGTCCTCCTCATTGTACATGGTAATGACGACGAAAAGCTCAGTATGCCTGGGCTTGGCAAACAGCTTCTGGCGCAGTGTGAATCGCTCAGCGTCAAAATCAGCAGGGTCGCACGTTGCGGCAGAGTAGCGCATGTGTGTGAATTCGTCACGCTCGGGGGGCTGTGCATGCGGCACCTGGTTGAGCAACCGCGGGGGGATTGGACAATCAAGGACAAGATTACCCTTGAACAGCTGAACTTCCTTCACCGTCTTCCACCGCTTTATGGGTGCGGGGCTGGGAGTATGATGTGGCTCGTCGTGGTACGCGCCTGCTGCATGCTCAACGTCGTGGTCGAGCGCGCCAACCGGGTGGTCAGCCTCATGCGGATCTGGGCCATATGTTTGATCCCCCGGGATCATCGGCCTTCGGTCATCATCATCTTGCCAGTAGTGGTCTGGCTGTGTCCCATAGGTGGGATGCGGGCTCTCATCGTGTGGTGAGGGATTGTAAGGCTGGGTGTAGTATGCGTCGTGGTGCGCTTGCGGGTCGAGCGAGTAGTCGCTCCCGTGCCGATGAGGCTGCTGGTAGTCATCGTGGTAGTCGTTGGGGCCATATGGAATGTTCTCCACCGAGTACTGCACGCTTCAGTCAGATATGTAGACAACTGTACGGCCGTGCAGAACTCACGCTTGGTTGTAACTGGAGTCTGTCTCCTGGGGTGCCAGGCCCGGGACCTGGTCCCATGGGAATCTCTAGGGGCCCTCCAGCTGCACTCGATTCATATCTGTCGTCGAGCTGGTAGCTCTGCAGTGGTTGCCCGGGAGAGGGCGAGCGGCCGGGTCTTCGAGGGTCCATTCCTGGAGAGTAGTGGTCGTCACCGCCGCCAACTGAGCCTGCACAACTCTGCGGTTAGTCTGGTCCTAAGGTTGATTTTTCGCGCGGTGCGCAAACGTGAGTAACGAATGTCGTGGTCGAAGGGGAAGCGAGGGCAAAAGATGGGCGACTAAGACTGCGACTGCGACTGCGACAGTGAATTGATAAACTCCGGCTGGGCAGAGCTTGAGTGGGCAGCAATCTGGGGAAAACACGTAGGAAAAGGGTACCCTGGGGCGCGGGCTGTGCGAGGCGTCGTCATAAGATCAAGGGCGCTCAACTCACCGAGGCGGTTGTAGCCAGACATGTTGGGTCTGTGCCTGACACCTTCGTCACTGTGCCTTCAACTGGTTGGATCGCGGCGGATAATGAGATCACACGGCCAGGGCAAAACGGGTGCGTGAAGGGGAGCCCAGTGAATGTCGGAACTGAAATTGTTGATCCTCTGAAAGGATGCCGATTGCAGGCTAGGGTCGGAGGTTTCAGATGTGTTTGGTGGACCAGGAGGTGTTTACCACGGCAACCAGATGCGTTGCGCAATCGTGGGATGGTCGAAATGAGGGTGTACGTGTGTTGCCCGAAGAATGAAGAGAATTTGAGTGAGGAGATGAGCAGTGCCGTGAATACAAATGCAGTCAGCAGGTCTTCAGCGCAAATGCGGCTGCACGTTTGGCGGTTGCTGTAGCCACAGCCAAGCACCCGAAACCTGAGAACTGCCCTGTGAGATGCCATGCCATGAGCCACATTGCCGCGCATCATCAGAGATTAGCCACCGCCGCACCTCCAGTTCGTAATCTATTTTTACCCTTCCTTACAGAGCATGTCCATAATGATCTCATCACAAACGAATCTCGCAACTTCAAAACATTCACCCCATCACCAAGTAGCAGTTCTTTTAAATCTGCTGGTCTTCGCTGTGGAATTCTGTCGTTGGAATTTTGCTGTCTCTGGAACTCCTGTCAGCTCATTCAGCTGGGCGTTGCTGAAGAGCTCCTGAACTGAAAAGCATTGTTCCTTGAGAACGCTAGGCTTCATATTGGGTACCTAACCGACCACCAAGTCTAGCTTTGCTGAAAGAGGATGGCTTGTGTCTTGATACGATCAAAAGAATTCATGAGACCCCAGCCTTGCGGATGGACGACATCCGGACTGGGACCCAAACAGAATATTTAGATGTGTCAATAAGCTAGAAGAATGGTTACTGAGCATCAGGCAATTCGGATTTGCGTGATCATGGTGCTTCAGCCGCTTAGAGAGGAGTGGCTACTGTACAGAAGGTGCTCATGCCTCTTGTAGGGCTGAATGGCTTCACGCAGGGGTCTGCGGGCTAGGCTGAGTCCAAACTACGGGAGACATCAAGGCAGACGCAAAAGTATTGTTAGCTGAATTGATACACTGTCATGAGGCTCACTCGTGCAATGGAATATTCTATAGGAACACGTTTGGGTGCATTTCCTATTATCATCTATCAGGGTATCATATCAAGCCCCTACTATCATCTGCACTCCCTTTCACTTCCTTGCCCCTCTATCCCATCTCACGCACCCATCAACTCAACAAGCCCTCCTCAAGCATCTCCAAGAAAGCCTTCGAAAACTTCACACTCTGTGCATACGCAATCTCAAACCCGTCTCTCGCCCCATAATACGGATCCTGCACCTCCTCTCCCCTCCCACCCTTTCTTTTCTTCCCCCCAAACTCCCCAAACAACATCACCTTCCCCAAACTCTTCCCTCCCTCTTCCTCACCCAGCTTCTTAACCTCTCGTGACCGTAGCCTCCGCAGGTGCTCCAAATTATCATCATCCATCGCAAGAATATAATCAAACTCTGTGAAATCCTTTGTCTGGAACTTCCTCGCCTGGTGTCGGTATGTAGAGATGCCGTTGTCCGCGAGTGTGGACATGGTGCGCGAGTCCGGGCCATCGCCGATGTGGTACGCGCCGGTGCCGCAGGAGTCTATTTTTGCAACGAGAGGGTGGCCGGGTTTGTCGGAGGGGCGGGTTAGGCTTTGGAAGACTCCTTCGGCCATGGTGGAACGGCCTGTGAGGATTAATTCGGGACTAATTGAGGGAGAGGAGGAAGGGCAGGGGAGGAAGGGGCCGTACAGATGTTTCCCAGGCAGACAAAGAGGACGGAGACGGGTTTTGGGGATGGAGAGGGGGAGGTGGGCATTGTGTCTGCACTCGAGGTAGCGGCTGCTTCTCCGGCGGTCATGGTTGCGGTGGTGGGGTGGTAGAGAGTTTGTTGGGAGAAGGGTTGCGTTGGGAGCTACACTCAAAAGCTATGCCAAGACTCCCACTGTTTTTCTGTTTACATGGAATTTCATTGTACGTAGGACAAGATATATACAGGTGATAATGCACTAGAAGGGGCGAGAAGATTTGAGCTCCCTGTAAAGTCTCGACTAGTAATTCACTCCCAGGCTCTATGGGAGACCTCCCCGCTAGGTCACCTCGTGAAGTCGGCAACTCACGATCCAATAGAACCCACAAGCCCGAGTAACGGATAACCGGTCATATCTTTAGGCTAGAGGTGACTTAAATTTGGCCCGACTGGGTGACTCACCCGTTGTACATAGCAACTGCTACTTATTTTTCATCTGACCCTCCAGCTCTCTAAGGCGTTGAACCAGCTTCTCGCGGAGAAACGGAGGTATCCCAAGACTACAAATGTTAGCTCGCCTGCTCAAATAGCAAAAAACCAATATACCACTCACATTCCCTCTCTTGTCACAATTCGATAAGTGCCACTAGCCTGATAGTTCCCGCCATCCGCAACAAATCTCCCCTCCCCATCAACCTCCAAACTCCCAAAAATATCCTCTGGCCAAGCGATTCGACCCCAGTCTGGCGGATTCCTAGAATCACTAACGTGTATCCAGCCTCCCCTATTTGCGCCTCCCATTCCACCTTGCTGGATTGCCCCACCAGCGCCTTCTCCGCTCGCACCACCGAGGTGGAAGCCACTGGGAGAGGCGAATACAGCGGCTTGATGTTTTACTTCAGGATCATGGGCAGCGTAGGAGTGGAATACAGATTGGAGGACGCCGAGGAATTTGTGGTTTTCAGTGAAGGTGTCTGGTGTTGGTGGAAGAGCGGATGCAGTGCCGATTGCGAGAGCGGGTGTTGGTGGGTCAGTGGGTAGCAGGGAGAGAAGGGATTTATTGAGCTCGTTTGGGTGCTTGAAGACATACTGACTCTGAATTAACCTGTATATCAAGGATCCTCAAAGGCATGCTCTTACAATGTGAGGATTTCCTGGCAGGGTCGAAACATTTCGTGAACCTCGAAGTATGAGCTGGGACCGAGCTTGGAAAGCGGGTCGCATGCAGCGAGTCGACCGAATAATAGTATTCTGCAGCATATCTACAGCAGTGCAGATTAAGAGAAAGAAGTTGTTTCCCAGAATGGGGTGTCAATTGAAAGCTGCTCAAGAAGATTGAGCTCGAACGATGATGTCCACCGATTAACGCTAACCATTTCAAGTTAGCCCTTCTATAATCAGATCTCCTAGTCCCTTCGTGACACCAAACTTCCTTATCGGACATGTTGCTTGATGGCTCTGCTAAGCCGAACACGAGAACAAACTCATGTGAGAACAGTGTGACAATATCACCCGCTTTACTCGCCTCTCGCGGGTTGAAAGTCAAGCCGCAGCATCATCTCTCAATCCGATCTTAGTGCACCCCACCAAGGCAAATTTCTTCCTCAACGAATAGCATGCGATCGTTCGGAGCGCTGTCCGGCATCGGCTATTACTATGAGAGAGGATATGAGCCGTCAGTAATCCCAAGATCAATGGACGCGCTTTTTTCTTTTCTTGCTCATTGTCCCATTGTTTACTTACGACCATGGCATCTGTTGGAATAGAGTCGATTGATAAAGATATTAGCCAAATCCCAGAAAACACTCCTAAGAAAGGAGAGCTCCACCACGATGTTGAAGTCGGGCCAGAGATGATTGATCTTGATCGAATTGAGAGGGTGTACAAGTGAGTCCAAATCCCAATCCAGCGTTTTGATTGCTAATCGTCTTCGAGGAAGCTAGACCGACGTATACTACCAGGTGGTTATCAACCCCAAGCAGTATACGTGCCCCGCTTACACTTTATAGCATTCTGGGTCCTGTACTTCCTCTGCTCAGCGATTCGGTCAAATGTTGGGCTTGCCCAGACGATGAATTCCAAACAGCATCATGACCTTGCCTCTGAGCTTAACCTAACCCCGAAGCAAGTGTCAACTGGACTAGCGCTCTTCTATGTCTGCTATGTCTTGTTTGACCTACCCTCCAACCTGATTATGTCCAAGTTGAGCCCGCACGTATGGATGAGTAGAATCGTAACCGGAGTCGGCATCATCGGAACATGTCTAACTGCTATGAAGGCGGCCTGGAGCTTCTAGTACGTTAAACGCCTCCTAAAGGGTTGAACAGCTGCTTATCTTGTCCGATAATATAGTTTACTACGGCTGCTGCTTGGTATCGTAATTGCGGGTATGTGGCCAGGCATGTCATATTATCTCACACTTTTCTATCCGCCCTCTCGTACTGGTAAGCGGATTGGCCGCTACTTTACTGCAGCGCAGGTTTCCGCAGCGGTCGTGGGTCTAGTTTCCGCCGGGTTCCAGGAGATGGATGGCTTAGGGGGGTTGGTAGGATTCCAGTGGATGTTTTTGCTGTACGGCTTGGTTGGAACCATTGTCGGTATATCCTTGTTATGGTGGCTTCCGGATCGTCCGTTGCCTCCAGGCGAAGTCCGCGATCGAGAGAGCTGGCGAAGATTCATACCTCAAAGTAAACCGGCTTTGACAGGCGAGGATGCGCGAATCCACTACGACGACTTGACGCGGGTATACCATCGCCGAACCTGGAACATGAGAGATCTCTGGCATGTGGTGATCGATTGGCGTTTGTGGCCATTGGTCATGATGTATTTTGGTGTGGTGGGTGTGGGCATTGGGGTAAGTTTAATCCCATTGATTGGGGAGCGACAGCTGTATAACTTAAAGTTAGACCCAAAGCTACGGCACAGTCATCATCCGGGGTATTAACCCAGACCTTACAGGCATCCAGCTTAGCCTGCTCTTTGCTCCGATTTGGGTGGTGAGTAACTCCGAAACCCAACCTTGCTACCTGCTCTAATCTTATCAGATGGATCTCATTGCTATTCTCATCGTCACTCCCCTTTCTGACCGGTTTCATCACCACCGCGCTCTATTCTTCAGTACTGCCGTCATGATCCAGATCACTGGCCTGCTCGTCACAACCTTTGCGGGGAACGAGTCCAGCTCGTGGTCGCGCTATGGAGGCCTCTTGATGGTGGGCTTCGGGCTGGGACCGACAGTCCCCATCTGCATGACCTGGACCAACGAGATATTCCAGCCGCGCCATGGTGAAGTTGGTGTGGCTGCCGCAAGTGCGCTTGTTTCCGGATTAGGAAACTTAGGCAGCATTCTGACCACCTACGCATTATACACAGGTTGGCCGGCAGATGCCGTCGGACCTCACAAGTTTCGAAAGAGTAACCTAGTCATGATCGGTATCCTGTGTGGCAGCATTCTAAGTGCTGGCGTAATGGTGGTATTATTGAAGGTGTTTGGCAACTCTAGAGCAAAGCAGATTAGCAGCGCCAGCTCGACTAGTGTCGGCGAGGCTGTCTACGTCGATGGTGCGGCTCGGCGAGAGGTGCAGCAGAGAGGGTTGGGACGGATGTTCAGTTTTTAGGTGGCTGGCGGCTTGGGACCCTAGCAGCAGGCGGAACAAGCTCCGGGCCAACGATTTGAATGGAGTTCACCGATCAGGAACATGTAATTTGGAGATGGGGCTTGTCAAATGGGATGTGTGCGGTCACGAGGGCCCATCGCGTGGATGCAGGACTCTAAAATATGCGAGTCAGCATCCTGGAGCGGACCCAGAACTGGTGAACTGCTGGAGAGCTGCAGGGTATGGAGAGCTCAGAGAACGTTCTTCTTAGTACGGTGCAAGTTTGCACGCTTTCCAAGTCTCGTTCAAACTGGTGGTGTTGAAGTGGTGTGGACTCGGGCGGGCGCACAGACCCAGTTCTCGAGGCGTTCACAGCGCCACGCTATTCCCGATACGGCGAGGGCTTTCACAGGCCATTCACTCCGTCACTCAGCCAGCACATTCGCTCGCTTTTCTACCCCCTCGTCCGCGACAGCCTGCAGACCATCTCCGCGCTCTTGATCTAGCCTCTCTTCTTTTTGGTAACGGTGATCTAAGCAATCGATTCAACTTGTCCATTTCGTCCATGGCAGCGTTCACGGGGTGTCCGTGAGCGGAGGGGCGGCGTGTTACTCCGAAGTCTCAACGGTCCACAGTTCGTTGACGGCTCGCTGGAACACGGTTGAGAGACTTAGTTCTGCCTGGCAGCAACGCACCATCTACGACATCTCGAAGTGAGTTTGTCTCCGCTGAGTCACCGAGAACGTTTGCGTCGCTCGCCTACGCTGCTTCGTTTTGCAATCGCATCACATGCGAAAGACCCCTCACCCATTCGTCGGCCAGCCCCAGCCTCAACGTCAAGCACTGACATCACGAACAGTTTCCATACCATTGCGATCTCGTATCTTTTCCTCCGCTTATTTCATACACCACCTCCCGCATACCCCCTCCACCTGTCTTAATCTCGTTCCACATACCCGCCCTTGCCGCCGTCCCCCACTTTCACCATGTCGGCGACAATAGACCAAGAAGACCTGGAGGAGCTCTCCATCTCCATCACGCCTAACCCCAGGCGGAGCTCTGCAAGACCGCCAGACTTTCCTTCTCAAAACCCCCCCGCCACTGCTGCGCAGGAAGGCAAAACTGGCCGCGACACCAAAACTACCCAGCACCTCAAGCAATACACAGTAGTAAAGACGCTGGGCGAGGGATCCTTTGGCAAGGTAAAGCTAGGCATGCACCAGGTTAGCGGGCAAAAGGTAGCTTTGAAGATCATCAATCGCAAGAAGCTCGTCACAAGAGACATGGCGGGCAGGATAGAGCGTGAGATTCAGTATCTCCAGCTGCTGCGGCACCCTCACATCATCAAACTGTACGTGCTCTCACAAGTGGTGCTGTCAGTATGGCTAATTCTCCCAGGTACACTGTGATCACGACTGCAACAGAGATCATCATGGTCTTGGAATATGCAGGCGGTGAGCTTTTTGATTACATTGTCACCAATGGGAAATTAAAAGAGGAAAATGCTCGCAAGTTCTTCCAGCAGATTGTCTGTGCCGTTGAGTACTGCCATCGCCATAAGATTGTTCATCGAGATCTGAAGCCTGAGAACCTGCTGCTGGATGACCACTTCAACGTCAAGATTGCCGACTTCGGCTTGAGCAACATCATGACCGACGGCAACTTCCTCAAGACGAGTTGCGGCAGCCCCAACTATGCCGCTCCTGAAGTCATCTCTGGCAAGCTATATGCTGGACCGGAGGTTGACGTCTGGAGCTGTGGCGTTATCCTCTACGTGCTATTGGTGGGCCGGCTCCCTTTCGACGATGAATATATTCCCACGCTCTTCAAGAAGATTGCGGCCGGGAACTACAGCATTCCAAGCTACCTATCCCCTGGCGCAGTCTCTCTGATCAAGAAGATGTTAATGGTGAATCCAGTGCACCGGATCACAGTGGCCGAGATCCGCCAAGATCCCTGGTTCACCAAGGATCTCCCTTCATACCTCGAGTCGCCACGTGAGGAGTTCGTCGACACGGGCGTGGACCCAAACAAAGCGATCGATCCACGGAGTCTAGCGCCGTCGCAACCCGCAGCTGTAGTGCAAAAACTCCACGAGACGGTTGTCGGCAAACTTGGTAAAACAATGGGTTACGCGAAGCATGATGTTCAAGAGGCATTGGCACGAGATGAGCCAAGCGCAATTAAGGACGCTTATTTAATCGTCCGGGAAAACCAAATTATGAAGGAGAATCGTAAGTCATCTGCCACTAGTCTATATACATTCTTTACTCTAGTGCACCTTTGCCCCGCGTCTTCTGACCATGGGTGTGGTACAAGATACTACCTCATTACTCTCCCGATATCGAAGTACATTGAATGGTTTATCCGGCTAACGTTAGAATGCAGCACTTCTGACGCAAGAAAAGACGCTCCAACCTTTCTTAGCTCAGTCTCCCCCCACGCATGAGAACTTCATGAGCTCGTCGATACCTCAGACCATGGCCATGGGCAGCCGCCCGCAAGTTTTTCCTCCTCCTACAGACTCCGAGCGCACACGCCAGGGATCAACATCGAGCAGCCAGATCACGAACATTCGTAGTCCCATCAGCACTGTCGGGGTTCTTCCCAGCAGTCTTCCAGAGTACCATCGAGCTTACATGAAAGGCCATCCGAAGCCTCTTACGTCGCCTTCACAAGAGCACGAGCCCATGGCACCAATACCAGAGCAGACGAACGAACAGAAAGCCCAAAATGCCCGTCGATTAAAGCCTCACGCGCGAAACACAGGTTCAAGTAGGGACTCGCAGCGGCCAGAGCCGATGACAGCCCTACCAACCAAACGGCCTCGGCCAACCAAATGGCAATTTGGTATCCGCTCTAGGAACCAACCGGCAGAAGCAATGTTAGCCATCTTCAAGGCTTTGAAGGCTATGGGTGCAGATTGGGAAGTGCCGAAGATTCGTAGAGCAGGAGGGAGAAGTGGATCTCGCAGTGGCAGCAGTTCCCGAGAATCAAGCCGCTCTAGATCAAGATCCCGGACCCGCTCTCGCGGCTCTTCCATCTCCTCTCACTCCTCGCGAGACGAGTACCGAACCTCTGCCCGCAACTCGGACCGCTCAATTTCCCCCTCTCGCCGCGAACCGCTCTCCGTCCGCAACCCCAGCGGAGACGCCAACTCCAGCCGCTCAAGAGGCCGCCAGCGGAAACATTACAACCAGCAAAACGACTGGGGCTACTCCATCCCTTCAGACCCGTGGGTCATCAACGCTCGGTTTCGTAAAGACGGTATGTTCCCGCCCGGTGTCGTGCATCCGTCCTCCGCACACTCCTCCCGTATCGACCTCACGCACGATCCTGCTAGCCTAAGGAGACGCAGTTCGACGAATACAAGTCACTCGAGTCTCAACCACATTGAAGGCTTGACAACACAACCTGAAGGCACAGGCGCGGGGGCAGGGGGAAGAACTAGCTCGGCGGCCGGCTCCCATGCAAGCGATTGGCCGCAACCAGATGAAGCGGTGCATATCTACATGAGCATCCAGTTATACAGCATCGAGCGTGATTTCTTCGTCGTAGATTTCAAGTGCGCGGGTTATGAACGTCTTGTTAATAATATCGTGAGAGAAATCAAAGCTACGAATACCACTACCGCGCCGTCTACGGCGAATACTTCGATCTCGAACTTCGCGCTATCGGGTTCACATCATCAAGATGGCTGGGACGATGAGCAGGGTGTGTGGAGGAGACTCGGGGATGGCGAGCCCATTCCAGAGGATTTAGCGAGAGAGGTAAGGGATGGCGGAGGTGGGAAGGCTGGTGTTGGACAGATGTTGAGGGAGAGACATGAGGAGGTGGGTGCGGGGAGAAGTCAGGGTGAGAAGAGAGCGACGAGTCCGTTTCCTTTTTTGGATGTAGCGAGTAGCTTGATTTTGCAGTTGAGCGGGGAGTAGATGTAATATAATTTGTGGAAGTTGGGGTGTGCGGGAGCGGGGTGGTAGTAGTTGTAGAGACAGAGGTGAGACGGAGGAGGTGGAAGTGGTTCTGGGCTTGGAGGTGGATTTGCCGGATCGATGGCATACTTTCTGGTTGGCTGGCGCTCACGATGATCATGAAAATTATGTAGCCTTTTTCCTTCCCTCCTGGGAATTTCTTTTTTTTTTCCACTTTTGGTAATTTCATGCTTGCTCTCGGAAGCTGTCAGGTTAATATCACATCGAAGGAACGTATATCTTCCGTCATTCATCTCATTTGCCTAGAGGTCGGGGCTGAAGGCAAGATTCCTGTGCCTTCAATGGGCTATCTTGATGAGATCTCGGAGTCTAGTTTGCTTGATATAATGCGATAGGGTCAGATGTGTGCTGTGTGTGGAGGTATGGGAACCTCTGTCCCTACGAGGCGGGAACCCTAGTGACAAAATCACCTCAACTTTGCGCGCAACTACTTTTACAGCAACAGGAAGCAAACATTGCAATTAGTAGGTGGCTTTATTGCCTAATTTTCGTCCACGTCGAACCTCATTTTAATACTGGAGATTTCTGTCGTCGCTGTTGTAAGATATGATGTAAATATCGTACTCAGAAGTTTGGAGCATTATTTATCACTTATCTGCAAAGTATTGCAAGGATTTTCACCCTGCGTCGCCATTCACGCTCCTCTTTGTGCGTCGTCGTGGATTGGTTCATAGACTAGGGGTTTAAAACAAGTTTAAGTTTATCAACTCCAGATCATAGTTGTGCTAACAATTTGTCTGCAGCGCACCATTTCAGTAGCCTGCCGCAATCTCGACGGGCTATGCTTACAAGTTGGTTAGAGTAGCTCTGAGCGAATCTACTCTGAAATGCTCTATTCATGCGCTTCAGACCTAACGTGTCACTTGCGCCAAGGACTGATATTAGGGCTCTGAACGAACTAGTTCTCTTATCTGCTAAGGCTGGAATATTGTGTTGACTGGCAAAATAGAGCAAACTCATTACAATCTGATGCCTTGGCTTGATGTTTAATCCCCTTTCATTTATTCATGTACAACCCTTCTTATGCAAAACATATGCTTACCTATACTAGTTTCTTTGGCGCATTTCTCGAGAAACTACGCCATGTCTAAATAACCTTAGTTGAAACTTCTTCTTGTACTTTCCACTCAGCGTGTGAACCTCAGCACCACTATCAGCTAAGAACTGCACGACGTCTAAGTAGCCGTTATAGAAAGCCTCCTGCGGTGCGCCGCCGTACTCTCCACCCTGTGCGTTAAGGTCGGCGCCCTTCTTGACCAAGAACGGCACAGTGTCTAAGTAACCCGAAAATGAAGCCGCCTGCAGTGCGTTGCCGTAGAAGCCACCCTTAGCGTTAACGTTAGCGCCATTCTCAACTAGGAACCGCACGGCGTCGAGGCGACCCATAAATGAAGCATTAACGTCGGCGCCCTTCTCAACTAGGAACTTCACAACGTCTAAGTGACCCTCTAGTGAAACTGCCTGCAGTGCGTTGCCGTACTCTCCACCCGGCGCGTTGATGTTGGCGCCTTCTCAGCTAAGAACCGCACGATGTCTAAGTAACCCCAACATGAAGCCGCTCGCAGTGCGTTGACGTCGGCGCCGTTCCTAGTTAGGAACTGCACGGTGTCTAAGTGACCACTCCATGAAGCCGCCTGTAGTGCGTTGCCGCATATTCCGCCTTGCGCGTTGACGTTAGCCCCCTTCTCGGCTATGAACTGCACGATGTCTAAATGACCCCAGTATGAAGCCGCTTGCCGTGCGTTGCCGTGGTACCCACCCTGCGCGTTGACATCGGCACCCTTTTCAATTAGGAATTGCATGATGTCTAAGCGACCCGCTGATGAAGCCGCCTGTAATGCGTTGCCGCAAATTCCGCCTTGCGCGTTGACGTTAGCCCCCTTCTCAGCTATGAACTGCACGATGTCTAAATGAACCTAGGCTGAAGCCGCTTGCAGTGCGTTGCCGTTGTATCTACCCTGCGCGTTGACATCGGCACCCTTCTCGGTTAGGAATTGCACGATGTCTAAGTGACTCGCTGATAAAGCCGCCTGTAGCACGTTGCCATACTCTCCACCCTGTGCGTTTACGTCAGCGCCCTTCCCAGATAAGTACCGCACGATGTCAAAGTAACCCTTGAGTGAAGCCCCCTGCAGTGCGCTGCCGTAGTGACCACTCAGCACATTAACATCAGCGCCCTTCTCAACTAGTAACTGCACAGTGTTAACTGGTCCTTAGCTGAAGCCACCTCCAGTGTGCTTCCGTACTCTCTACACTGCGCGTTGGGGTCGGAGCCCTTCTTGACTAGGAATCGCACGATGTCTAAGTGGCCATTCCATGAAGCTGCCTGCAGGGCGCTGCCATACTCTCCACCTTGTGCGTTGGCGTTGGCGCCCTTCTCAGCTAGGAACTGCACGATGTCTAAGTGACCTTCGAATGAAGCCACCTGTAGTGCATAGCTGTAAAAGCCACCCTGCATGTTGATGTCGGCATTAGTCTCCAAGATTAATCGTCTTACGACATCAGCCAGTCCGGTCCGGCTCGCGTAGTATAGTGGGGAAGGAATCGATGATAAAGTATGTCCGAAGTCCACTCCTCCACATTCACTGTCAAGGTCGTAAGGGTGAATCCATGTTAGGTAGGCTTCCCCACTTGCGTTTAGTAATTTGTGAATGAAGACGGTCGTCTCTGCACCCAGTTCTGTATTTGCTTTCACATGATTCACTCATTGCTGCGCTGAACACTCTGCTAGCGCATATTCGTCTAGATTTTCTAGGGTCAAGGCACCGGGCCTATCGAACTGTAGCAAGTACTGGAGGCAGCACTTAGCGATTGATTGATGGCACTGTATAGAGTCCATAGCGTACAAACTCACTTTGCTTTTGTAAACGCGCTCTGAAACCAGATATTCTTTTACGGAATAATGAGCCAAAAGAACTACGGGTCTCTCGGGGCCATCGTAAGACCAGTGGTCTGGTTTGTCTGGAGTGGTGACAGTTACCAAGCTAGAGCATATAGTGAGGACCTCTAAAGGATCTTCAAGAATCTCATCGCAGTCAAAAGCTGGGCAGCGCTCTGCATCAATAGCAGGAATTTCGGCAACTTCAGCTAGCAGTAGAGGTCTTGATGAAAAAGTAAGCCATCGCAAGATAAGAATCGCATATTCAATGTCGCTTTCTTTAATCGCACCTAGAATTCGGTTATATGTCTCATCCAAATTCAGTGGGAGATCCACGAGAGTTTGAAGGAGCTGCTTTCAGTTACGACATTCCCCGAGAATGTCCAATTGACGGGCAGCCCATCGGAACCTAGTTCCGTAAGCTTGCCATGCCGCAGTGACTATGGTAGGAATGTATACATTCCGTGAGCTCCTTTAATTAACGAAGTTTCGATCCGCTGCCGGATTGTGGCATCAGAATGCCATTTCTGAAGGCTTTCATTGTCAGAGAGTCGCTGACATACGTAGGACTGTATGTCATGGTCAACAGCACTACTCTGAATACAGAGAACGTTTTTACCATCTAGAATGCGTCCGAGGGTTCTTTCAATATCACCCTCTCTACGGCTTGTAAGAAGAAGATGGAACCCTTCCAGTTCCCATGTAGACATCTCTTTCACGATTCTCATGAGTTCCTTCCGGTTAGCGCATTCATCCAAGGCATCAATGACGACTTATGTTTGGGGGAACTCTTCGATCAATTGCTTTAGAGCTTTGAGAAGCGTATTTAGAGATGGCTGTCGCTTTCCATTGTCATAAGATGCGAAGAGTGCACTGAGACCAGTGGATATTTTGATGCACTGCTGCAACAACTGAAAGATTAACGATCGGACCATTAACTCGGGATCCTGTTTTTGTCGGTCGTTGAAGTAGAAATAAAAATAAGCGACTGCTTTCCCTGGCTTATCCGCGCTATGTTGAAGTAGATTCTCAAGCAAGGTTGAGCTGAGGACAGTCTTTCCGCAGCCTGGGATACCGTGCAGCCAGATGAAGGAAGCTTCAATTTCCCACTTTCTGTACAGATCGCTCTCAAGGAGCCATAGTCCGGTATCAGCCTGGCTTAGATGGAGGGCCTTCTGAAAGTTGACTGATGGATCCGGCGTAGATAGCCATTGTCGTACCCTGATAAGCTTAGTGTCTGGAGTAATCGTTAACAGTGACATCTCGATTCTGTTGAATGTCGTATCCGTGAGGGGCTGCAACATTGAAGACGATGCAGCAAAATAGAAAGTTAGCATTGTGATGTATCCGCGGAGGATTTTCGTCAAAGTTCTCGATCTTTCCATCCTTTAACACACTGTCCATCGATTTAAGGGTCTTCTTAGCCCACCCGTCGCTCTGTCGCGGCAACGTTTTCACTAGTAGGGAATCTATGTCTTAAATCGATCCCCCGCAGCCCTGGATTGCTGGTAGAAGTGCGGCTGCGCACTCGTTCCGAAATTGGCGGCTGTCGATTGCTTCCTTGATTTGTTGAAGGGTGCGGACCAGCGCAGGTAGCTCAGCTTTTATGTGGCGCAGCGACTTTAGAATTTCACTCGTACCAGAAACTCATTGAGGCGGCCGAGCACCTTAGAGGTAAATTCCACGAGCTGAATGATACTGGAGACGATGCTGACCACAACGAGCCCTTCAGCCATTGCGGGTATGATGCCAGGTTGGTTGCTGGGCTAGAATCAAGGTGAAGGCTAATCCTCCACTCAGCGAAATCTCAGACACGGTTATTCCTCCACGATAAATATTCGGGGCACACTTATCTTGCTCGATAATACTTCCACCCTTGTTAGGATTTCATGGACAAGGCACTGCTGCCTGAATCGTTCGATTGCGGCTTGGCTGGGGTTCAGGATATGACTATAACGTAGCTAGCGTCGAAAATGTCAGCCTGTCTTAAAACTACCCAGTTAATGAGCCAATCAACGAGCCCGCACAAAAACTCGCGCTGGAAGCGACACCGGACGACAATGCTTGTAATACTTTGCAGAAAGGGATTAGTAATGCCTTGGTCCTAGACGTGTGATTCTTATATAGATAGCTAGCAGCAAGGCTGATTTCTAACCTATATAAAGTATCAAGCTCGCGCTTTGTGCAGACGAGAATTAGGTATTTGATCCTCTCAGCAACTGTAATTTGAGTTGACTTGGTGGATATAGAGCATTCTGACTGCTAGCTTCCTGTTCCAGTAGTTGTGAAAGTCATTGCGTGCAAAGTATGTGGGGTGGTTCATTTTTACAAACCCAGTGCTGTCTGTCCGGGATCACATGCATTTCGTATCCCAGTCATTCCCCACCTCTCACACAATCTAGTATATATTTCACATATAGGGAACAACACTACGAGTCTGAACGAGCGGATGAAAGTTGAGAGAATTCCATTTATGCACTACTCCGTCCAGTCCTCCGTCCAACCAGCCAACCTCCTTTCACCGTCCTCCATCCGTCTTGAATATTCCCAACATCGCAAATCCTTTTGCCCATCCAGCGTCCAGCTTACTGCCATGTCCATTACACACGACTACGCCCACCCACTACCCATCCTTCTATGATATACACATACATAACCTGTCACGGACTACTCCAAAACCTCCATCTCCCTTAGGCCCCTCAGCTCATCACCACCTCCCCGCCCCAAACCAACCGAATCCCGCAACTCAACAACCACCCTAGCAAAAAAAGTCGTCCAAGAACGAGAAGTAGAAAAGAAGTTTTTAGGCACGCACGGATGATGTACATACAAACATGAGGGAAGAGAGTGCCAGGAGTAGGGGGTGTACTTACAGACATGAGCCTCAAAGAAGGCAGAGTCGAACCAAGCAACACAAAGACGGCAGATTTTTCTATGATCGCAGTAAGGACCAACGTGGAGATCGTAATAGGGGGAGAGGGGATGGGGGGCTAGGGGTTGGGACAGATTTTACCGCATCCCAGCGCCAAAGCCCGCACCCATCGCTCCCAATCTCGATGCGAGTTTTGGGTATTTTTCTTGCACCTACAAGGCACAGCATTAGCATTAACTCAATATTCACTCAAATGCTATACTACCTCCACAACTACTACTATGGGAGGAGAAGGGGCCGGGGGAGATACGGGAAAGAGGTGCTGAGCCTGATTAGGGAGGGGGTTAGTATACCTCTAATTGCGTCCTCGTAGCTTCAGCATAAGAAAGCGCATTAACAATCTCACCCTCCGTTCTCGACAGCTCGGCCGCACGTTCAAAGTACTTGAGCGCTTCTGTAACCTTGCCTTGTTGGAGGAGGAGTTGGGCCATTGTGGCGACGGCAATATCGCATTCGGGGTCAACTGTATCACACACATCTATGTTAGCATCATCATCACCAGCCAATCAAACAATCAGGTGAAAGGGCGCTATGCGGAATGGGGGAAATTTGGGTGGGAGGGGACATACTAATCAGTGCCTTCTGACACAACTTCTCCGCCTCCCCGAAATCATTCTTCCACTGGAAAAGAGCCAACGCCTTATTAATCAATGGCAACACATTCATCCCCATCGGTTTCGCACTCTTCTCCATATCCACCGCCGTATCGAACTTCTCAATCGCTTCCTGGTACTTCTGCTGATCCAACAGCAACTCCCCGTAATAATTATACACATCGGGGACTTTGTCGAAGTTCTTCATACAGCGGCGGAACGTCGCCATTGAGGATGCAATGGAGCCCATCTTGTATTGTGTGACTCCAAGCTGGATGTGCGAGAATATAAAGTCTTTGTCAAGGTCGATAGATTTTTGGTAGTCTTTGGCGGCTTCTCCGAATTCGGCCTTGATGAAGTGGAGTTGGGCCCGGTGGTAGTAGATGTCGGGGTCATCTTTGTTGGAGGAGAGGGCGGATGCAAAGTCGGCTTCTGCGGCATCGGGGTTGGCTGGGAAAAATAATCAGCATTTACTAGAGGAATGTGGGATGGTGCTTACCGAGTTCCAGATGCATGCTGGCGCGCTTGATGAAGCTCTGGGTTAGCGACGGGTCGAGCTCTATACTCTTGTCCATGTCCTTGAGAGCGTCGTCGCTGTCTCCCTGGAGGTATTTGAAGGTTCCGCGCAGGTTGTACGCGAAGGCCTCATGCTCTCCGAGGTCGCCTAGTTCCAGGGCCTTGTCAAAAGCCACCGCAGCTTCCGTGTAGCCCTCAGCCGTCTTGGTGTTCATCGCATACAAGCCTTTCCTTAACTGGCCCTTCCCGCTCTCCTCGTCTAGCTCCGCATCGTCGTCGAGACCGTAGGGTGGAGGTTTCGGTCGGAAACTCTGGAGATAGTTTGTGACAAAGGTCGGGCTCGGCAGCTTCTTCTCCTTCGACGCTAAGATGGCCTTGCCTTTTGCCTCGGCAACCTTTTTCAGTAGGCGCTCGACGCTCTGTGCACTGTTCTCATTCCGGAACCCGTCAATGATGCAGCTCGCTGTGTAGTCCAGAAGCGCCTCGCTATTGCGCTCCACCTGTTCGTATGCATTTGCCCGTCGGTTCAGCGCCTTGACGTATTCATTGTCTAGATTAATAGCTGCAGTCGTATCCTCAATGACCTTGTCCCAATTCGACATGGCATTCCAGCAGGCCGCCCGATTCGAGTAGAAGACAGGGTCTTGCCGACAAACAATTGCTTTCCCGTAGAGCTCAATCGCGTGGTTGTAGTCTTTTGATCCGTAGGCCTTGTTCCCGGCTGCCTTCAACTTGGCCGCATATTCTTTCCGCTCCTGAAGAAGTTAGCAACAGTAATAGCCATAGCCTCCACAAGTCCAATGCCAAACATACCTCTTCTGACAGCGTCGACACGGTAGTCTCATCAACTTGAGGCAGCTCGTCTTCTGCCACTGCCGCTGCCACTGAAGCTTTCTTCGGCTCTACTCCTGCCTCCTCCTTCGAAGCTTCCTTTTCAGCCTCCTTCGACCGCTTCTTGCGATCCCGCCGATTCTTCCGCTTGCTCGGTGTAGCGGGCCCCGGTGCCGAAGAATCTTTCCTCGAGTCTGTGAGATAGTACACCACGCCTCCAGCCGTCACCACCAGCGTCAACCCCGCAACCGTATACACCACGCCCCTATGCTCAGCCGCCCAATTCGATATCCGGTCCCAGATCGAGCTTGGCCCAGAGGGGGGAATTTGGACCGGAAACACCCCGGGGCTGTTGGGGACAGGAGCAGGTTCGGCCGACATTGTGGAAATGCGGGAATGGTGTTGAGGGGCGAATGGGAGAATGGGATACGCGGCGATGGGGATAGGAAGGAAAAGAGGGGTCGCGCGCAACGGCAGTGGTGGTGAGGATGAAAGGGGATGATGTGCTTCACCGAGAGCTTAGATGGAAAAGTCGTAAGGACGGTGGTGGTCAAAGCTCAAACCGAGCTTGCTAGCAACGTCATCCATGGATGTTTACCCAAACTCTGAAGAAGAAATAATTGCTGTTTCTACTTTGTATTTCGTGTTCATGTCAAAGCGAATATCGCTACCGCTGGGCCTACCTTACGTGAGCTGAATCTATTTCGTTGGCTCTCCTCTCTATTTCCTCCCGAGTTACGGTGGACAAATTTAACATCACGTGACACAAGTTATTCTTCCCATGACTCTGTCATACCTGTCCTTGCATAGTTCTTCACGATTCTCTGATCCAATTTATCCCCTAAATACTCTTCCTGGTATCCCAATTGTTCTTGTATGCAGCCTCAATCCGTTCAACTGTCAAGCCTTGCTGCGTACCAACCCACCCCCACCCCCACCCTATCCTAGCCCCGCCATATATCCCCCATAAATCCATAGACTCTCTTCTCGCCCTCAAATACCTCAATTAAAACACTAACAACCGCCAAAGTTGACCTCAACCCCAACCCCAATCCCAAATCCGCCATGTCCACCCCCGGCTCCTTCAACCTCTTCACCTCCCTACGCTACGACCCGCTACTCCTAACCTCCCCCGAAAACTCCAGCCCAGCACTAAACTTTATTTCTCCATCCCCATTTTACATGCTTGTGTACCACCGCGATCGTATGCTAGAAGCCGCACAGCATTTTGAGTTCCATGAAGTGGCGAAGCTGCTTGTTGACGGGGTGGCGTTGCATGAGGGATTGCTTGAGAAGGTGAGGCGGTGGGTTGGGGAGGGTGGAAAAGAGGAAGCGTTGAAGGTATGTCTGACGTGTTTATTTGGAGCTAGGATAGAGCGGGGGGAAGTTGGAGAGGAGCTAATTCGAGTGCAAAAGTTACGAGTCCTCTTCAATAAAGGAGGGGATATGTCTCTGGAGATCTCTCCTGTCTCTGCGGTCTCTTTATCAACACTATATCCACCATCTCTGGACCCCCCTAAAATTTTCCCCGCCCCCCATCCCGCAAAATTAAACACAGACACATTCAAGCCCTCTCCTCTAACCGGGGGTGCCCTAACACTCGGACACACAGACACCATCCCATCCCTCCCCTCCCTCCCCTCCCAATCTCCCTCCCAATCCCCCACGCCGTCCCCCAAACACCCGTTAGCCCCAACATGGACGCTCCGCCTAGACACAACCCCCACGCCTATGTCTCCCTTCACACTCCTCAAAACCACCCATCGCACCTTCTACTCCGCCTCCCGCTCACGCGCCTTACCCCACAATGCCGCGGACCCTGCGTTCACAGAAGTCATGCTCTACAACGAATGCCAAGAACTCACCGAAGGCACCACGACGTCCTTGTATGTTTTCCGCGGAGGAAGGTGGATTACGCCGCCAGTAGGCGTGCCTGCTGGAGAGTTCAGCTCGTCTACTTTGAAAGCTGCAGCTTCGGCTTCGGCTAGAGATGAGCATGGAGATGGAGGGGTGGGTAAGAAACAGGAGGACATGGACAGAAGTGATGAAGGCGAGCTTCGAAAACCGTTCGCCGGACGCTGGGGCCATAGCGTTAGGAGCGAGAAAGTGGGGAGTGGAGGACAGAGAGGGACGACGAGGCGGTGGGCGTTGGCGAAGGGGATGTGTATGGAGGAGCCGGTTGGGGTGGATACGGTGACCATTGGGGAGGGCGTGTGGGTTAGTAATGGGGTGAGGGGATTTGGGTTTGGGAAGGTTGTCTCGTGAATTGGGTCTGACCAGAGAAGGGGATGGGGTGTTGATGAGATTTAGATATGCGTGTGATGAATGAAGGAAGCAATTGTGGAATGAGGGAAGGTCTGATTCGGAATACGTCTCCGATAGTTCGTGAGAAGAGAAGTCCCTATCGGTATGTCCCCCAGCAAGCGCACAAAAATACATATTCAGAATAAAAGTAAATTCTTGCAACCTCCAAAACTTCTAAACAGACTCAAAATACGCAAAACAAGATGCAAAACCGTACAAAATAGAAATAAAACAAACTCACCATAACTACCCCCCGACCCCACCCCCCAACAGAAACCTCACACACAGCGTCTACCTAGTCATCTCTAAACACCTACACTTATCTCTATATACTTAACCCGCCTACTCCCCAAACCCACTCCAACACCCGGCCGTATTCGCCGCATCCGCCCCACACATCACCAAATCTCCCTCATGGTCCTTAATATTTCCTTACGTGCCATACGTCCCATATTCCAGCAGCAATTACATTCCCCCCACATGGTTGATGTCGTAGATGTTGTTTTCCTGGGTATCAAGATATTCTTTTGTCAGCTGGATCTCAATGGCCGGGGAATAGGTTTGGTGACTACCTGAGTAGTTGAAGATCTGGTCGGCGCTGAAAAAGCGCTTGCCGGTGCTGAACCTCCTCTTTCCGAGATCTTCATAATCAGGTATATACTCTGACCAGTGGCGAAGCAAGAAGGATAGGTCTATCGAAACACGCTTCTTGCACGCTTCTTGTTCCTTCTTGGATTTTTGAGTTTAAGGTTTGGGGATTTCGTCGTCAACTGGGGCTTCCAGGTGTCGTGGTTGAGCCGCTGCTGGGCGATTTCGGCAGCCGTGCTACAGGCGTTCAGAGAAGCGAATTTGTGGAAGGCAGTTTTTTTGCAGGACATGTATTGCTTGCTCCCGCTACAGGAGACTGTGGTTCGGGAGAAGGAGAGGGTTGCGTCGTAACCGTTAGTGTTGCAGCACTTTTAGGTGACAACTGGTGTTGTTGAAGTTGAGGTTGAGGGTGGGAATGTTGCGGTCTTGAGAACAGTAGGCTGCTTTGCAACGTCGATGAGGTGAGTGCAGAGTTGAGGACGCCGGCTATTATACTGGGTCTCATCCCAGGATTTCTTGAGATCTGCACCGTATTCATAGTCAAACTCCTCACGGTAGGAGGCACTATGGAAAGTCTCTTGCAACTAGTACTCTAAGGCTTGTTCCAGACAGGTTTGCGACCATGTCTTCGTCCTCATCCACCTAATCCGCTCTAGGCAAGATGCGTCCTCTCCATTGTTGAACTATATCTGTGACCTTAACCTCCCACTTGGCCTTCTGAAGCGGTTTATCACACGGTCTAGTCCTATGAATAGCTGAGGCTCAATACCAGCACCAAAGAAGCTGTCTTAACATCTCTGGATATTACCCATCAGCGCAATCTCGAACGTTATATACTCTTGGCATTCGCTAAAGCCGTCTCGAGTCGTCGCCGTCACTCTCTCACTATTTAAAAATCTTCCTAGTGGTCTTATTCACCGTTTGCAATCGCTCAGTCTCGTCCTGGCTCTCCAAGGGCACTTCTCTGGGCTGTGGAATTCGCATCCACGCGAACATTCCTGGCCCTCGGGAACTTGCTTGGAAGTATAATCCTCTCTTTCATGGCTAAGCTAGCCACACCGAGGACAAAAGGGTTGATCCTTGCTGCTCTTGTGAACTTTGTTGTGGTAGTGGTAGTGGTTGCTGCGGTCGTTCTGGGAATTGTTAAAGCCGCCACCACGGACGGCCGCGACTTTCTCGGTTCTTCCCAGTACTCGATGTTCGATTGAAAGGCAAGTAGCTGGGAGGGTATTGCTAGACTACCCTCTTTGCTAAGAAAATGAGCTTTATATCGTACACTACGTCGAAGTGTTGTGTGTGGTTGAATTAGAACGAGTCTAGGGCAACGAATTCTGAATAAATTGACGGCGAAGTGAGTCAGCCGGAATCTGCATGTTAAAGAGAATTTCATTGTCGAGAATTGAAATGACCTTGTCAGAATAGCGACTTCTTTGTTTTGAATCAAGAGTCGAATAATGGTTTTGATGGGTGCCAAAGTGGCTGCTACGAAAACCTTGGTAACAAAAAAGGCAAAAATAACAGCGTGCGAACCTGATAGCAGAAAGAGGCAGGGAAATCAAGCCAGCAGCCATGTTCTTCGCTGCAACTTTCACGTGAGCGATCTGCTGGAGGTCCTGATAGGAGTAGGCCGATGCTATCGCGTAATGAGCTTCCAATTTCCATTCTGCATCTCCTACCGACAGGATCTCGATATTGACGACGCCACGATGAAGCAGACCGGCATCCAGACCGTCTTTCGCTTCATGGACCGGTCAAATCGACAAGACCTGCATGACAGGACGCACTCATGCACGAAACCCGATGGCCAGGGAACATCTAAATATACCGACAGCAGTATTATTAGGCACTACCATCAGCCGGACTGGCCGCATAGTAGGTCATAGGTGAATATTGTGAACATCTTTTCGCGAAAGCCTGGGTCAGGGGTCTGAGTAAGATCCGGAAACGTAAACGGATTGACAGAACCCGAATGCAAAAGCAATATAAATGCACTCACATGACGCTTTGGGCTCGACTTTTTATTCTTACAATAATAAGGTGGTGTCTTCGGGATTTCGTGTGCGGTAAGCACCAGCGGTGAGGATGGAAACGCATTCAGCGTCAAATGCGGCTGTACCGTATCTTCTCACCTGCATTAGGGAATGGCAGCGATGGTTTAGGCCAGAAATTTGCTTCCTTTGATGCTCTCACCAATTCCATCAAGATGTCTGAAAGACAAACTCCACCCTGGTAATTCTATGTTTGGTCAGAAGTGCCGTACAAGGCCCATTCCTATCACCCTAATTAGACACCTGGCCTTCCCTTCCACATGGATTTACCCCCCTCACAACCCAAAGCGGATCATGAGTCTGCATTCCCATCCACTGAATCGCTGCATCGACTCGGCTGCCACCCTGGGCATCCTCCATCGTGCTCAAGTCCACAATCTCAATATCCCTCCAGCCAGAAAACCAAAGATAGTCACCGACCATCTGGAGTCGCTCATCAGGCGATATCCGCAACCACCTACCAATAGCTTTGGTTGGAAAACACCGGTCGCTGATGACGAGATGCACTTTTCCACCTTCTTTCGTAACAGATCGCAGGTGTGCCAGCACTTCTTTCGGTAGCGTGAGATAATCGATTGAGACGACGCATGCGGCTGCGTCGAAAAGCTCGGGAGTCGGCCTGTCGGGAGAGGTAGGAAACTCGGGACTCGTGTTCAAGTCTAATTCGATCCTGCCACCGTTCAAGCAAGGATTCGCATCCATCTCCTTTTTATTCATCCCAATGCCCACCACCTGCAACTCCCCCTTCTGTATCTGCTCTTTTATCTCGGGTGGGAAATGGCTCACCCAGCTTGTGCAGAGATCAAGGACCCTGCCCTTCCGCGGAATATTGCGAAGGTAGTAGCGCTTGAGGCTTTCAATCGCATGATCATCGATATGTGTAACAAGGCGTGGTGCATCATAGAATGCAGGGTCGGGGGATTCGTCTTGGCGCTTGAAGTCCTCGGATGTGTAGGGCCATTGTTGATAACGGGGAATGTATTGTTCTGTCGGCCATGATTCTGCGTCTTGGGGCGAGACCTGCTCCATTTGAGAAACTAGGGATGAGCAGAGAAAGTGAATGGAAGTGTATCCGGCTGTTAGGAGAGAGATCGAGGTGGGGAGGCCACGTCCGAATGCAAACGGCATCATGACTTCATCCTCGACGGAACTACTCGAGAAACTTAGAACGCACAATGCTTCTTGTCTCGCTACTAGCAGCTTGCTAAGGCTCTAGCCATGAAGACGTATCCAGCGCGCTGTTTGCGTATTTTCCTAGTCGTCTTCGATTCATTTGTGATGATGTCAAAACATTTGCTGCCGATCAGAGATGGATCTCACAATGCCAAGCGGTCCGAATCATGCCACAGGCACCATCCGACCATCTAGCCACCCCTCTCGGCGCCGTCCTTCAGTCCATCAATGTCTCTGACCACGAACCGGATTTCTGGTTGAGCGGCTACGGCAACATCGAATCGCAGCCTCGCCAAGCCTATCGATCGAAAATTACGTGCATCCAACGCATTAACAGCCAAGGGTCGTAGCCGCTGGCGGCAACACCCATAGAACTCCACAAATTTTCCTTTGGACGGCCAAAAATGGCATACGATCACGACCCTCTCATTCGATTTCCTCCTCTCCCCCATCTTCATTTCTAACCCTCAACCTTCCAAATTCCCCTCAACCGACCTCTTTTAAAGATGTTGGGATATCCCTCCGAGTTCCCAGACCCCAGCAATTACCCACGCGCCCGGAACTTCGTAAAAAGGCGAATTTGAATCTCATCTCGTGTTCCCCCAGCCCAATATATTTTTCAATCAATCGCACTTCTTTCTGTATCCCTCTATATCTCCATTCCGCATAGTCTGACCGAACTGCCCATCCATGCCCCAAATCACCCTAATACCTGTTCAACCCTACTCTGAACTCCAGGATCCCTGCCCCCAATCTCCCCAAGCCGAATACCCGCCAAGCCAAATACCCGCCGAACCAACCAAACCGCGTACCCCCTGTCACAATTTTTGTCTCCACCCTGACCCTAACCCGAACCAACCGAGTTTCCCACTCGACAAAATCGACAGCTAAGCAATGGATAACGCCCCGCGTCCCAAAACGCCGTTACACAAGGCTCGTCCCGCCTCTGGTAACCAGTCTTGTGTCGAAGAAGCCCTTCGCCCATCGAAGCGCAGCGTAGCGCTTGTGTAAGTCAGACAGGATTCGAAATCTGGTTGAAGGACGTTGGCCTGGGAGCGGGATCTTGTGGCCTGGATAGACGCTTTTGATCCAATAGTTTGTCATGTTCGCTTTCTACTAGCGGTGGAGGGAGGGCTGGGTTACTTCCCGAAAGGTGGACTGGGATGTGCGCTGAGGGGGATCGCATGGCATCTGATTATTCTGGCGAATCTGATGGTATGAGAAAATGTTTAGCCATCTGCGCTGGCCTACAACATCGTAACAAAGCGCGCAACATTCTGTTCGATGTTGACTACGTTGCATTATAATCAGATAAATCTGAAGAATCAGATCGTGGCTCAGCTCCTCAAATCCAGAGTGCGTGTCCCTCAAAACCCTCGCTTCCATCGTCCCTCACACACGCATACACAATCAGATATATCTGCGGAATCAGATCGTAACAGCATCGTCTAGAAACCCACAATGAACGCGTAACCCACGTCCGGATCCTATGGCTGCCGGATCATAAGCCCATGCACTGTGCTGCGCGGCGTCTCGTTTTGCTGATGGGCGTTAAGGAAATCCGTGAGAGAAAAACTTCCACGGAAAGGATCTCGCTAAAAACAGCTACGCCCGTCGTTGTACATTACCGACGGACAAAGAGTGTAACTACTAGAATAGGGCTGACGGGCGGGTGTGCAGATGCAGAGCGTACAGTGTGTGCTCCTTCGGTGTGTGCTCGTTCAATGTGTCTGTGATATTCTGTCTCGCCTCGGTCGGCGTGTCCCACGTCTCCTCCTCATCCGTCTGTCTCGACGGCGCTATCCGAAGGCCCGCAAGTGCGATGCAGATTTCAGACACCCATAAATTTTGAACGTGCATGTGAGCATGTACGAATAGAAGATTAAGAACCGAAATTCTGATTGATTTGGTATCGCAAATTAACTAAGTAGGTAGGTAGGTACGTCTGGAGAGTCTATCTATTTTAGTTTCCCCTAGGGATTGGGATGCTGGATACGGTACTCAGCGAATACCGTCGGTCCGCCCGAATCCTCATTCTGGACTCCCAAACGCCGTACCCAGTAAGCCTCAGTGGGCGGGGAATATGCAGTGAACGCCTTTAAAGAAACACACGGGGACACATCGAAAGTGATAACAAAAAAAGGGAAAGAAAGAAGAGAAGAGAAGAGATTAGGTGCAACCTGCGGCTGCTTTGCCCATCAGGTTAACTTTGTAAATCCCGCGATTCTACACTTCCAAGAGGGGCCAGCCAGTGGGGCTGCCAGCCTCAAACCCGAACGGACTGGTTTGCCGCCTGCCCAATTACGGTGCGACGGCGGGGTATCAGCCGTTGGTGCTCTCGTGATATGTTCGCGAGAAAATGAGTGATGGTCAGATGCTGGTGTACACGTAATTTGGTTGAAACCAGGAAGGCAAGCTCAGCGCTTAGTGCTTGTCTATGATGCGGGACCGAAGACCCAGTATTGAGCAGCATAGGGGACCTCGAAGGTCTTCTTTTGGCCAGTACAGGCTGCTGGGCTCTTGCCTCCGGCAGTCTCCAGTCTGTAGACAGTGTTGACTCCGCCTTGGCTGCCGCCGTTGTCAACGAGTTGGAGCCAAGGGACCGCGCCTTCGCCTTTGGTGCCTGGGCAGGAAGTTGAGGGTGCGTCCATGGTGCCGTTCTTCTTTCCAAACACGAGCGGGAAAGGCGTTGACTGAACTTTGCTCAGAGAGAACGTCGGTATCTTGACTGTGAAGAAGTGGTTGCCAAGGACTTTGCTATATCCTGACATCTGGAGATAACCGTCGAGCAGTTTCGTATTTGATGAGAGTGAAAGCGCAAGTCCGGAGATAGAGGCCAACTTCCATTGGGCCATTGGGTCGTCGTTGAGACGAGTTCCCAAATCGTACAGCGTTGCTGTCAGTCTGTTAGCGCAAATTCATAGAAAATGAGGAGTGAAGCATACCAAGTGCGCCGGTAGTGCCGACTGGGGCCGTGTCATTGTCGCAAGTGTAGTTCTGAGTGCCAATACCGAGTCCGACGAACTTGAGCTGCAGGCCCGTTGGTGGTGGAAGCGTGGTTGCCGGCATCTTGAGCTGGAGTTTTGAGAGAGCCGGGGAACGAGGTTTAGGCTGTCCTCCATAAGGTGATTTCCATGGTGCACCGGTGACGGTGGACGCAAAGATTGAGAGGGCCAAGATGGCGGTGGAGATTGTCGAGGACAACATCTTGAAGTCTTGAGGTGATGAAGGAAGGAATTAGGTTGGGAGGTGGAGCAGATAAGGTTGGTGAAGGAACGACGTAGGGGCTGGCAGTCGTAGGTTCTTATGTCGACGGACACGAGACCTCGTGGATAGGGGTGAACGTGGAATAGTGAGAGAGGAGGAATGAGGAGGAAGAATTTTATTTCGGGTGATAGGGTGTGTATATTTGGAAGGAATGATGGTGGTGACGGAAAGGCACGGGGAGGGGTAGGCGAAAAATAAGGAAGCAGCGCAGGTGAAAGAAGAAGGAGGTTGACGTGTGACGGAGAGTAGCGGTCTATACACCACGCGCCTTCTGGTTCCCAATGTCGAGGCTGGAGAGAGTCTGTTGTAATGCGCTCTCTGGCCGTGGAGTACAGGGCCTTATAACTTTGACAGCTAGTCTCTGGTCAAAGTGGAAACCCTGCAGTAGTTTTGCCCGTTGAACCAACTTGCGGCCACGGAGTCGACATCCCGGTCCACGCGCCATGTGCATGCACCCGACCTCGAACTCGACCGCGTCCATGCCCTTGAAGCGACATGCATGGCCAAATTGGTGAGACCGTGAGATAGATTTAGAAGTGCAGGGATGGGTCTTCACCAGATGGCGCCATGCCGAACTGGCTAAAGCGCTTGGGCGCTGATACGTGGACAAAGCGATCGGAGACAAGGTCAAGCCAGCAGGCGGTTCGGGAGAGGGTGCCCTTTCTCCCAACCCTCGACTGAGCCGCATGAATGCAGCGCTACTGTCGTGGAAACCCTCTATTCGCACAAAAGTGCCGTGGGAGTCTTCAAGAAATGTTGGACGTTCTGCTGAACCTTCAGTCCAAGGAGAACCGGACGAGCCAACCCGCCAACCCTCTTGTCAGCTCAACACCTCCTCGATGCCATCAAAAGTTTCACCATGGCCCTCCAAACGACACTGAAAATCCAAAACGTTTCCGTCAGGTACCTGCATGGAGGAAGGCCGGAGGACTCTGAGAGGGTCAAAGCGACGAGGAGGTCGGGAGGTCGTCCGAGCGCCCTTCATCCTTCAACCGTCCCGTTGTTCGTGGGGTGGAGCTGAGGCCGTGCACTGCAGATGCCATCTCACAGTGCAGGCAAATTAACCTAATACGGTCTGAAATAACACCTAATGGCCCGATTATGGCCTCAGCTCTATTGAAATACCCCGCTTCGGGGAGGATTGCAGGCTAATTAATCGCGCAGCCACCGATATTAACGGATATTGGATGGGCGAGTCGAGGCATCCGACAGGGTGGATAAACGCATCCTTCGCGCTTCTAAGCCAGTAAGGGAAAGCTCACATGAGAAATTTCACGGCCGACAGCGTCAGATTGGGAGAACAGACGACGCGGCGCTGACTCGACTTCCTGGATTTCGGAATCATCCAGATGAGAAAGATCTCTTGACTGCTTTGATTATATTGAAATTGCGGAGAGAGCCAGATCCGAATGCACACCCATTCCACGCGAGACGCCTGCACACTGCAGACCGTAAAGATTTGAAAAAAGATGTCTAAGATTTATTTTCGCCGCAGTGGGGACGTCGAAGACGGAAGTATTAGCTCCATTAGCCTGCTGCAAGCATGGTGTTGGCTCCGAATGTGACTTAGTGGACGCCATCAACCTTTCCTGAAGCCTACAGAAATTCCCGCCGGAAGAGGACGCATCGCAGAATCTGTTTAGCGAATTTGCGCCGGTCAGCAACATGAAAGCCTTCTTGATTCAAGTTGACAGGAAGTCGTGATTTGTTTGGCGACTTTCTTTTCGCTAGCAGATGGTCTGGTTAGAGATCCCGTGCTCGGCTGTTTCGAAACCCCCTTGAGCGCAGAACAAGCCTTGTGTCAGAGGCGCAAACAGACGAGTGACGGTTTCAAGAAGTAGCTCTGCAGATTCTGATACAGGTACCATCGCCCGAAGGCATCTTCGATGCCCGTTCGAGGAGGCGTCTTGCCGTTTTGGCGTTGGTGAACGGTGCGCATCCCCAAGTGAATGCCCAGATGTGATGTAGATGCTGGCATTGCGTTTGCTGTCAGCACGGGGCCTCTCCTCAAACCTCTTCAGCTCCTGCAGATTGCACCTTCCGACACTGTGACACCCACTGTGACTATCGGGTATCGCTGGCCTGAGGCACATGCGACGGGAAGAGTTCAGTCTTAACATCCTGAAATATCGATGGATGCCGGAATGGCACCATGTCAATTCATCCTCCTTCACCCTTACCGGCAATATGCGGACTCAGCCTTATCTGTTGATGAATGCTGGAGGGAACTTTGTGCGGCGTGCCGGCGTTCGTCTCTTGAGTCGCATACAGGACGCGACGTTCTCCTTGCGTTTCATGGCTCGCTTTGTGCGCTGTTTGGTTTCTCAGCCTTGTCTGCGCTCCGTGCGGGCGAAAAATAGTTCGTGCAGAGATACGAACATGTTAGTTGAAAGCTAAGTCGAACGACATGCCATCGCATACTGCATGCGCGAAACATGGCACACGAGTGAAGGAATATGTCGAGGAGAGGGAGCTTGCAAGGCGTCCAGAGTCCAGGGTGTTGGAAAGAAAAATTCGGGCTGTCAGCATCGTTAATGCCGGATGCGGCTAGAACCAGCCGGGAGACGGTTCGACATATGCACTTCACGACTCTTTGCACTTTTTCGGCCGACTAATCGACGAGACACATCCCTTAGCTCTTGGTTCAGCATTATTTTCAAGGAACCCACCCGCCTGCCAACCCCTTGGGCTTAAAAGTTAGTTGATCAGAGACGAAGATATTCCGAAGCCATTGGGCTAGCCACGAACTTCTCGCTTAAACAGAGCTTTACGTCGTCTCCAAAGTCTCACCGAACTTTCATCTTTCTGTTGTCCCCTTCCAGTTCAATATCTCAAGTCTCCAACCTACGGTTACCTTACAATACCATACTCTCATCAATACCATGAAAGTCATCGATACACTTGCCGAGGCGTACACGTCTCGGAACAACTAGACAGTGGACTATCCAACTATTCTTAATCAGGAGACGTTCTGTCCGATCGTGATTTGTGACTCGTGAGCAAAGCTCCAAATGTATGAAGTTATGTTCTATGCTAAGCTAGAGGCGACATTCTTTCAATACCTTCACGACTTCCCAATAGAAGCTACGATGAAGATTGACAACGTAATCTGGAGTGTCCCGCTCGTGGTCTTGAAATTGTTGCATACCATCAAAACTTCCACTAAGGCATTTTCGTACAGCGTCCATATACTTTTGCCCCATTGACACTCCAAGAAGAGAGACCTTTCTCTCCAAGAGACGTTCGCGAAAAGCATTCCCATTCTGCCCATGCTGGTAGAAGCTCTTTAGTGTGCACCATGTCCCAATCTCCAGGAGAATGGCTCCTAAGCTATAGATATCATAAATGCTGTGGTATGGAGAGATTGGTGCTCCTGCAAGACCTTGAACATCTGGGTGGCGGTAGATACCAGTGTCTAAGTCTGGAAACATGTTGTCTGATTGGGCTCCAGGGTCATCCGGCCGGGCCAAAGCAAAGCCAGTAAAGAAAGGATGAGCTAGAGGTAAGGGTAGGGCTGGATTCGTGCTTTGTTCCTGTGTGTGGGAATTCCCGGTATTAGGCTGGTGGAAAAAGAGCACATTATGAGAGTTAATGCTCTTGTGCAACCAACGGCTAGCATGAAGTTCATAAAGGGACTCTGAGAGGAAGCCTGCCAATTTGAATCGATCCCCAAGGTATGGAAAATTTTGTTGGTGGATGATTTGGAAGAGTGTCTTTGGCACATAGGAGCCTTGTTCCTGCATGTGTGGCTGAGGGTAGCGAAAGACAATCCCAAACCTTGCACTGGAGTTGTCCTCCAAATAGCCAAGGCAGTCGAGGATCCGAAAGCCCGGTGGTTTTGGACCCTCTTGAAGCATTCTGGTTAGAGCCTCCACTCGGAGCTGCAAGGCGTTTTTGAAGGGTCCAGACACTGTGCGGGGATTGTATGGTCGCCATTCGAGTACTACTTGGGTTGGGCCGTGCCCAGGGTAACCTGGCAATTGAGCCCAGGAGCGTCGCTGCGGTGTATCATTTTTTAGTCCAAGAATTTGGAATCGACGGTAGTCCATGTACAGGTTTCTGGCTGGTGTGAATTGAGCTAGAGGCGGATTTGGCCCACTTTCAGCAGCAGAGACCTGTGTTCCACGAATGAATGCTGCCGATAAAGATGCCAGCTCGCCGTTTCCCAGTGTCTGTAGACCGCTAGGTGCTGGGTGCTGGGTGGTGGCCAAGGCTTGCTGTAGAGCCTGGACGCCCTGCCAACCATCATTGACAATGGCGAGGGCTAATGCTTCAGCGTCAACAGCTGCAGTTTGCGAAGAACCTTGGATGAGAGGGGAGAACTGGTAGAGGGCATCATTGAATTGAGTGAGCTGCTGGACCAGGCTCGCGAATCGGACGTTATCATGAACTGCCCATTTCAGCCTGCGGAATAGCGAACAACTCTTTTGGACTCGGAAAACTAAAGTCGCTTGTCTGTTGATCTCCCGTCTAGATATCCTTGATTCGTCCATATTAGGCTCAGGTATTCGCAGAAGTCCATAGTAGCTTCGGAGCTTGCTCACATCCTGAAGCAAATCCGTTATTTGCATCAAGGTGGAGACAACCATTTCGTAAACAGGTTGAGACAGTTTCTCGGGAGTTACCCCATCACGGTAGATGTCGGAATTCTGTCCCCAGACCAGAAAACGCGTAAGTTGTAGTTTGAATAGCCAAAAGGTAGTGCTTAGTTGCTTCCCTGTCGCACCAATGTCCGAAATAGTGTTATACGCCAGTACACAGCTGCTGAATGCTTGAGCAGGAAGCGTCAGAGTGGCGAGAACAAGCCCCGCGGCGCTGAGGGGGTCTGCCATGAAGAGAAAATTTCCGACCTGTGAATACTTGGTGGGGAGAAAAATCGTGAATTCTCCCGCCCGCGCAATCCATTCGATTTCTGTAGGCTTTAATACTGCTTGACAAGGTTTTCGGTTCATATGTACCACTTTGCTTTCAGACGAAGTCCCAGGCTGGAGAAAGTATCTTCACCAAGCGCCCGCCACGGAAAAGCAAACTTAGAAGGTCCATGGCGCCCTTCACTGGCTAGAGCCTACCTCCGCTCGGCAACATGATACACGTCCTGCATGCCAAGTCGCATATGTGAACAAATTTCTTTTGCAGAGAGCGAAAATCTGGAACGAGTGTCCAAATGCGGCCTCCCAGTATTCGAAATTGGCGTAGCCACCCAGTGAGTGATAATCGTGGGCGAGAGGGCGTCGATAAGGTGGTGGCTGATGGTCAAGCCGATGCATGCCGCTAGGACGTAAAGGGAATAGACTGCATACCTGCTTCAACTACCATGCCGCCTCAATAAGTCAGCCGTCAGTTGTTTCTTTGCCCAAGACGAGCCCTGGGGTCCGTGTGTGGACTCCGCTCTTCGCGGAAGCGGCGATCTCATGTACTCGACCTCACCCCTCACATCGCCAGGAGCTAAAGCTCATACAAGCCTTTCAATGACTCTGTCGATGTGATGAACTCAACACCATTGTTTGGCATTGGGTCAGGGGCGCAATCAACAATCCTTCCAACTCCACCACTGTCCCAGACCGTTATCTTGCCCGCGCGTCAAGCTGAGATCCAGGTACCTTCCAATTCTCAACTTCCCCCACTAGTTCAAATCCTAGACATCTTCTTTCGCCAAAATGCAACTGGCCAATTTTTTTCGGGAGCGACCGCGATGAACGATGCGCAATTTACTGGACAGAGACCGATTGTGGGTGTGGGTCATCATTTTGTCGTTTACGCAAGTCCCTTTGCAAAGCTCGATACGACCCCAGAACGTGTCGCCAGAGTAGGAGGAGAAGTCTACTGCATTAAATCGCCGAATCTGGATCGTGGTCTCAATGAAAAAGGCTTCCGAAAAGAATATTATCATACGGTCTTGGAGGAACTCCGAGTTCTGTCGCACCCTAGTTTAATCAACCACGAAAACATCATCGGACTACTTGGACTCGACTTCTTGGAAGACTACGATGACTTCAGACTTGCATGGCCGCTTCTCTTGGTAGAATACTCTGAATTCGGTACCCTTGATGCATTTCAAGAAGATCTCGGCGGACTCCAGCCAACGTGTGTAAGGAACCTGTTATTGGACATCGCGATTGGTCTCCAAACTCTCCATAATTGCAATATTATTCATGGTGATGTGAAGTCCGAGAATGTCCTCGTATTTGGGCACCCAATTCGACAGTATGTTGCCAAATTGTCCGACTTTGGACTGGCCGTTGTTAGTCCATCCGCAGCAGAGCAACATTATTTGCCAGGTTGCACTTGGTTATGGAGCGCCCCAGAAGCTCAGCAGAAGCTATCCGTTTTGGGCATGCAGCTTACGGACGTGTATTCGTTTGGACTTACAGCGTGGAGGGTCTTGATGAATTGCCAAGACCCCTTTCAGTGGATATCGCGAAACCTGGAGGCTCCGAGCAATCAACATCAGTTCGTACAGCAAATGAAAATGTCGCCGGCATTCCCGCAAGCGGTTATCCAATCGCTTTCAGGCCTGGGAAATTCCGGATTCGCTCGCCAGGTCATTGTCGCAACGCTTAGCCTAGAGCCTACTGAACGAAGCCTTGAGTCAGCTATACATGCATTATCAGATAGTGGCTTTGGCAGAAGTGATGCGTAAGTTCCCCTTACACACGTAGTGTAGACTTTCAGCTTACCAGGAGGGAATTAGTGCAAGTGTCAATCCTTCACGTGACCTGAGTGAAAACACCCAGCAAATTTGGGAGCCAGAAAGTCCTGAGGCCGTTGTAAGAACTGTAAGCTTAACTGCTCAGCATGTTCTTAGGATAACTCTAACGTATTTGTAGTTGACCAATGTGTTCCCTTGGGATTTCTTGACACTTCAATCAAGGCCATCCGTGATATTTTCACTTTTGGAAGATTTGGAAGCTATTATGTCTTCAAACACCCCTGCTGCCCTTCCAGCTGCAACAATTCACTTCAAACTCATCACTACCCCTGGTATACAATTAGGCGACAAGAGTGTTGCGAACCAGGTTCGGATTCTTCACAGATTATGTGACCTTGGCTCACAGTCTCATCGAGCGATAGCCCATATCTACTGTAAATTGAACAAACAAGCCCTACCAGGATGTTTTAGCACATCTTGGCTGGAAGAAGCGGCCTGGGTCGGCTCTTTCTCTGCTCTGCACACACTCAAGGTCGACTTCCCTGGAGATTTCCATGAGTGGGAACGGAAAATAGAAGACAATGCCTCAAACTCAGCCGCAGGAAACATAGGAAACTACGACCACATGCTTTTGGCGTATTGCCGGACTGGAAACCTTCCCCAGTGCCACGCAATGCTGGACGCTGGAGCGTCTGCCCTATCAGATTGGGATGAGCCAGGTGCTCTACATTTCCTTGCCGTGCACCGAGATGCCGATCTATCCACTCTTACAGATCGACTAATTGATGCCGGCGCCGCGTTGGATCACTGGGAAGGAAGCGAAATGGATGACGACTTTCTCCTGGGGAGATGCTCAGGCACTCCAATGCATTGGGCAGTCTTCCACCAAAACCTAGCGTTTATTCGCGTATTGGCGCGACGAGACAAAAGCGTTCAAGAAGCAAATCTTAAGAGAGCTTTCTTTATAGCCGCTGTTATGAACTTCCACGACGTACTGGAGATCTTGTGGGATTGGGCTATGGATGGGAATTACAACGTGCCGACTGAGTGGGTCTCTACATTTCGCATAGTTGCTGCTGCACACCTGGAGCATCATCTACCAAGACTTCTACGACATGGGGATAATGTCGACATTGCCATGAGTCAGACGTTCGAAATCCTCTTTATGATGAGTTCTCCGTCTAAGCCGGAGTGTTCTTCCTGTATCGACCTTTTAAACCTAGGGGTTATCCACAATCGCACTGGTTTTGTACAGTATCTGTTGCGCAGATTCGATATCCCAAAGACGATAAGCATACCCCACGAGAAAAAGGACGTCTTTCTCTCTTATGCTATTCTTAGTGGTTTCGTCGACATGTTCGAGTTATTCTACGAGTACAAACTTTTCAGCCTAGATCACCGCTCTAGTGCAGACAAATTTACGGGCATTCAAATGTGTCTTGCAGCTCGCCAACGCAATCCAGTCTTCGTTCGTCGTTACATTGAATGGGGCTGTAGTGTCGATGAAATGGGAGACAGCCAAGTTGCTGAGTGGACCCCATTTACTATGGCCGTTCAATGCGGCTTGTACGATATCGCAAGCATGCTTCTTCAGCATGGAGCTGATAAAGATGCTACAACCGGCTGGCTAGGTGGCACAACGCCCCTTTTCCACATACTTCACGCATGGCCCGACGTACCGATTTCGCGCGTAAAGTACCTACTGGAAGATCTCCCTCGACAAGGCTTCGGACATGTCAGCTTCATCGGATGGCCCGCAAACGGGGCAAATATACTGTATTGCTTCTCAATGGCTGTCTGGTCACATTATCGCAACAGCTACAAGTTTAGCGAAACAATGAAATTTGTTCTGAGTATGATGGGGGATAAAACGTGTATCAACCAACTTGACCGTATCGGTTGTACTGCTTTGAATCAAGCTGCACGTTCAGGAAATCTCGAGGTTGTAAGAGTGCTGATTGAGGCGGGTGCAGATGTTAATGGCGGTCTAGGCATCGCACCACTCGATGCCGCCTTGGAATGGAGAGACAAGTGGGCTAAGAAGGAGCGGGAGGCAATGAAGCGGCAGGTCATTGGAGAGCGGCGTCATGCGACGAAAATTCGGGAACGAGCCGACGAGTTGATACATCTACTGCAACTTAATGGAGCTCAGGAACGGGGTGTTATTGAGAATAATCAGATGATGATGTCCACAATCACAAGCGGGAACTACAAGCTCCCAAGCATGGAAGTAAGTAGCCGCCCACAAGCGAAGGGAGATTGCCGGCCCTTGAGCTAAGGCAAAGCTAACCACTGTAGATGCTTTTCGAGATGGCGTCTGTCCTGTTTGACAAGTCAAGCACAGTCAATCAGGGCAGCATCAAACCGCATCCAACAAAAAGAGACGACTTCACCGCCCACCACGGGATTACTAACCGCACACAAAAGGCTTTCCGAATGTTCGGACGAATGATTGATCAAAGTCTAGGTAGTACCTCAAACGTAAGTATTGTGTATCAATAATTTATTCACGGCCAACCAGCTGAAATTGTCAATGCAGCCACATCCTCGTTTCAAATCACGACAGAAAATAGTTGTGACACTTTACTGCCCTCATTCTTGTCACCCCTGGCTTCCATGCCAGTTTGCTAACGGGTATGACCCACAAGGTGGTAATCAAGGGTCTTCTCCGTCTACCAAAAGCAACGTGTCACAACCTATTTCGCAGCTGCACATTCTGCAATCACCAGGGAGACAAAATGATCAATGGAATTCCAGTACTAGTACTCTGATTCCATCCCCACAGAAATCGCAGCCACTCGCTTCACAGAGTAATCAAAACCAACAGGTCCGTCCTATAACAATGCCTGGCATGCCAACCATGCCCATAGTAAGTCAAATTAGCCCTGGCCATGGGTTTCCTTTACTACCAGCCCGCCAGTCAGGCTTTCACAGCGAACTAAATCGGCCAAATACGCTCCCCAGTATGTCAAGCATGCAAATTTTCAGTGAAGTAAATCACCTACCTTCCGGAACAACCGACTCATCCCAGACTGCACCCTCTCCACAATGGCATCCTCCTATCGCCGTCTCCCCGCAGCACCAGCCCCCGTACCAGAGTCCTAACCACCGAGCATCATTGTCACCACCTACCCGCTCCTCAGAATTAGTCATTTCCCGGCTCCGTACAAGCCTTACCTCCATCCGCTCGCCTTCCTCCCTATCTCCATCTTCCTCCACGGACGATCTTTACTCCTTAGACCCCCCTTCAAACACCCAGCCCCCTCTCGACTCAATTGGAGCTCGATCGCTCGAGATCCTGCGCTCGGAATTCTCGCAACCAATTCAGTTACTTTATCGCGCTTGCGGCGTCGAAGAAATAATAGATATCGCACTCATTGAGTCTACGGTAGCGGATGCATTAGGTGCTGACTTGATGAGGGAGTTGAAGATCAGCTTTGTGCCGGAGCTGCAGAAAGATGGGAGGGAGCTTTGGATGCATTTGTGCTGTGTGGTTATTCAAGAGAATGAGTAGTACTAGGCGTTTCTATTGCACGGTTAGTTATGGAGCTGACGGATAGAGGACATATAGAGTTCGGAGTATTCAATTAGGTGGTGAGAATCAAACTAAGTAGATTGAGCGAATGTGCGAGGCCTGACGTTTTGTCTAAAGAGCGAGAGAGAGCTCTGGGGCGACTATATAGTGGATAAAACAGCGCCAGTCCTCACGAGGCATGCTCTAGCCCTAAACAGGAAACTGGCGTCCTACTGGACGCAGGGTCACGTGAATAAAAGTCACGTGCGAACGTTTCCAGAGTAGGCCAGTGAACTACGACACAGAGGGAAGCAACTTTCATGTTAGCATCAAGTAGCCTATATTTTTGCACCCCCGTTATAATATTTCCGTATATATAGTAGAAATGCTGTTTTATTAATCTCTCCAGGGGCTTTGAGTATGTACTCCCTGAATATAAGCCATACTTAATGCAGCTAAAGCGAACTCGCCAAGCCCTCGTATGTTCCTCGCAACGTACATCCTTTCCACTATTTCTCATCTCACAGCCTGGTCTGTGTTCGCGCCCATACATTTCATCAAAATCAAGCAACCCTCCGCCTTGAGAAGAGATCTCCGTTTCGTGATTCCGATGAAAGGTTATGAAATGACGCACTTTCCACCATCACAAATTTTACTATTCTTCAGCTCAGTAAACACTCACATAATCCTCGCATCGTCGATGAACTAAGACGCGATGTTGAAGGGATTTTTCCTTGGGCTGGCTGCCTTTGGGGCAGTAGTCCTTGTACGTTGGCCCCAGCGGACAAATGGCAACGACACTGAAACCCTGTTCCTAGGCTATCCTCCTGTATGGGGTTTACAATACTTTTATACACCCACTGCGTAGCTACCCAGGGCCGCCGCTTTGGAAGGCTTTCAGACTCCCCTACGTCATTTCAATCCACCGAGGTGACATGCACCGGCGGCTAAAAGAATTCCACGACAAGTATGGACTCATTGTTCGGATTGCTCCAAATGAACTTTCCTACGCAGATGGCCGAGCATGGAAAGATATTTACGCGAACCGGCCAGGTCATTTACCGTTCAAACGGAATCCGACATGGTTCCAGAAGCTGAAGGCCGATGATCCGAAGTCCATCATGGGCCCTGACGAAGACGCCCACTCCCGAATTAGGAGAGCGTTTGCAAACTCATTTTCTGAGAAGAGCCTCAAAGATCAATCGCCCATAATTGAGAGGCATGTGGAAGGCTTCATGAATCAACTCAAATCTCCCACTTCAGGCAGACTATGGAAAGAGAAAGGTATTGATCTAGTCAAATGGCTCAACTTTCTAACGTTCGACATATCTGGAGACCTGTCCTTTGGAGAGTCGTTTGAGAGTGTTAAGAATGGCAAAGAGCATCCTTGGGTCGCCATTGCGCAAGATTTCGGCAAAGGACTTTCACTTATCACAACCGCTAATTTGTATCCTCCGTTGAATAAAATGCTTCGCTACATTCTACCGAAGAAGATTATTCAACGGCAGATTGATCACCGTGCAATGAGCGCAGCCAAGGCTCGGAAACGGCTAGCGATGGATACCGACCGACCCGATTTAGTGACTCTGGTAAAGAAATACAACGACAAGAAAATGGCTCTCAGCGATAAAGAATGGGAGATCAATATGACAATGATGATATTTGCGGGCAGCGAGACAACTGCCAGTGCACTCTCTGCGATATTTCGCGAACTAGCGCAGAGTCGTGGAGTTATCTATAGCCTGACTCAAGAAATTCGAGAGGCGTTCCAAGAAGAGAGCCAGATTACAATCGCGTCGACTAGAGACCTGCCATATATGAATGCCGTTATTAATGAAGGCCTGCGACTCGATCCAGCCGTTGTGGTTGGAGTGCCGAGGGTTGTCCCTAAAGGCGGCGATACAATTTGCGGGAAATGGGTATCCGAAGGGGTGAGTAGAGTATAGTTACTTTCTACCTTCTGAAGGCTACAACGAGGCTGATCAACTTTGCGGACATACGTTGCTTTCAACCAATTCTCAGCAAACAGGTTGGAGCGCAATTTCCACTATCCCAACTCGTTCATCCCTGAACGATTCTTGACTAAGAGCCTGGGGAGGGATGATTTATCAACCTTTCAGCCCTTCGGAATCGGTAGGCATTCGTGTATTGGAATGAAACTCGCATATGCCGAGATGCGTCTCATCATCGCGCGGTTGCTATACTCGTTCGATCTTACCTTAGCAGACGAAAAGGATCGATGGGATTGGGGGGGTCAGGCGACATACATGTTCTGGGTAAAGAGGCCATTGCAAGTCATTTTGCGTCGGAGCGGACGGACTTGAATAGGGTAAGGTTGACGAACAGGGACTATCTACTGGCCATCATCCTTTGTATTCTCAGACATCAATGAATGTGCACGAACTCGTCAGATTCTCAATTGTGCATCATTTAGCTTGATGGCTCGCTGATTAGTTCTGGTACATCGACAAATTTACCGCTCAGGAACGGGGGTAGTCCCATCCCCATCGGCTTATATTTTCCGCAATTGGTAGCTGCTGTGCGCTGGTACCCTTTCTTAACTTTCCTATTCTGCTAGATGCATAGTAGCTAGGAAAAATGGCCTTGTTAAGCCATATCTGGTAGCGAAGACTTATTCGAGGACAAGTATACTAGCATCGCAGAGGGGGTGTGACTCAGTGAAGTGATGTCTCCATAACTGTTGCGAAAGCTTGAGACGAGTCGCTCGGATCGGATATGCGTGATCATGCAATGTTAGTAATGATAGCGATGATAATTGAGTCATAGAACAACTCTGCGAAGGATTCGAACCAATGCTTCCGGTCAGTAGAGAAATGAACGTAAAGTAAATTGGATACCTGAGCTAATTTATTTCTTACCCCGCGTGTAAAAGTTCCCACAGTACCACGTACTGGACCTACCACGGAACCTCGATAGGGTCTGGTATAGGACAGAAGTTTGCATTTCCCTGCGTGTCTTTTTGATTCTTGCAAGAGAGCAAGCATATCTAATCTTCCCTGTTTATGTTTCCCAGTCTACTGGGAGGTGCTCTTCAGGAATTTCTGGTACTCTTCTATGTTTATTAAATATATGTCTATGGAATGCCCTTTCCAAATATATGTTGCCAAAATCCTCAAAAATATAACGGCAAGGGTTGTCTTTACGTAGGACAGCGGGGCATTATGCAAAACTTGCTCTGGAGTAGATTTGTTGAACCTACCTATATACATGGTTTCGTCTCAACCACCCATCATCAGCACTTTTTATTTGGTAAACGCCAAATCCTAGAGAGATCTAGTATTAAAATTGGCGTCCACGTTCCTCAACAATTCTTCTGTTTTCTCCAGATCAACCACCCACACGCTAAAACTGCCCACCTCTCGCTCAACTGTTCCATAGATCTGCCATCCTCCCCAGATCACTCACCCACACACATATCAACAGTTTAGACACAAAAACCAACCATCCTCCGCACGCATATCCGTCTCTAGATCACCATCTGCACACTTCTAGCATCCACATTAAAACAACAACATCCACACACCATCAACACCCATAAAGGTCTGCAGACATGACGGATTCGCGGCAGACAAGCAACTTCAGCATTCCACTCACGGCAAAAGAGGCAGCGGAGGATGAAATTACGCCCATCCCCATTGCCACCGGCGAACAACCTCCAGTTACTAGTCGGACACGTGGCCTTGGCAAGGCGAAAGGTGTTCATACAAGCGTGAAACGCGTCCTCAGTAATGAGGACGCCTTCGAAAAGACTGCCTACGCCTGGTCGACATGGAAGAAGTGGATTCTTCTTACCGTTGTGGCCCTCTGTCAGACCAGTATGAACTTCAACACCGCCGTCTACTCCAACGCCGTCCCCCAAATCAACGAACACTTCGGCATAAAGAATGCTCGAATGGGAATGGTGGCTTTCCTCGTTGCCTACGCCTTTGGCTGCGAGCTTTGGGCCCCGTGGTCCGAAGAGGTTGGCCGATGGATCATCATGCAACTGTCTCTTGGCTTCGTCAACGTCTCGATCATTATCTGCGCCCTCGGCGTTAACTTCCCTATGATCATCGCAGGCCGAGTCATCGGTGGGCTGTCCTCTGCAGGTGGATCCGTTACTCTCGGCATGGTTGCTGATATGTTTCACCCCGAAGAGCAACAGCATGCTGTCCTTTGGGCATCCCTTTGGTCCTGCCTTGGCGCCGTCATCGGTGGAATATGCGGCGGCCCGATCCAACAGTATCTGACTTGGCGTTGGAACTTCTGGATTCAGCTCATTTTCACCTGCGCCACTCAAGTCATCCACTTCTTCATCGCTAAAGAAACCCGTTCGACGGTCATGCTCGACTGGGAGGCCAAGAAACAACGGGAACAAGGCCACGAAGTGTATGGCCCGAATGAAGTGAAGGACCCGAAAGAGCGCTGGAATCCAAAGGAGATCTTCAAGACGATGTGGCGGCCATACGAAATGCTCCTGTTCGAGCCTATCGTTCTCTTCCTCTCCCTTCTCAGCGGATTCGCTGACGCACTCATCTTCTCTTTCTTCGAAAGTTACGGATACGTGTTTGAGCAGTGGGACTTCAACCCAACACAAATCAGCCTTGCACTTCTCCCACTTGCTGGCAGCTATGTGCTGGCCTACTTATCGTTCTTCCCCATTGTCAAACAACATAACACCCGACGACGCAACGGCGAGACACTCAGCCCCGAAACCCGTCTCTGGTGGCTTCTCTTCCAGGTCGTGCTTTTGCCACTTGGCCTCCTTGGTGGAGCTTTCGTTGCCACCGGCCCGCCACTTCATTGGAGCGGCGTCATCATCTTCTCAATACTCGTCGGTATGGCCAACTACTCCATCTACTACGCCACCGTGGACTATATGGTCGCCGCATACGGCGAGTACTCAGCTTCAGCTACCGGTGGGAACGGCTTTGCCCGCGACTTCCTCGCTGCCATGTGTGCTCTTTACACGGGGCCAATGTTCAAGAAGTTTGGGATTCAGAGGACCAACATCTTACTTTTTGGCCTCGCTCTCGGCTTCTGTGTTCCCGTTTATATCTTCTACTTTAAGGGCCCTGAGATCAGGAAGCGCAGCAAGTTTGCCTCGGAGCTGGCGGGTAAGAAGGAGGAAAAGACAAACGAGAAGAACACCGCGATACAGGAAGAGCGAACCCGTCAAGGAAGAGTCTTTGAGACTGTGGAAGTTTGAATAGCGAAGTCTTCAAAGGAGAACTGCCTACTTGGGTGCATGTACTTTGAGATGAGATAATGATGAAGCCATGGCGTTATATTTCTTTGGGAAGCAGTTTGAAGAAAACTCGCAGTGCCTGGATACATTTACTTCAACTAGAAGGAGGGGAATAAGGAGCCTTGGCGTTTGGTTATTATTTGAGAAGTTGCTTGAGCCTCATATACCCCAACGAGGTGAAGTCCTGTTGCATAATCAACAATCGATGAGCTTTAGTCCCTCTCCATCTGTTTTCGCATAGGTGAAAGTGACATGATGGTACCTCGAAAAATGAGGCCATCAGGCTTCAGAGCGTGCCAGAAAAATTAGCAGGGAGTATTTGATAAATCGAACCTCTTGCAAGGATTAGGAAAGCCTTAGCAGAATGTACATCTGCCATAAACTTCATATGGTGTGTTCTATATGATTGACAAGATACAGAAGACTCGACGGATCTGGGAGAGCGACACCCCCCTAGACGCTAAGGCACCACTCTCCATTCTGGTTCAGCTTTCTCTGCGCTCCTCCCTCTTGCGCCTATCCCTTGTGCAATGGGCGAACGTTCGACTCGATAACTCAACTACTTACTCTTGTCTACCATTATATTTCGCTCACACAATGGTCGTAATGACAGGGGCACAGTCCCATCGCTATGGTTGCACTAATCTAGTAACGTGAAGCCATCTTGCGTTCATTGCCTAACCCTTTCCATTGACACCATGTCCTTCCGGTTCTCCGTCGGCGATTTCACCGCGGTTGGCAAAATCATTGCTGATAACTCTAGTGCTCTACAATCTTCGAGTGGGTCAAAAGAAGAGTGCGAGGAAATGCAGGGGGTTGGAGAGCATCAAAGAGATTTTTCACCAGATCAACAAGTTGGAAACAAGAGTCCCATGTTCTACCAACGTAGTGGACAGTAGGTGGTGCGTTTCGGTCACATGAACCTACAAAATTAGAAACTTATTTAACTATTTCGTACGTTATATAAGGCTGAGGTGGTTAACAGCAATTTAATTGAATAGGCTTTTGGGGTGTCCCTGTTCGCTAGAGCCTCCGCTATACGCAGCTTAGACGTAACTGTTAACGTGTTTATGTATAGTAGCATAGATCGGAGACTTTTGCAGTATCTTAGATAATAGTTGTGCGGGCACTGTAGACAGAAGCATGAAACGCAGAAGGGGAGTATATGATAGTATTGATAGAAAAATTATCGAGGAGACTCAGGGGCTCGAGAAAGGACATATATGTACCAAAGCACGTGACGGGACGTTCTGTGCCCGGGAAGAGTCCGAGGCGGGATAGTAGTAGTATATAGAAGTTAGTAGAATTATTTCTAAATAGTTGTATACAATTTACACTTTCTGCTGTTATTCTGCATAAACATGTAGCGCTTTATCTAAGCTAGTCACTTATACTAACACTTTAACTTTTAAGCTAGCGCTTTAAGCTTTAATATATTCTATTCTACTTGTTTTTATCATAATAACTAAAAGATTAAACTATTTTTATTAACGTCTCTCCCTAGGTGCCGAGACACCCCTGTACCGAGACGCATCCACGGTTTAAGCCTCTCAACTCTCTCCCTCGTGAATGTCTGAAGTCTCGGTTAGAATATTATTGTTATTCGTATAACTATCCTAAGAAATCTAGTCTACAGCTAGAAAAATGCCGTAGTGTTGGCCATACTCTTGATCTTTCTGTTCGCAGCATCTAAGCCAGCTTCAGTTTTGTACCCCTGCACTACTGCAGCCACCTACATAATTTTGAATTCCGCCACATTGGGGCGATATTTCTAATAAATAATGTTGCTCTTAGCTTTAAAGACACTTAGCCACCGAGGCTATATACTCCAGGTTTCTCTAGGTAAAGAACTAGGCGATGTGACTTGGCAGAAGGACTTTATGCGCTTACGGGGAGTTGTATTGTATTCTACGCCATTCCAGATAGAGTTAAACTGTGGAGTTCTTCTCGGACTTCCTATGGCTGTCACGAGCTGGCTATTTCCGAACCGGCGGAGCGTGTTGCACGTGGCATTAGTTCACGTGACTATGTGTTCGGGTGAATGTGGGTCCTTGACTCAAATATGTTTCCTATTGAGGATTAGCCTCTACCTAATTAGGACTAGCGTCATTTTATCAACCATTAAGTTTCAAAGCTCCACTGAGCTCTAGAAACCTTGCACCTCACCTCAATCTACCGAGTTTGTGTCTCGCCGCCTAACTGACTACCCGCAACTCCATGTGAGCCCTCCTCTATCAGCTATCAGCTTCATAACTAACCCTGCGATAGAGCGTGCTCTCATTGTTGCATCCAGCTGCTTGTTATATCCATAATCGCATCAACAAAATCACTCTTGAAAAAGATCACTTCTTTGAGCCACAATGGAGTTACAGATGCATTCTGCCCAGATTTGTTATTTTGTGGAGCTAGGAGGAGCACCAGAGGCATGAGGAACTGGATTGATTGCTAGAGGGGTGCACCTAGAGGTCTATATATGTGCAGGAAAAGGGGTAAGAAGCAAGTCGAGTGGAAACTGTGTAAGGCTGAGTGATGAAATATAACCTGTTGCTAAGGATATCGGATAGTTGACGATTTCATGAGTTCTCAAGCCGAGGCCAGCCCATATCCTCCTATCCTATATCGATCACATGCCCACAGTTTAGCATTTCCTAGCTTCATTGATAATAATGGGGAATACTACAATAGTTTCGGGTCAGACGAACACTTATCGGCGGAACATAAGTGCGTATCCGGCATGTATACCCCCATGTCAGCACCAGAGGACCTCTATACTACCAGGGAGCTTGTCAACGAAATCTCTAAGCACCTACGTAGACCCAAATCAATAAGGGAAAGAGATGCGAAGAAATATATCTTTCACCACTAGTCTCACTAAGCGGTGACTTCCTATGGACGACACACAATGCGTGTTAGAAAGGTTAGGACGCTATGAAGAGGCCATTGCCGGGGCTTGCCGTATTCGACACTTCTAAAATCCAATAATCTTATGGACGATTATGGCGTGTGAAGGATCTATTCGCATTTTTTGACAAAAATCCGAAGTTCCAGAGCCTGAAGAAGATCAATGAATATGCAGGGAAATGGGCCGCAAATGCGGATGAATACGTGTGCTAGGACATCATCCCGGGAGATGCACTTCTCAAATTCATACACTTTGAGCGCCTGGTGCACCAAGTGGAGGATGAACGCAAGCATGTTTTTCTGCGGTCTGACTTCATTAAAAGCATCTCTCTAGGCAATTTTAAGCGGGACTTTCGTTCGCAGACTTTGACTACGGATCAGTACACAACACGCGTTTCGAACTTCTTGATGATGCTCATGGAACACAACCACTTCGGCATAGACGATACCGCAGTCATTAAACATGCGGCGAAAATTTTTCAGAACTTGGAAAGTTGGGGCTACCATGTGGGCGAGGAAGGAAAGACCATTAAAGAAGCGCTTAGACGCGCTATTGCTGAAGAATATCTTTGGCGAGTGGCTGAATGGAAGGTTAAAACCGAAGCCGACTATTGGTCTTGCTGGAAGTCTGAAGCTCCTCAGGATCTTGTTCGAAAGATAGATAGTCGCATCGGACTGCTTCGAGCTGTACTCTGGCCGGGCGACGCCTTGTAACTGTAGAAATGAATACAATCAGCTACTATGGTTGGTAACTCAATTAGATCCAGCACGTTATTTTAGGGGGGAAAGGCTTCGCGTAGCTACAGATTTGTCAGTCACTATAAGCAAATTACAATTTGGTGATTACGTGGGACGTTCGGGGAGGTTTAGCACTAGCACAGGTACTGATCAGCGTGGCCATCTTGCATAAACTTAGTCCCCACAGCGGATGCAAAGCTAATCATGACTCACTACACTATTCTAAGGCTCTCTAGTTTGGGTAACATCCCTCTGTAAGTGCTGTGAGTGGTAAGAGCTTATAAGTAGTGCTAGAGCGAAGGAAGACTATCCTGTACCAAAATAAGGTTCTTTATAATTGGCACATGGAGCCATCGATGCAAAAGTAATTCTAGGTAGAAGAGGTCTTGAACATTAATGGATAGCTAGCGTACATGACGTATATAGAACTATTGTAAATATCCTGGTGTGCGAAGGAATCGAGTTGCTTGAATAAAGTCTCTTTGTCTCGATACGGAGGGACGTTTGTCACGGTTATGTCACAGCTATCCAACCCCTGAGTACTCTAAGGGCTTGGCACGGGGTATATAGGCTCCTCGGCCTCCGTACCTCTGCCTCCAACCCTAAGGTTTACTCTCTCTCGCTATACCCCCTATCCTGCATTCCCTCTTTGTACCTTGTGCTTCCTGCTAGATACCTTTCGCAGCGTTGCGCTACATAGAGAGGCACGTTATTCCCTTTTCATTTTATAAAAGCACCCTAGCGGTTATGGTAATCGCTGGTGGTTATTTAAAAAAGTATTATAATAATCTACTTAATTTCTAGAGTTTCCTTTTCTATTAGTTAAGTAGAATAATATATACGTGTAAGAGTAGCAACTAGAGCCAAGCTACTTGTAATGGGCTGTGCCCAATGGTATTAGCCAGAGATTCGCTAGCCGCGTTGAGAAGGGAATGGAGCGTACTGCTGCAACCTGCAGTAATATCCAGCAAACTGCAGTACACACCGGCCGTGTTGCAAGTGGCGTTACGCTAGCTTGTTGACAACGCTACCCCCGAGCTAGACTTAAGCTAGCTAGGTGTTGCGGTAAAAAGCCTAGTTCCGTAGTAAGGACACAGTTCTTCTGCTTCGTCAAATTCAACACTGTTATCAGGCATTTGCCAGCTGTGCCAAGCAATTTCACTACTTAGTTTCTATGTTAATCATGCTATCTAGCTCTAAAAAAACATAAGAAAACTATTAGCAGTAGTAATAAAATATGCTATTCTCTATATAAATGAAAGTGATTACTTAATGATTTATATATTTTTGTGATGGTTAAGCGTCAAAATAGAGCATGAAATACACTAGAAGGCAAGCTGAACTTGCTCTTTGGTGAGGGAATTGATTTAACGAATTCAGACTCCAAGATTGAGGCTTTTGAACCTAAAAATACTGCTGCTCTTCTAGATAGAATTTTGCTAACGTGCTCCTTTTTTGTTCAATGCCTTGCTACATTTGGCTGTCCCTTCCTTGTTCATTTGAGTTTGGTATGGACGCATCTAGTCGAGCTTAAGCCTAGCTGTTTCTCGCTGATCACCCTTTGTTCATTCTGGTCCCACAAGGACGCATCCGGTCGAGCTCAAACCTGCCTGTGACAGCAAGACCCATGAGCACCCACAAGCAGGCCAGATCAAGGATCTGGATGAGACCCTTTAGTACAAAGCGCCGCCTGCATACGTGTCCGGTAGAGCCGCATCTCGCTCGTTCCTTACAACCACAATCGTAGACATGGACTGAGTTAGTAAGGTCCTGGCAGCGCAATGCTTCCCTCCAGACGTACGTAAAACATATGCTGCCCTATCAGATTGGGGCGATGTCCCTCTCTCTACGCTCCACCATCGCGCATAGGGACGACCCTTGATAGAAGAAAAGGCACACAAACAGCAGTACATCACGAAAGAAGAAGAGAAAGCCCTTGTCACGTTTTTGCTGCTAATGTCTGATCTTGCACAATCTGTGCGAATAAAGTATATCCCTTCGCTAGCCTTTAGCATCACCCGCTGGCGGTCTAGCGCTACGACGGATACCGATACTGATAACGCGATCAAGTCTCCGGGCAAGAACTGGGCTCGATCGTTCGAGAAACGCCATCAAGAACTCAAAGCGAGGAGAGTCAGGGCGATAGACTGGAAACGTCATGGGCACAATACCTATCCGAAGATTGTTTAATGGTTCGAGGTGATTGGAGGCGTAGTAGAAAATCCGGCTATTCTGCCGGAAAACGTCTATAACATGGATGAAACAGGCGTCATGCTAAGCATGCTTGGCTCGATCAAAGTCCTTGTAAGCAAGAATGACCAGCGGAACTATAGAGGGGCCGGTGTTAAGCGGACAATAGTGACTGCAATTGAGTGCATCAGCGGTAACGGTAGGTCACTGCTTCCTATGATAATATGGCCAGCTTCAACCCACCGAAGCAACTGGACTACCTATCCAACCCCTGGATGGCAGTACGCGCATTCTGAAAACGGATATAACGACTCTAAGATTAGCTTAGAGTAGCTTAAGCGTATTTTTGACCACTAAACTAAAGAATTTGCTAACTATAAACCACGAGTACTAATCTGGGACGGCTTTGGGACACACGAAACGCTAGAGATTTTGGAGCTCTGCTTTGGAAACAACATCATCTTGTGCCGTCTTCCCTCTCATACCTCTCACAAGCTACAGCCCTGTGATGTTTCAGTTTTTGCGCTTTTAAAAGCTGCTTATCGCGACAAGGTTAAACGACTGTATCGTGGAGTTCTAGACACAGTTGGCAAGGAGTATTTTACCCCTCTATACAAACCTGCCAGGGAAAGGGCGTTAACTAAGAGGAACATCATTGCTGAGTAGGCAGCCACTGGTTTGTTTCCGTTCAATCCCGAGAGAGTGCTCTGACATACACTAAAGCCCCCGGCTAAGCTTACAATTCCGAAAGTTAACGGGGTAGTGGGATCTTGTCTACTGGACAAGGTAAGTCTATAACGCCTGTAACACCTGTAACACCTGTGACCACAGAGGCTCTTACGTCGTTGCATAACCTGATTAAACAAGATGCTTGTGCGCTTAATAATGGGCCAAGAACACGACGCCTGCAGAGACGCCGCCCGGATATCCTTTGCCAAACAAACCCTCCTTCAGGATGAGGATCAATTCTTGTCTACAATAAACAAAGAAAAGGTACGTCAATCTACTAGATCAGTGGTCTTAGGAAAGGCGAAGGTGATGAGCTATGAAGACCTTGAGGAGGCACAAGCGAAGCGTGCTGCGAAAGAGAAGGCAAAAGAAAAAGGGAAAGCTACCGCAGGCAAGGGAAAACGTGGTCGTAAACGTAAGAATCCTGAGCCGGAGACAAAGGTGCCAAAGGATAAAGTGGCGCGGATGAGCGAAGTACCAGAGCCAGTGAAGGCCCCAGAGTCATGGAGGATCCCAGTGGCGCGGATGTATTAGGACGGTGTTGGCTGAACTTTAAACATGATTTTTATGCTAGCGTTACGCGAGTTATTTAGCAAAGAGTTGTAGTTAATAAACAGATGCCACTTCATGATGCGTCTCGCCGCCTCCAGGATGTCTAGCAGTCACCACTCTCATTTGCTGCCTGCTCCAGAGTCCGAGTATCATCAATACAGGCTAGTGCGATACGATCCCGCACGTTTCACGTAACCAGCACTGTAATTTATTTAGATCGATCAAGAGCTCAGTCTGTGGCTGTATAGAGCCATGGCACACGAGCCAGCAGTCCTGGAGGCCTAACTCAACCTAAGCCGTGCCTCCAGTCACTATCTCAGCCCTCTAGAACTGCCTACAGAAACCGCCACCACACAACTCTATAGCATGAGCGGCTTGGCCGTCCTCCCTGCTAGCAGTGGTGAATTCGGGAAGCCTCTGGACCTAGCCCTGTACCTGTACTTGTGCCTGTACCTCAATCGCGCCATTAGTGGCAAATTCTTGCCTTCGCATCTCCGCCACCAAACAATGCACAGGATGCCAATTCTCCCTGCTACCGTTATCGAGTCAGTTAGTGGCTTAACTAATAATAAGATAGCATAATATTTTGCTTGCTCGAGATAGCTTCCAGAGTAGCTTGCGCGTTTTTGACCTCTTCACGCGCTCCAGAACGATAGGTTGCAGTTATTGTTGAGATAAAGAGTATATAATATCTTCCTTCGAACTGCTCAGAGGATTCGTATCGCTTCCAAGAGGCTCTAAACGGCATAGCAGCCGAAGAGAGGAGTAATGGTTGAGGCACGCTTGGATATTGGGATGGGCTGCACCAAGGTTCTCTTGATAGCCAATCTAAGCCCTATGATGGAACGACAAGGCTTTTTCTTACTGCTCCTACTGGTGCAGTGTGAATGCGAGTTAGTAGGTACTTGTCAGCGTGTCTGGGTGCTCCTTTCCTGGCACCTTCTCGCGCAGCGCTAGCACTTCTTGATGTATCTTCTCCGCCTCTGCGTATTTCCCCTGCCCGCTTAGTGCTAATGCCATATTGTTTATGCTCGTCAGCGTGTCTGGGTGCTCCTTTCCTAGCACCTTCTCGCGCAGTGCCAGCACTTCTTGATGGATCTTCTCCGCCTCCACGTACTTCCCCTGCCCGCTCAGTGCCACTGCCACCTCGTTCATGCTCGTCAGCGTGCGTGGGTGCCCCTTTCCTAGCACCTTCTCGCGCAGTGCTAGTACTTCTCGATGCATCTTCTCCGCCTCCACGTACTTCCCCTGCCCGCTCAGTGCCAATGCCACATTGTTCATGCTCGTCAGCGTGTCTGGGTGCTCCTTTCCTAACACCTTCTCGCACAGTGCTAGTTCTTCTCGGTGGATCTTCTCCGCCTCCACGTACTTCCCCTGCCCGCTTAGTGTCCATGCCACATTGTTCATGCTCGTTAGCGTATCTGGGTGCCCCTTTCCTAGCACCTTCTCGCACAGTGCCAGCTCTTCTCGATGCATCTTCTCCGCCTCCGCCCACTTCCCCTGCCTGCTCAGTGCTACTGCCACCTCATTCATACTCGCCAGAGTGTCTGGGTGCTCCTTTCCTAGCACCTTCTCGCACAGTGCTAGCACTTCTCGATACATCTTCTCTGCCTCTGCGTACTTCCCCTGCCCACT